TATGTAATAAAATCCTGCTTCGTGTTTACTCTGCTAATAACTCACAGAACCTTGTCTCAGTCTGCAGCTGGCGCCAAAATCTTGCTCTTAAGCATTACGGGAAAGTCAGGGAAAGTGGTGAACACTGAGAAGGAGTGGTAAACTGATAATCCGGAATCGCATACCTTATTCACCGAATAATGCTGCAGATGCTTGCTCAATGCTTTCGCTAACATTGAATTTTACATTGCAGATCGTGAACAGTTTATTATCTGAACAACAACAATTTTACTTTTCTTTTGGTAATCATAAAAAGGTTAGCATTACATATTTTTATTATACTCGTATTTAATTCGGATGTAAAGTAGACATTTTTGAAATGAGTGGGACGTGCGAGATCTCTGAAGGCAGCGTTGAGGAAAAACCTTCCGTACTAAAATCTTTCGTCGCCGGAGACGTAGTATTCCGTTGTACACCTTGGCTATGGGGCTTTCAACTGCATGCGTATACGAATTACTGTGCCCACTGTTTCGCTCCCGCGAAGGGTGCACAGTTACTGCAGTGTGCGGGATGTAAACTCCATCATTACTGCAGCAAAGCCTGCAAGGTCTGGTAATCCTTATTCTTATGAAATGTTATCATTGCGCCCACAATGTTTACGTAAGGTGTAATTATGGCCCGGCTTATTTACAGGCCACCGACTGGAACAACGAGCATCAGCGAGAATGTCGTGCATTAACTGACATCGAGCTTCCCAAAGTCAGTGATGAATGTAAGGAAAATTTAAATCAAGACATAATTTTTATGGTAATTCAGTGGTAATTCACGGTCAGACGGCAGCATACGCAGTTACGTACGCACTCGTTTGAAGTAACTGCAGGCGGCAGGATTAACGTTGCTCTTGATAATTATAATTTTCATACAATAAACCGTCCAGCAAATTTGATTACCAGAATGAAATGAAAGTATTACGTGTACAAGTTAGAACGGTAAAGACCGAAACTTTTTGATACGGGTTAGAAAATTAATTCAAAATTCAATGAATTTAACTGACGATTTTTAATTTTTTAGACTTTCCTCTTTTGATTATGATGGATAAACTCGCCATACGAATGCAGGTACTTTTGCATGCAACAGTACTTGTGATATAATGCAGAATACACATGGCTATGTTTTGGGAGAGCGCCGGCTGGTAGCACCATGGCAAAATATACACTACGTAGTGTAGTGTTATGCCTTGGTAACACAATCTGCTCATTTCTGATGAGCATAAGTACTTTATTAGTGAATTATTACTTATGTTCAACCGCATCGATCAGGGTATGTATTTTCGAATACTTACTGAAGTACGTATTAACAAATAATGTCAATATTAAAAAAATTGACGCTTTTGATGCGATTTACGCGTGTTAGATGAATGTCGTTTATATGAACTTACCGTTGGTTGCTGACGAGGAAGGATCCATCCAAGATGTTCTGTGCATGCTTCCGCCTCACTCGCAACCGGAAAAGCTAGACGACCTGTAGGCACACCTTGATTTTCTCAGTTTTCTTTTGCGCTTTGGTTCATTTTGCGTTCTTTAGGTTGCAGCATCCTGGCATGGCATCGCACATACTGGCCTGGTCACGTGTTGCCTCGGAGTCTAAAACGCCAGTTCCTTCATATCGAGAGTGTCTGAGCATAATTGCGTTCAGCACCTTTCCCCTTAATGAGCCCGGTCTTAAGAATACGAAACTCTACACTTTCGGGGCGGGACTCTTTTGGCCAGCTGCGCACCGCATGATGACGCCGGTGTGCTGGGATATCAACGTTACCATGGATATTATAGGACGGGAATTAACCGTACATGCTACGCGAGATATACAGACACTTACCGCGGAACTGCGTGATGTACGAACATTTGTGCTGCATTACAAATTGCGCAAGAAAAATTCTGGTTACTTTACCCGCATAGCATGCTTCGTTTATACTGTAGCTGCGTTACAACGAACTGTTGAACACTTTCGGACATTATCAAATGACGCGGACGGAACGCCGGAAAGTATTTCAAGACATCTACGGTCATCCCTGCAATTGCCGCATGTGCTCTGAAAGTTACGTAAGTGATGATAATAAATCATTTGTATAAATGTACTTATCAATCGCACAACTCACTACACAATCGGTACTTTATAATAGAATTAATATAAAGTCCCTATGTTTCATACAGCGGTTACATTACTTACATTAATTGTCGCTCTAGGGATATACATGAGTTACTAAAACTTAAATTGCTATTGCATTATTATAACACTAATAATCTTGAATGATTCATCTTTATGTTTGTACTCGCATTTTCAAATTCGTATCGCAAATATGAATGCTTGTTTTTTAATTGCGGTTATCTAAAGATCCCGTGCTCCCCCTATATATCTATATTGTGTTTGTTTGTCTACGACAATCAGGGATGTCCTGCACGAGGTCATAGACTAACCTGAAAGAAGAGGCTGACGCAGCAGCGGAAGCCTGACATACAGTAATTATAAAACACCGCAAATCTAGGTAATAATTCACAGCAGACAATAATGATCAACATGAAGAAAGCGCTTAGTCAATTTTAAATCTACCCATTTTACGGTTACAGTCAAAACGGTAAAACAGGGAGACTTTAGCTGACGTGTTCTGCCTGCAATACAAACAGGCCGCACCAAGTTTTTACGAACTTCGAAAAATTTTCCATCATAAAGTACAAGACGGAACACCATCTTGTACATCAGGAACAGAGATTTTCGGATACGACAAAATAACAGCAGCTTGTAAGTTGTAACCAGCTTTTCCTAGCGTCTCGGAAAACTCAAAACTGCAAATATTATGTAAATTAATACGGTCACAGATAGCACCAGGGCCATGTACCATGGCCCTGGCAGTACCATCTCGGATGTTGATTTATAATGATTTCGCACTGCCAATCTTGGGGCACATGCATTGCAGGCATGCACTGACATCCATTAATAAAACAATGCCATCAAGGTTGCGGATATTTGGGGAGGTTTTTAGAGCAAAATTAGTGTCTGGCCCATGACAATTCGCGTGCTTTGAGAGGAAAAAGACCTCTTTAATGTACTTAGGAAGCAGAAATCAATCCTCTAAAGTGTGGCACTATTGGTTGCACGGAGCGACTTCCCAGTGACGACCGTGCTCTATCAGCGTGCCCCAACTGTGGCGCTATCAACGATCGTCGCTTAACGCAGTACCGGAAGTTCCTGGCGGACTACGAAATCTCAGTTCCGAACATCACAAGTAGAGAAGAAGGAAATGACAAAAAAGCTGTTCTCTTTTTGGAGATGGAAAAAGCTGGAATTTTACATTCCGATGCGCACATACGCTTCGTATGCCAACCAGATCGATGGCAGGAATGGCCTGGCGAAGACAAGGAAAAACCATATATTCTGATGCAGGAGCTTATCGTATGCGTGCGGTAAGCCGTAGTAATAGTTCCAGACCAGTAGCATTTCTTCATTAATTTTGCCAAACAAAATTCGACATTGCAGAGCGTTGTGCCCGAAGCTGAATGTATGGCGTGCTCACCATTTGCTGCGCATCTGCGTTGATTTACTGCGAGAGAGAGATCGGGTCGGCGACTTGGCACGCTCTCTACCGCGGCCCGCAAGAGCGGAATTCAAAGCCAGGATGAACGATGCCGGCCCGTTAGCGCTTGAGTTGGCGAAGGAAGCACGTGAAATTTCTACGAAACTCTGTGGAGCGGATTCACACTTGGCAAATTTCTCTCTTAGGCTGGTCAAGGATGCTGAAGAAAAAGTTAAGCACAGGATGTTTAGCTTGGAAACTCGATCCCGTAAACGGACATGACTGACTGATAGCATTTCACTCGATTACAAGCTATCTGTTTTTGGCATAGTACAGGTATATGATCGCCAATCTCTACTAATCATACTAAACAAAGTTTTTGTCTGTACGCGGTTTCATGTCCTAACGGGATAATAATAACTACTTTATCATCTCAATTATGTGAAATATGCCGAAAATTGGCGCTGTTGTTAAAGTACAGTATAAGGTCAACCATTGAGCATTCATCTGTTACTTTTAATTGCGTTATTTGGTATATTTTTATCTGAAATACCAAAAGTGAATGGAGTTATCGCTGTTGTGGACTTGTGGGGATTTGAAGCAATAACTAAGTGCTGCACAGAATCGTGATTGCAGACTGCAGTTACTGTACATAATAAAGGACGCAACAAAAGTAAGTTTCACTAAATTGCCTCCCTGCCAATTGATGTGATACACAACTGATATATTTTTTGGCAGTTCTTCTCCATTTGATTGTACTTAGACTAACTTATATTTTAATTCCGTTCCTTAGTAAATGGCATTTATATCTGTATGGATAATAAGGGCTGAAGGCATTTGTGCTGGGAGAATGCAAAATAGGGAAACTTACTTTTGGAGCGTCCTTTGTATAATCCGCATGCATATACTTACTGTAAACACAAGTGCATCCGAGATTCGGAATATTCTGTACGCGATATCTTAGACTGCAGTTTGTATGATTCACCACCAGCGGCGATTTCACTGTTGCTGGGGTTTTTACATGCGTTATTTATATTTTTTATAGATATTTTTTATACTTTTGTTCCTTTTTTTATGTTTTTGGCCAGCAAATTTTAGTTATTGTGGTGGTGGTAATACGTAAATTTATCTAGATAAATTTACAGTATTCATTACTATAAACATCGAGTAATGTTACTGGGATCGCTCGAGATGATGACAAGAGTAAAAAAATTGTTAGAAAACAAAAAACTGATTTTCTGCTTCGTTGCATCAAAGCGTGAGCTTTTAAGAAATCACAAACGTCCAGTCAAAACTTCGAAACAACACGACCTGTATAACTTCATAAAAACGACAATCAGCATAGCAGCTGTTCGGTGTAATACTTTATCCTCCTAGGTGCATCCATATGACACGTCGGAAACTGAATAATCATATGCTGCAGCACTTGATTGGATAAGTCGTTAACAATGAACTTTGCGGATCTGCAAGTACAAAAAAATTTTGAAACAACATGCATGTATTTTGCAGTAGCAGTATTTCAGCTTGTTGTGCCCTTTAAAAGTATAATACCAAATATAGTCACCTGCTGTAAGTTTCTTCAAACGAATCAAAGGTTGTACAACCCAGATCGCTAAGTAACGGTTTGCGAAAAGCAAATAATCTGAAAGGATTTGTTTCCTCCATGGTGCTAAATCCCCGAAACGATCCCGTCTCGAAATTAACTGCGCGGGATGAATTTAAATACAGCCATTTTAAATTGGGCAGACGCAGAAACAGTGAACCCGGTATGCAGTCGATCGGTAATTCCTGTATGCCCAAATGTTTTAGTTTCCGACCCACTGATGGTCCACCGGAAAACAGTCTATCGAAATCCGTGAATTTATTCTCGCCGTAGTACATGTTCTCTAGACTGATCAACGGTTTCAGCGCCCCGGCATCCACATCGATAATCTGGTTACCGGCAATGGCCAGGATCTTCAGATTGCTTAGGCCTTTGAAATCGTCTAGTGCAATGGAAACAATAGCGTTTCGGGACACATCAATCTCCTCCAGAAAACGAAACACCGCTAATTTGCCACCGCCCAGAGATTGCAGTTTATTAGCTTTTAATTTCAGTACTCGTATGTAGACCAGTCCGCCGAATACGGCTTTGCTGGCAGGAATGCGCGTAATAGAATTGTAGCTTAAATCCAGTTCACGCAGGTTCGGGATTGAAGCATTCTTGAACACCTTAAACACGGAATTCGCGTGCTCGGCTTCCGTTAGAATCAGGGTTCTTATCTTTGGTGGAAGAGTCGAAAAAGCATCCGGGTCCAGTGATGTCTTTATTTTGTCAAATTGTAGCACATACTGAGATTTAGGACTCTCAGCGATTGCGGTAGGTCACTGAAGAACCCTTTGTGAATGTTGCGGAAATAATTACAGCCTAGATTTAGCGTTTCCAGCGTAAGAACATGGCTGAGCATTGAGCCGGCAAACGTTTCTAGTTTATTCCGTGACAAATCCAATAACTGCAGCTTGGGGAAGGCTGTGAATTGCTGGGATTGGACATAATTGATGAAATAGCCGACTTTTTCCAGATTGAGTTTGTTGCCGGCAAGGCGCAACCGTCGCAAACTGGGAACAATGTTCTTCAGTCCTTTCGGAAGGAAGGTCAGGCCGTTGTACGAGATGTCCAGTTCTTCCAGGTTGATTGATTTAGAGCCTTCGAATATATTGGCAAAGGTTAGGTCTTCAAAATCGTTACCGGCGAGCAGCAGCTTGCGCAGTTTTGGCAAACCGGCAAAGCTGCCAGGTGACCTAAAACAAGTATCATCTTTTAGCTTCGACAGCACTGTTACGACTGACAGTAATTTATTTTCACTGTACCAGTTCGGTGCATTTTTCAAGGTTTAAGAAATGGGAACTTAAATGAAGGATTGGTAATTTGATAAGTATGTGACTAATCGAATATGTGCGTATTTGTGGTTTCGTACTTAATGTATCTTTTCGTCAGTAAAACCTATTGTAACTGCTTACTTCAGCATGAAAGTGTTGCTCAAGTCCAGAGTCTCCAAATAAGTAAAATTTTGAAAAATGTAGCTTGTTGAAACATAATCCTGGAATTCATCATCTCTTAACGAGAGAAACCGGCAGTTGCGAATGGCAGCAAAATGAATGATAGCGTTTTTCGTCACCGGCAAACGATTACCCGAAAAGTCCACTTCCGCGTTAACAGCCAGATCAGCCGTCACCGTAGTAGCCTCGATAACTTTATCCCGATTGTGTAAGGATATCCCACTAAAGTCATTGTTAATGATGTGCAAGATCTTCAGTGGTTTCTTCGTGCGAACCATATCATGCGATAATAATTCCATAATAAATCGTGTCCCGCGCACTTTGATAGTCGTTAAATTGGGGAAGACCATGAAGTATCGGGGTTGTATATAACTTAAAGTGGAATTGTCGAAAATGAATTCGGTTACGGCAGGCAACGCCGGTGTTTCATCGAAGTCGTTTATCAGTTTGAAATTCCCACGCCATAAAAGGCAAGACGCTCGATCCTGCAGCAACACCTTAATTTATGTATCGGTAATGCAGATGCTTCATAGAAGCAGCTGTGGCAGAAATCTTACAAAAATTTTGATTCTGAACAATTCTAGCGAAGCCTACCACAATGCAATAAATACAACAATATAAGTACACAAAGCACCAAAAAGCGTTATTTACTAGTTCAGATTGCCAAAGAAAAGGGAAACACAGTGTTTTTTTCTGATATTTTAAGCTCACTTTCGGCAACGTATTACAAACTATTTACCAGTGATCAGTGGCGTTTGTAGCCTGCAGAAGAAATAAATATTAAAGGGGTGTAAAAGAAGGAATGAGATAAGTACGAGTACGTTCGACCCTGAACCAAATTTAGCACGCTACCCAGGTAGTATCTTTTCGTAATACTATAGTATAAAACAAAACCCAACTCCACCGGTAGGAAGCTATCAAGCATAATTTAATTTTATTATTTTATCTTCATAAACCTACAGATACGCACTGTGGCGGCAATAACTCCAGCGGCATATCCTTCAGCAACGGGCTGTTCATAATCCGAAGACTTTTCAGTACTTGCTGGTCGTTGAGTTCCGGAAACATCCTGAGATTGATCCAGTTGTCCAGTTCCAGTGACACAATCTGACTGGCTACAGCACCGAGCACGGTGGAAGTTAACTGGCTCATACGGGAACTCCACAAGGACAGATGGATACGCTGAGCGGATGTGTTATAGACGAGGAGATCGTTATACAACTCGACACCGAGGATATCCTCACAAGCGATATGGTACACCTCCGGATTAGTACAGTCAACCAGGCATTTTCCGGATTGCAGTGTGGGACATTGGCATGATGCGCATGCGACAAGAACGAGCCAAACACATGGAGTAACTGCAGTCCTTATCACTGTGTTTCGAAACTGTGTGAATAAGCGTTTCATATTGCCGAAGATGGGAATAATGTGAGAGGCTGAGAGTAGTTTTAAATAGAACAAGTTCCATTCGGCCAGAAACCAAAATAAAGCGTCACTTCCACAGCATAAATAAGTGCTGTACTTAACTTCTGTAAGGCAGACAACACCGTGACAATGTGTAAAACAATTTTGCAAAGAATGTGCTTTTAGAGCGAAGGTATAAGTTATGTACCGGTACATATTTTTACACATCCAACACAGCTGCGACAGTGTATCACAACACCATGCTGTCCTCTGCAGGTACCCGCAAGGCTATTGCTGTAATTACACTAAGTGGACTGGCAGGTTTTCGGCCAGTATCATTATCGCAGCCTGGCTAATCGTTACCACAAGGAACAACTTTGTTGCTTCGGATTTTTTCAGGATTAAAACGGTCCCCCGATCGAAATAGTCATTATTCAGACGGCCCTGGTCCAAAGTGGTCCCTAAGTAGTGTTTGTAATTACTTTTGCCGTATTCTTCGGTACCAAATTATGTAGTTAGAGTAGGCAATCGGAAATTCGACTTATGATAATTGTCACATCTGGAAGCGTTGTCTCCAGTATCTCGGGGAAGGTGAATCTCGTGCAGAGAATAACTACCATTGCTCCCGTTATTGCTCCAGACGGACCGGACCTAACGCACGGGCTTACCTAACAATCGTTCTTACTGAGCGACTTATTCTCGGTTCGGCATTTAAAGCTTTGACTGGTCAGTAAATATTGTATGATCTGCAAACACACTACAGTATTCGCCTGCGGCAGTTAAGCCGACAGAAACGTTCACAGTTACCTAACACGTTTAAGGCTGTTAGAAGTTAAAACGTATTATAACGAGCTGTCGATATTAACGGAGAATACAAATGCCGGATTGTGTTTTGACCGTTTTTGTAAATAAAAGGTCGCGGACTGTGACACACCGTTATTAAACTGGTGCAGATTTATACAGAAAGCTTTTAAAACCAGCAAACGCTCCAGTTTGTACGTGTATATACGACAGCAGCTTAATCAGAAGTGTTTCTCATGTACAAATAACGTCGGTATTTATTGAATTTTTGAGTATTTCTAAATGGCAGTCACACCCAGAAGACATACAATAAATAAAACCCTAAACTTTTTATACATATACAGGCAGAGTAACACTGCTAGAAGTACTACTGGTACTGACCAAATTACTGTACAGATTACAGGATTTCGACAAAGCTGCTTCGCTGCAGCAGACTTCGACGTATTGACATGCTATACGGCAGATGCACTACATCTACCGTACTAGATGACCAACCACACACAGTCGGTAGAGTGGGACTCTCTGTTCTGAACGGTGATCTGCTCCTAGCTCACAACCAAATATCTGGATGACTTCCTGCAGGTACACACTAATGCTTTCGCCACAAGAAGGTCACTCAGGATCTCATAACCTTTAATCATAATCTGAAGACTGCACACACTGCGCACAGACTCTCCAGCCAACTCTATCAAATCTGCACACACTGCGCACAGATCTGCCAAATCCAAGACTCAACTCACTCTCATCAAGACTCAGACTAATCAACACAAGCAGAATCGCTGATGGAATTAGCGATCAAAAGCTTTAGATAAGAACAGGTAAATCGTACGTGAACTACGACGTACGTACAAAGTATGGGCATACTACGCATACCGCGTTACCCCCACTGCAAATCGTTCTAACGTCCGCGTAGAACCACAGAAATCATTAATTAACCACCAATCAACGAAAAGAAAACCAAAACAATCGATAACTGAAAATCCATGAAAGTACCAACTTCCGGTGGATCTTTGGCGTGGTTCGTGTGGAATCCGGATAGTACAGGAGGTCCAAATGGTGTTCCAGCGCTGCTGAGTCCGTCCAAGTCTCCGATATTCCACGATTCCACACGCATCTGTCCACGATCCACCAGTCATTCAGGTCCAAAATGTCAAAATTCTTCGTTCAATCCATCCTCTCCCTCACCCCGAGCTCGAGGATCCAATCTTCTCGACATCCAGCACAAGCCAGAAGTCCAATCGGTGGATATCAATCCACTGGACAATGAGGATCACCCCCACTGCAAACTTGCATACACCAGAAGAACCAGACACTGCCAGGTTCCTTCATGGTCACACGGCAGCCATACACAGCCAGTTACTGATATCCTGAATACTCACTTTTCAGGATGGAGTATCTAAGCACATGCTTCAACGAACGATTGCAAAACACTTGCTGTTGCGATTCCTGGCCAAAGTGAACAGATTTTTCACCACTGTTCAGTTCCGAAAAATTATTTGCTGAAAGTTAAATCAGCAATTCAAAATTTAAATGCTGCACTACAGCACTCATGCCGCTGTATACGTAACTGCCGCACCAGCAGTAACGCATCACCTCACAGTACTTAACATAAAAGTACAGTACTTCCGGTTCACTAAACCAATTTAACCAGATTTTTCCAATTCGATAAATCAGCAATCCACAATTATTAATGCTGATACTCCTTCAACCAATTTTATAGAAAAACAAGTTAGATATTAACACTGCTAATATCTAAACTGAAAACTCAATCAAGCACATGCATCAAGCACTTGCCCAACTAACATTCATAATTCACAATTAATTACGAATAAAATTTCTCCGAAAATTAACCTTTGTTTGTCTGACCTAAAATCATGGATTCAAATAACCATGATAATTTACGGTCAAAAGAAACTTTCAGCTTCGGCACCCCCACTGCAAAACAGATGCCACTCTGTTGCACTGTGTCAAACTGCTGCTGACTGACACTGCCACTGATGCAAGCTTTCACATCCTTGCATGCGCTGCGGCTGCGCTTATCCACTTCTGTTCGCTTCGGTAAATAAACCTTGGAAGTCATCTGCTTATTTCTGGCAGATTTATCCCTTCCCGGCCTACACTTCCGACCAACATGGGATACCGCCATGTTATTACATTCGGGTTTTACTATCAACTTCAACATGTGCTGCCTCACTACCGCAGGCGGCGGTTCAGCCAGCATAGGCTTACGCGGCCCTTTACTTGCACATTCCATACTTTTGTGCAAACCATGGCACTTAAAACAGATCGGTTTTCCATTTGGAAGAAACCATTTGAAAAATTAATCCCGATTCTTCCATTCTCAGAACCCAAGTTATCTTCGCTCTGTGCTGAACACTGCTCAGCATCCTCATCACCACCAGTGCTTTCACTACCGGACTCACAAGTATTATCGCTTGGCTGATCCAGATCTTCGAGATCTGAATCTTCTTTCGCCAACCTGCACTGCAGCTTTAACCCATTCAGGAACTCATCAGTATCCTGAATTTCATTCTCTTCCATGTACGTGTACCAGCCGTATCTGTACTTCTTCAGCCCTTGCTTTAGATAGTATACGCGCTCTGATTCTTCCAACTTCAACTTCCTAAAGTAAGTTGTGAACCAGTCAACATACGTGTTCGGGGAATCTTTGCTGGTAAACATCCTGTTACCAATCTTATTCCGTAACGCCATAACATCTTTCTCCTCTGAGAAATGTTTCTCCAACATCTCTTTCCAATACTGCCACGTCTTATGCTTGTTATCCTCGTATTTATCACTGTACCAGGATAACGCCGTACCTGTGACACACCGTGAAAGACACTTGTCGATTACATCTCTATCACACCATCCATTGTGCGTGATACAATTGTCGACACTTTCAATAAACTTCTCAACAGTCATCGAACCTGTCTTACCATTGAACTTTTCAGGATACATTACATCACTCCTGAAAGCACCTTTCAACGCGCTTGCCAGGCTATTCAAGCTGAGTGACTCATCACCTTTTCTGTTGGCTGCCGCTTTTTCCTGCGCGTCAATTCGTTTTTCTAATGCAGTTAACTTCAACTGCATATTATAGAAATCGTTCGAACTAACATTAGATATCGTAGGAGACAAACTACGATCCATCCCAAAACCTTCTTGAAGATTATGGTACCGAGTACGCAAATCCAAAAAGTCATTCACTGTCTGTCCATTCACTGTTTGTGCGGACAGAGTTCGAGCACGCACAGGCTTACCAGCATCTACTGTACCCTGTACATCTCGTTCATGTACAACCTCAATCACAGAGTTCTTTTCTGACTGCGCTCTAATTCCTTTTTCTACATCCGGTCGCTTATGCAGATTTATTTCTGCATTAAATTTTGCGACGTTTTCGTCAAATAATTTCTTTTCCGAAAGAAAATTATTTACCTTTATTACCAGCAATGCAGAACAATCACTCAATCGCTTCTGCATTTCAGCTGCTTCTTTCTTCTGCCTGTTCCATTGATGTGCCAAATCTGCTTTCTGGCGCATGACGTCATCATGTGCTCTTTCCAAACTTTCAACTTTTTGTGTTAAACTTTCAACACGAACTCTTTCTGAACACAACTCCGCTTTCACAGTACTCAATTCCGACTGTGAAACCTTGTAATCAGCCTGTAGCTTTTCATAATCAACAACCAGCTGCTGATACACTTCTAGCAGTTCATCGCCCTCGCCATGCCCTTCACCACTTTTCTGCTGGTGAATTTCTGGCAAATTCGAAAACAACTCATCTCCATGCTGCAACTCTGTCACAGCACCCATCATTTCACTTCCGACATTTACGAAATTATTACCAAATATTTCGTAATTATCTTCAAAATCAATGTGATCATGTAGAACAGAAACGGGATCAATGTCCATGATCCGTTTTTCCAGTTCCCGTAAACCAGTAAAATCAAAATTTTCATTGATCATAGATGTCTCATCTACGATTTCTCTTCCGCCATTCACCGTACCACCAGGTACAGTGCCTTTAACCTGGCTAGGATCAGCACTACTGAACCCTAAACCAGTCCCTCTGCTGCATCCTGCAGCAGCCCGTGCAGATAAGCCATCCACAGCCAACTGCGATTCACCTGTCACTGACCGATCCATAGCCAGTGCCTGCAAAGCTAATGCCTGGAGCTCAACAGACAATAGACGATGATCAAATCAGATAACGCTGACACTGCCAGCGTCACCCCGGAAGTTATCTGCAGACTTGAACGGGGCCGATCACTACGACTCCCTGTACCGTCTACAGCAACTAAACCCGCGAGTACAGATCACTACTGTACTGCGCCAAACCAAGCGTACCCACGCCAAACCAAACTCGGAGATCTACTTCCCGCAGACTCCCGGTACCTGGTTCTCCCTTAGGAACCGTACCAGACACCTGGCTCTCACTTAGGAACCGTGTCCTCCAAGTTCCTTCTAAGGAGACTTGGGTCAACCAAGGCCGACTGTACAGTTCCACTTAGGAACTGTATCCTCACGGGACTCTCTGAGGATCCACGTGGTACTACCAACTCGGCCACCAAAACACCAACTACCCAAACAATCGAAAATCACTCACCGTCCAGAAATCCCAGGGGTTGTTAAAATCCGGAAGGCGCCATGACATGCTATACGGCAGATGCACTACATCTACCGTACTAGATGACCAACCACACACAGTCGGTAGAGTGGGACTCTCTGTTCTGAACGGTGATCTGCTCCTAGCTCACAACCAAATATCTGGATGACTTCCTGCAGGTACACACTAATGCTTTCGCCACAAGAAGGTCACTCAGGATCTCATAACCTTTAATCATAATCTGAAGACTGCACACACTGCGCACAGACTCTCCAGCCAACTCTATCAAATCTGCACACACTGCGCACAGATCTGCCAAATCCAAGACTCAACTCACTCTCATCAAGACTCAGACTAATCAACACAAGCAGAATCGCTGATGGAATTAGCGATCAAAAGCTTTAGATAAGAACAGGTAAATCGTACGTGAACTACGACGTACGTACAAAGTATGGGCATACTACGCATATCGCGTTAGTATACAGATAAACAAATTTAGAGCAAAATAATGACATTAAAGCATAAAAATAAAACAAAGTCCAGCTAAACCAAGTGCTGCTTAAAAGGACGAGACATTCCACGTACAAATATGGTAGAAACTACTGTTAAGCGTTTATTGCGCCTGAATTCGTACGAATACCCAATACAGTTTGTCCATAGCATGTAAAGGTGCTGATCCAAACTGCAGCGAAGCTTTAGTTCCAACTGACAATGGCTTTGTTTCTCCCATTTGCACGGCTCCCATTCTTCAAGAGTTAAGTGGCCTTGATAACTGCTTAGAATGGCGAAAGCGCTTCTGATTGTCCTTACTATGGTAATAACCGTTATCATCGGATTGTCGTGTGTGAACGCCGGGCGCAATGGGACAGTGATGCCCGCCAGCCGGGGACCATCCGTCTGCCCTGGGACGGCAGCTCCTTTACCCCCACCGGGAGCGTCTACCACGACCACTACCACCACGACTGCACCAGCGCTGCGAACATGGACCAGCTCGGACGGTACTTGTGTACGCTTTTACGTCTACCAATCCAGTAGTTCCATGGATGGATTGACAACATGTCAGATTGTTGAATCGGTGTGCCAGTACGTCTTTGTTTGGTATCTGGGACCATCGCCAATGCCTGCTTCAGTGTGTCCGAGCGCACCTTGCTGTATTGGCAGTCCGTGCTAAAATTTAACGGTTTTCGCTTTCTTGATCTGATGCATATCTACTTGGTGATTTGACAGAAATAGTCGAAAGGAATTCGCTTATGTGGCGATTCTTGTACAGAAATTGATTTTCATATACTGATTACAGGATCTGTATCTAGGCTTGTGCAAGTCTTCCGTGCTACGCAGTTGTATTTTTAATTTCTCCATGGGACTTTGTAGACTGCAGTGATGACATGCATAAGGTTCGTGTAGAATGCTCTGTATTCTGCAATTACATTGTGTAATGAAACGCCGATATATTAGCGACGATATTCAAACACGAGCCATATTCTTCTACAGATGCAGTCGTATACAGGGTACTTCGGAGAAAAAATGGGAATAGGTGTAATAACTGCTGCTTCACCGCAGAAAATTGTTCGTTAAACCAGTAAAAATAACACGCCATGAAGTGACGGCACACTGTTTCTGTTGCTTTACTGTTGCTGGTTTTGTTAATTCTGTTGTTTTATGAGTAACTTTGTATCGTGATATTCTTTTGGACTGCAGATTATTAACTACAAGGCAAAACCAACCCAACTTTTGCACTGACAATTACTGCACTACACACGCTGCGCGTGTGCAGCTTTCCAGTGTGCAGATACTGTGGTCTACGTTACTGGGCATTAGGGAAAACTGGCAATAAGTTTCTGAAGGAGGAGGCTCTTATATGACAATTATCTCAGCAGATCAGAAAAACACAACGTTCGATTAACGTTCGATTATACTGCCGATTAAAATTTACTTCGCTGTTTGGTCAGTATTTTGGGAACTTACGACGACGCTGACGGTTTATTTATTCAACACTTGATATTAGGTGTCAAACGTCTAGCCTGCCGGGAAACTGCAGTTAATAAGATGAAGCGATAAACAGGTAATCTAATATCAAATGAAGTCAAGTGAGTTTTTTTCTTACAGTATATATAGCGGCTGTAAACTGGGGTCAAGTAATGACGAACGAAGCTTTAAATTTTCCAAAATCAAACGTCAGTATCCATCATATCTTTAACTGATCAAACCAACTAATCCAGGCTGGTTGATATATAAATATGCCAACATGCAATTAGCTCCCTATCCTAACAGTTTTTGTAGCGTCTCCCGTATCCCTTCAGTTTCGCCAGTTAATACTTCATTCCGCTCAAAATTAAACCGACATAGCAAAAATGGTGGGGCCTTTGACAAATTTAAAGACGCTCACATCCATGTGTGCCCTTGAAATTGTCTTTGCCATACTGCAAATCACCGGACTATGCGCGAAATCGAATAGACGTATACAAATATGTAAGTGTTGTTTATGGTTACCGCAGCGTCTTGCAGACGATTGTACCAGCTTTCCGCTAATTAATTTCAAATTAACAGTATCATTAGTATGTCCATTAACGTATCAATTTACAGTCTCTATGTGTTTTAGGGCACGCTTATGACGAAAATGACTCACACGGAGCCCTTACTACTGTCTTAATTGTATCCCTGGAGATTGTACTGTTGTTTGTAACTGGCTTCCATGGATTGTACACGATCAGCAAAGCAAAGGAACAGACAGCATCGACTGGAATGTTTACCGGCTTAGGAATACTTAATATTTTACTGAGCGTTATTTATGGCCTCGCAGTGGCGGTGATTTTGGGATTTGGAATTTTCCTTTGGACACTGACTGGTTCTCTACTTGTCGGTATGATTGTAATGCTCATCGTGTCCTACAATGCTTTTAAAATGGCAACAGCCATCACGGCCGCACGGATCTCCTTCCGATGCGGCAGCATCCTTGAAGGAAACCAATCAGTTGCGCCCCACAATATAACGCTGGAAACGCCGGTGAAATATAGCGTGTAGATTAGCCTAATTATAAGCAGAAAAGCGGGAAATTGCATTCGTCTTACTGACGGAAAGAATGTCAATTCTGGAAAGTCGAAGTGTTAGAATGTTGCTACCATTTAGCCGCTGTGTCAATAAAGGACGAAAATGGCGACGCTTTGCTTTTTGTTTACAGTTTTTTATACATGACGCATGTGTTAATTTTATTCTGCTACGAGCACTATGGTTATCGAAATAAACCATTTTTAAGGAGCCATGCGCTAACAGAATAAGCGTTAAGGCATTAAAATAATTAAAATGTAACTGAACCGAAACTTATGTAACTGAAGTTAACCAAAGTCCTGAATAAAGCAGAAATTCGATTCCCAGTCCCAATATAATTAAAATGTGGCAGATATGCCTGGTGACCGGCGCTTTCGCGTAACTTCAAACGTGACCTTTCGAGTGTTGATTGCCTATGCTGGCAAGCAGCTACTGCCACCATGAGAAAGTGACTTTTAACATAATAAAAATTATATACTAGTAATCGCTGATCACTGTACAATAAGTAAATATTATTGAAGAATTATGACAATCTTTTTGAGTTACACCCCAAATGCAAATTTATTTAAAACCAGACCGTAAGCATGCAAACTCCAGATTTTGCATTGGCTCACGACTGCACAGTACCCAGGTGCCTTCCATAAAGGGTGCTACTTACCTGGATCGCATAAAATGGCACTAATTTCATACAACTTCTGCATCAACACGACAATTTCGAAATAGGACAAAGAGCATACGATTTACATTGCAGAATGACCTGTGGAAGGCATATGCGTAAAAGCAAAGTGTTCATTTCATGGTCGGCAATGGCGCTCGCTTGTCCTTATATAAAGCAGACACCTTTTATTTTTCCGTCATTGTCAATCTGTCGTTGGTAACACCATTATTTTTGTACGTAAAATTTCCGTCAACTTAGACCTTAAGTTACTGCTTTGGTAGACGTAGTGTACAGCGCGACCTTCAGCATGAATAACCTACTTTCGATTGTAACTGCTGTGTTGGCAATGACCGGAAAACATCAAGTGCGTGTCGTAGAAGCATTAACACGTCCAACGGTTCCTATACCAACCGCAACACCGCTATTCCCAACGCAGGGCGCGCCAACCCAGCCACCGACCACTCCCGCTCCGCTCTCCATAAACACAACCCCGATCACCACCAGACCACCTAGCACCACCACACCGATCCCATCAACGACACCGCCTCCTACCACAACCACCACGTCAACTACCACCGTTCCCACCACAACAGCACCACGCACGATATGCTGGACTGCACCAAATGGGATAGGCGTGCAGTACTACGTCCTGTACCAAAATATTAATATTCCCTCCTCTACAACCCCACTTACCACCACCGCTGCGGCCGGAAATTCGAATGCTCAAACGGGTACGACCATTGTTGACTCTGTATGCAAGTATGCCTTCATTTATTATCTGGGTGCGCCACCGTTTCCCGTTGCACTGTGTCCAGTTGGGCCTTGCTGTGTTGCTGTGGCGGTGTATTACGGTGCATGCGAGTCTCCTCCTTATCCCGGATGATGTGCCGATTCCCGGATGATTTTCTCGTGTGGTCAGTGTACTATCCAGCCGTAATATTTCTGGAAACAAACACCTTCATAATGTAGACAATTTAAGATCGAAACGAATGAAACCCTGGACGCATGACACAGGAAATTTATTTCCATAATTAAAGTTCAATAAATGTTCGTACTTAACAGCATGTATATTCAGTGCGTGTACATATCCAATTCCTTACGCTGGCTCGTCGGAAGTCGATTGTCACGTTTTTATGACCGTAAGGACGTTATAGCTTTTCAGTTGTACCTTTACTTCTTATTGTTAATTCTCGCCTGATTTTCAAACTACGCTTGCAGTACTTCGAACTGGATCGACTTATACGTGCAATGTCCCGACATAGAAAATTGTAAGTTTTGTGAAAAGCTCGGCTGCGCCGAAGACGGCCGAACTCAAACGTCAGCTTTTCTGACCGTGAGGTCATTTTTCAGACTGCAGAAAATATAATAGTACTTGTACCACCTTCCTGTAAATCGAAAACGTAATAAATTTATGACGATAGCAGCCAGTCGGTGAAACCGGCAGATGAATCGCCAAACTCCGGTACGAGTACTTGCATCAGTAATTAATGTAAATGTAGAATCTTGTACGCATAGGATTTTTAACATGGTGTGAAGACGATGTGGATACACTCGAGTGCTTACATGATTTAATGACACGTAAGTCATTATTATTTGTAATTAATACTGTATTGTGGCATTTTTATTCTTTACTTCTATCGCTGGTTAACGCAAAAGCTTTCTTGGCCAACGGCGCATAAGCACCGTGTTTTAACAGAGCAATCATAGACCCTGTGGCTGTAATCAAACAACGGGAAGTAAGCAACATGTTTACCGAATTCAACGTGCTGTTTCGCTCAAAATACTGTAGTTCCGCTAAGTGTTAACACATGTACGTCTAAAACATACAACAGGTCATCCTTTTACTGAACATTTTGCCATTGACTCATTCATTCACAGTTTCACATGTGGTAATGTTACATGTCTGCTACTTTGGAAAATTTCTCCAAAGTTTTTGAGAAAAGTTATGATGTTGGACGTCAGTGCACATGCCAACAGGTAATATAACTGGATGTTATTAGATCACTGTTCGATGTTGTGCTGTACTTTGCTGATGAAGGGAAATTTCTTACGCGGTCTCGGTCGCTATGTCAAAGTGCCCCGACAGAACGATACGTTCAACCGAATTTTTTATCGATCAACATGTTTGTTTATGTTGTTGGATTTGATGGATGTCTTATTGCCCACCTATAATACCGTTGTTCATCGCGACAGTCTGATCTCACTATGCATCGTAACACTTTCTCGCGTATTTTGATAACGGTACATCGCCACCATTATCAGTTTTTAATTTCGTAAATTACATTGCCAATTTGCCCGGTATGGTTATTTCTATGATAAAATTATTTTTGATTAACTGTATCTTTTTTTTCGAACGAAACTAAGGGCTTTTGATAATTTTTTACCTGTATATAAAAAAGCACTCGGCAGATCGAGCTTCCTGCTACGGACGTTTTTCTTTTTGTGAACGGTAAAAAGCAGTAATACAAAGAGGATTTATGAACTCGTTATACCATGGAAAATCCAAAAATGGCGACATTATCCCCACCATCAGTACGGATAATCACATCACCCTCGACATCCTCATCGGATACGATCACTTCAACAGCGTCTCGCCGATCCGACAACGTTCCCTACGGAATCAGTCTACTTCGCCGCCTGCCGCGTTTCACATGCTGCCAACGTAACATCATGTACCAAGCGCACATTCTCATCCTCACCTACATCCTGTACGTCGCCTACCACATTACCCGGCGCCCGATGGGCATAGTCAAGAACACATTAAAACAAAGCTGCGTCAACATGACCCCACCCCCCGACATCAAAGAATGTGACCTCCGCAACGGTACCTGGTGTGCCTGGCAGCCGTTTGATAAAGACAGCGAGAAGCTCTTCTCGGTGATCGACTTTACCTATCGGTTCGCTTATGCCGGCGGGATCTTCATCGCCGGGTACATTGCCGAGCGGACGAACACCCGTATTTTTCTGGCGTGCGGGATGATGGTGGTCGGTGCCTGGTCCATCGCCAACGGCATGGCGTACTTCTGGCAGATCCACGCTTTCTCGTATTTCGTGGTCTGTCAGTTTTTTGGCGGATTGTTCCAGGGAACCGGCTGGCCGACCATTTTGGGACTACTGGGTACGTGGTTCGGTAAGCACCGGCGTGGACTGATTTTCGGTATCTGGAACTCGGATACCTGTGTGGGGAACATGTTGGGCGCGGTCATTGCCGGTCTATGGGTCAACCACCAATGGGGCTACTCCTTCATCGTCCCGGGATTGATCATGATTGGTCTGGGGTTCGTGGCGTTCTTCTTCGTGGTTAACCGACCGGAAGACGTGGGATTGCAGCACCCGGACTATGTTGGCCCATCCCCGCTGAACACCCCAGAGATTTCTCTTGCGGACATCGAAAAACTGGAGAAAGACGTCGAGCGAATCGAGGCGACGATACATAATCCCGTGGAGCAGGAAGCCATTAGTGTTTTACATGCGATACGGATTCCGGGGGTGGTGGAGTTCTCCTTCAGCTTGTTTTTCTGTAAAGCCGCATACTATGCCTTCTTCTTCTGGCTGCCGGTGTACATTAAGGAGACCTCCCACGGCCGTATCGACAACCACGCCGCCGCCGACGTCTCCGCGGTCTTCGATGCCGGGGGGATTGTGGGCGGGATCCTGGCCGGGTATCTGTCGGATGTCACCGGGGGCAGTGCCACCATCAGCGGCGGAATGTTTCTGCTGGCCATCCCGGTGTTCTATCTGATGACCTTATATGCCAGTCAGAGTACTGGCGTCCTGATTGTTTTGTTACTGGTCATCGGGCTGTTGTCCATGGGACCGTATACGCTAATCACCACCGCGGTGTCCGCGGAGTTAGGGACACGGCCCAATCTGGTGAAGAACAAGAAAGCTGTGGCTACTGTTGCCGGGATAATTGACGGGATGGGCGCGTTGGGATCGGCGTTTGGGCCGCTGACGGCCGGGTTATTGTCGGTGCATGGTTGGTTGCCGGTGATATACATGCTGATGGTTGCGCAAACCATCGCGTTGCTGTGTCTGGGGAGGTTGATATACCATGACATAAGACGGTGGATCCGCAAAGGACGCAAAGCGATTCGGAAGCGGAGAGGCGAACAACGCAATTATAATGTTAATTCGACGGCAAGCACTTCCAAATCGTGACTGTACAAATCGTGCTTTAATTGTAAATATCTTATCAAATATTTTACTTTACGTAAATTATTTATACTCTGGATTTTGATAAGGTCGAAATGCACAAGCAATTTCATCACTACTCCTACTGATATGCGCCCTTTGTTCCCATTCGGTGTTTTTCTATTAAAGGAAACTGCTGAAATTAATAGTTTCTATAACATGGTTACTGCACTCGTGCTGAGCCTGCGGTGAAACAGTTGAAGCGAAGGTTCTTCCAGCATAGGAAACGGGACATTTGTTTTGGTATCAGATTATTTGCATTTCTCTTCGACTGCGTTATGCATCAGCTGCAGCAGTTTTAATTATTCGTTATTTTATTTGCAACTCAAAGCAAAGAACGCGAAGACATACAGTCACATACTTATATAAAAGCGCAGTCGTATACAGAAGTGCATGACCATATTCATCAAGTTACTGAATATACAACGAAACAGGAAATTCCAGGCGAAAGAAAACTTTTAGTAAACTTGTATGCTAAATTGCGGCCGACAACGGAAGCGGAACAGTGGTGCATCCCGGTGAGAGTGCATCTCTCAGCGACCACCCTTCTTGACCTCGTCGGGAAAGGAACGGAAGAGATCGCGCAGCTTATCCATGGGCAGGGCCAGCAAGCCGGCAACGTTTTCGAACGGCGGCTTGTCAGGAGCGTTGGGATGCGGGTGTGTCGGGACGAACATGCGAGTGCGCTCGTACTGTTTCCCGGCATCCATCAGCTCGTCCGGCGCGATGCCTTGACGAATTACCTGCAATTATTATTTTATTACTGTTTTTGCTATATGGAGACGTCGCTTTAAAATTAACCAACAGGAATAAATTATCCTTCAGAACAACGATCGAATTCCATGAAATTAAATTAACACAATTCGAAATCATTAAGCAAAATCTTGACGATTACCGATTCAGGAGTTCATTACTTAGCATGTTTATGTTAAATAAAAATTTTTTTTATGTAATTCAACGATTATCGATCGACTGACCAAAGAATTTATTAAGCAAGTTTAGTCTAAAGAAAGCTTTAATAAAAATGCAATAATTTACGCGGTTTGTCGCCATGTCACCCACCTCGAGATCCCCGTCTTTGCCCTCCTCCATGCCGATATGCTCCAGCAGCTCCGACATCATCTGCTCGATCTTCTTGCGCACATCCGGCGTGACCTTTTTGCCGTCCAGCTCACAGAGCACCTCCTTGGTCTTCTGGTGATCCTGGCGGGACTTTTCAGCCAGGGCCTTCCCGCGGCCGCCCAGTTTATCCAGCATGGGATAGACGATCAGCTCCTCGGCCGCCGAATGCTTGGCGATGCTCCAGATCAGCTGGTTGAACCATTTGTCGGCCTCTTCGCCCTGTAGCTGCTGCAGCCGCTCGTATGCATGCTTGATCTCCTATAATTAATACACGATAATAACGGTCTATTAAAATAGCAATTTACAATAAATATACTGCCAATTTTTGCATTATCACAATTGCGGATGTAAAGAAACAATCGAATCTTCAATATAAAAATTATGAGAAAAATCAACAGCTATTTTTCCTGCGTTATTTGCCTGTCGTTCTATTTACCGCAGTCTGGTTTCCGAGTCTTACTACAGAAACGAAGTAAAATATTTAAAGCAAAATATTCAAAAAAATTTAAAACCTAAAACAAAAAATCACTCATAAGAAGATATTGTACAGCGAAATTAATCACCTGTCAAAAATATATGTAATATCTGCAAAAAACTGAGACGGGTGGGAGTGCGACACTCACCGAATGATCGTCCAGAACGCGCTGAATAACGTCACCCATGGTTCGATTTTGTCGCTGCGGCTGCGCTTGAGTACTGGCGTACACTGACCCTTGCAACGCTGCGGAAGGAATGTTGCGGAGAACACACACCGATTGTAATGCTAATCTGCGGATCCTATAAAAGAAGATTTGTAGAACACGAATTTACCCTGCCACTGGCAGTATAGGCCTTACAGAAAAAGATGACAATATGCCGGAATAAAAAATCAACCGGACTGATTGCAAACGAGAAGACTCACATGGATAAGACGACCGTATAAGAAAGAAAGGAAAGATAGATTTCAGCAGGAAACGAGCGGAACTCAGAAACGTTTTTACCTTTACAATTTATTCACGACTTACTCTACAGGATATAAAGTGATCAAAACATATCTACCAATATTGGATATGTTTAACGCTTTCTCGTACTTACAATAAACTGCGATTGTGGAAGATCAGAAATGGCGCGCCAGAGCAGACTTTATAGCGAAACTTCAAACGATGGATTTGTACCGGAAAGTTCAGGAAGCTGCGTCGTATGAACGGTGTATTCTAAATCGCCGACAAAACAAACCACAGTCGTACAGCGCAAGCAAGTACTGTACTGTAAGTAAGTAAGTACTGTACTTTATCACAGTCGTTAAGCTAGTACACAAAAGAGTCGTACAGTCGTCGTACGGTGCAGTCGTACAGATCTACTCCAGGCACTGATGCATCAGTGATGCGATTCACCGGTGACTCGCGGTGTAGAGTGTAGACAGTAGACACCGTGGGTAAATTCCCACTCTAACGCTGTGTACGGCACGCTTGGGATTTTCCAATAGCATTACAGTACCGGTGGATACTACGGCATATCTAGCGCGTTCTTGAATTTTCCACCGTTCACTCAACGCACTGATGCAGCGGCTCACTGCGAGTGCGCACTGCGCAGCCGGATTCCCACTTTCCCAGTCATCCACTTCCATATGCAACTTGAGCCGACTCTTCGACGAAGAGTCTTCGTAGCGCAGAAATTGTACCAACGGAACCCTCGTACTAATGGTATAATTTAATATGCAAAGTCTGTAAATTTAGCTTACGCAATTAATTAAGTCGAAAAAAAATCAGTTACTCTTACAGTCGTACTTGTACAAACAAGTGATTAATTGTAAAGTTAATATCGAGTTAGTTAAATGTAATTTAATTAAATAATTACGTAGTTCAAAGAGGTTTTAATAAAGTTACCTGCCGATGCAACAGTAGGCAATTATTACCGCATCTCTAAGCTTAATGATCATAATAGTATTAATAGCAATTTAGCAAAACTTTTTCATTAACGTACATTAATAATGCAATACGTCAATACTCACCATCAGCAGCGAGAAAATTTCTAGTTACAGTACTGTATGATATTATGTATCAAACACACCACCATTTGTGTATGTACCACGAATCATGTACAACAGAAATTTCACGAGATAGAAAAATTTTAAAAAAACTGTCGCCACCTGGTTGTCGCATAATACCGTATGTCATAGCTTTAATTTCTTACTGGTGCGAGTATATAGATATACAGAGAGAGACTTTAATTTACAGAGCATAGAATATTAATATTTATACGAGTAGTAGCTTTGAGTAATTGTACGTATCTATATCATATATCTTTATTTAACCGTATTGTAAGTGTAGTATAACGTTAACCAATAATCAGTCATCATTTTTTGAGTGATTTTTATTGAGCGAAGCTCGCCAAGGTACTATAAAGATATGTGTTTTTAAAAATAACCTCGTCTCGCCAGGCTCGGAAGTATCATCATTTTTAACTTTATCTTTATCCAAAATCGTAAAATACAAAGTAAAGTGCATTTACGCGTTTCGCTTCGATCGCTTATTGTTCGTGCATGCTAGCCGAAAGCGGTGCGCATCCCTGATTTGCATATGTACGACTACAGAACTATAATTATTTCGATGGTACAGCATTAATTCACTGATAATTTTGTTGTTTCATTGGTGGTCACTGGTCATTACAGTTTTTGTCGCTGTTATATGCAGACGTTTCCAACAATTTCACCTTCAGTTATCAGCACATCTTTGTTTAGTTATTTATAAGCTGACGCTTTGCCCAAACTGTGGTGTGGACTGCAAGTCCAATAACAATAAATACAGCAAGAGTATGTAGCTACAGTACGAGTACCTGTACTGAACCGGCATCGGCAGTATAATTCTAATCACTCGAATGTTTATTTACACTATGTACATGTATATACTTCAAGTATAGCATTAATCGATAGTTTTGACCCCTTTTCCTCGCCGCAACACCGTGACGGTATTCCTTGATTAGTACACAATCGGGATCAACACAAATGTTAACAATAATACTGCTTTCCACGTTTTGCTAGGTTTGACAAAGCACTTGACTCGTATAAAACTTCAACCTCCTTGGTATATCCATATGACATCGAGGGAAACGCACGACCATATGTTGTGGGACGAGATTGCTCTGGTCAGCGACAATAAACTTTGCTGGCCTACGACAAAAATGCCGTGTAATGTAAATTAATTTCCGGAAACACCCGAATTCAACTGCAAAAGAGGCATTGAGGTTTTAATTTAATAAAATCTGATACAATTGCCGCAGAGTAATGCCCGTAAGTGATAACGTATTTGTAGTTATCAACATACTTTATGTTTAAATAATCTCACCTGCTGTACACTTCTTCAAACGATTCATACGATACGCATCCAATATCATGGAGATTCGGTTTGCGGAAGGCAAATAACTTATACGGTGTATTCTTGCTGAAATTATTCAGCTGCCGAAACGATCCCGTTTCGAAGTTCACCGCCCGTGACGAATTCAGGTACAACCACTTCAACCGCGGGAGGCGTATTAGCAATGAAGCTGGTACACAGTCAATCGGCAGCTCCTGCAGTCCCAGGTGTCGCAGCTGTCGCCCCACGGTCGCGCCGCCCGAGAAGATCTTGTCGAAATCGGTGAACCGATTTTCACCGTAATACAAGCTTTCCAAACTCAGCAACGGCTTAAACGACCCGGTATCCACATCCATAATCTGGTTGCCGGCAAGGGCCAGTGTGCGAAGATTGGATAAACCCTTAAAGTCGTCTTGACCAATAGAAACCAGGGCGTTTCGCGACACATCCAGTTCGACCAGAAACTGGAGTGTTGCCAGGCGACCGTTGCCTAACGTTTGCAGTTTATTTGCGCGTAATTTTAGTGTCCGTAAGAATAACAACGGTGCAAGAACACTGCTGTTTTTCGGGATCAGTGTAATTAAATTATAACTCAAATCCAGCTCTCGCAATTTCGGAATATTGGCCAGTACGAAGCGGGAAAAGATAGTGTTTGAGTACTGTGATTGTGCGAGAATCAGGGTTGATAAATTCCGCGGGAGTGTGGAAAACGCGTCCATGTCCACATCAACAGCAAGGCGTGTTTCATTATAGCACATGGTCAAATTAAGGACTTTAAGAGACAAGGGTAAACCGATGAAGAATTCTTTCCGAATCGCGTCAAAACGGTTGCATCCAAGATTGAGGGTGGTTAAGGTTTGCACATGGTTTAGAAACGTTGCGGTGAACGAGGTCAACCTGTTACGTGAGAGATCAAGCGTCTGCAACTTTGGAAAGATGGTGAACTGTGTGGCGTGAATCTTTTCGGCATTATCGGTCACGCTAGGGATATGGAATTTGTTCCCGGCCAGATTCAGGACGCGGAGATTGCCGACAACCCGCTGTACACCGCGCGGCAGAGTGACCAGACTGTTGTCGGACAGGTCGAGAAGTTCCAGGTTGACGGATTGGGAATTTTGAAAGATATCCGAGACGATCAGCTCTTCGAACTCATTGCCGGCAATGCGCAACGCTCGCAGCTTCGGTAGGCCGGAAAAACTCGCCACGGATCTGAAAAATCAGCCGTTTAAAAACCTAGTCACAGTACTAAACAGTAAACTTTAATGGGCAATTCTTGAGATTCATGCTTGCACTTTTGAGTATCTACAATATATAAGTAACAAAACGGAAGCAGTATCGCATAATCAGTTTATCATGCTGTGAGTGCTGGTTTTGGTTAGCTTTCATGACTGCGATCTGGTCATGATGCTTCCATGACTACAGTAGAAAAACTGGCCATGATGTTCTTATTCGACGTTAATTTGAGTCTTTCGTCTGAATCTTTTATATTCGGGAGTACGGGCCCACCTAAACGTTTAATAGTCCGGGCTAGTGATTTGGCGCTCTCTCGATTTTGCTAATCACAATTGGCAATCAAATCTGTTTTGGTGACCTTATATAATTTGCCAGCCTGCACAATAGGAAACGCCCCTGAAGCCGCAGTAGAAATATGCTTTTGAATATTGAAATGGCTACACTTTAATTTGTCCTTACTTCAACATGAATGTGTGGGTTAAATCCAGCGTTTCTAGATTCGTGAAATTGTGGAAGAGCCGACTGGTGAAGATGTAGTCATCAAACCGGTTGTCTCGTAACGACAATACCCGCGTATTGCGAATGCCCTCAAAATTCACTGCGGCCATCCGGCTAACAGGGAGATGGTTGCCGGAAAAATCCATGTCCGCTCCCTGATCCAGGTAGGCAAAGATAATGGTCCCCTCCAACATCCGTTCGCGATTGCTGAACGGAACCGTGCGGAAGTTATTGCCAATAATGTGCAGCTTCTTCAGCGGGCGCAGAGTTATAATCATCTCCCGCGACAATTCCCCCATGGTAAACTCCGTGCCCCGAATCTTAATCGTGGTCAGATTGGGGAACACGGTGAAGTACTGCTTTTGGATGTACTGCAAAGTGCCCCCGTCGAATATGAATTCGTTAACGGCCGGTAGGGCAGGAACTTCGTCGAAATCGTGGAAGAGCGCGGTTATGCCCACGCGGTAGAAAGCGATGCTCTCGATTCTGAAAAGGAAAGGTTCATAAGAACGGCTATAATAAATAGATACGATTAATGGCTTCGTCAGAATTTTATAAAAAAATTTAATGCAGAATTACAAAAGTCCTCGCAGCTAGGTTTTGACTTTTGAGATGCGTACACGCCTTTTGCGAAGGGAATTACACTCGTTATTTTTTATCAAATCGACCTTACGAATACGCTACCGCGATAACTGTGGCTTTCAGTTAAGAACAAAAGCGAACCCATCTACCGATACTTAGTTCAAGCTCGGAAGTGAGAAGAAACGTAGATCAGTGGCAACGAAAGGTGACAGCTGTATAAACTAAGTGAGTGCTTACAATTGTTAGCCTCAACAACAGGTTAAATTTGGTTTTCGCTTTTATATTTTTTGGAAGTTGAACTCTGTTGCAATGCTTTTTTAGAAGTCCTACAGTGTGCAGTAGAAATCTCGACGAGGATCGCTTTGTAGTTTGTACAGTATTTGTAGACAATAAACTATAAACCTAAACCTTCGAGTAGCACTTACTGTGGGGGTAGCATTTCCAGTGGCATTTCCATAAGCCTGGGACTATTCATAATCCGCAGGCTTTTGAGTTTGTATTGGTCGTGTAATTCTGGGAAGAGTTTTAGCCGCACCCAGTTGTCCAGTTCCAGTGACTGCATCTTATTGGCTACCGGCTCGAGAATGGTCGATGGCAACTGGTCCAACGGTGAGCTCCATAACGAGAGCAGTATCTGTTGAGATGACTGACTGTACACCAGCAGATCAGTGTACAGTTCGATACCTCTGGCGTCTTCGCATGCAATGTGGTAGATGTCGGAATTCGTGCAATCAACAAAACATTTGCCCGACTGCAATGTCGGGCACTGACTCAGTGCGCTGCTGATCAGGATCGATAAAAGCGGTGCATTAAGGCATAATGTAAACGGCAAATAATCGAACGACTTTCTGTACAACCACAACATTTTAAAAAATACGTATATAATTAATTTTGTGGACTGACATACAGTAACTACTGTGCAGTAGTGCCTAAAAAATCTAATTATTAGAAAAAGAAATTTATTAATAAAATTAAACGTTTACTATGTTTGAATTTTATGAAATGGATACAGCTTCATGTGAGACTTGAGATTAAAGCATGGTAAATGTGTGTGATTTACGGTTTACCGTGTTCACTCAGGGAAATGCCGGAACCAACCGGAATACCAGTATTGTGTCTTATTGTTGCTCCGCTGAAAATCTTCTAATGACAACTTAATTGGCTAATTGGCATTGTGCAGCCGGGAGGCTAATTCCAGCGATAACTTTATCGAAAGTCGATTAACGAGTGCTAAGAAGTGGCAATAGTGCATCCACTACTGTAAATGCTCGACTTCTGAGTTAGATTGTATTTTTGATGGTATATTTGAACGGATTATTACATTAATGATTATTAATGTACTCTTGTACAGACTACAGTCATTTAATTGGCTCGCTAAAGCCATGCCGACAAGGAACCGATTTATGAGTCACTGTTTTACTAACGTTATCGCGAGCCTTAAGGCTGCAGCTGTTTCATTTATCGAGCAACCACAGAGATTTTATTTTCGGGTAGATTTTGCAGGAATAGCTTTCATACGATAACGGCATTTTGATAAAGTGTGTTACCTGCCGATCTCTGATAGGTTTATTTAGAATTTTCGTAAGCTAACAAACAGTATGTTTATCGCAAAACTGAGCACGAATAATATATGATGAAACGAAAATTCCGCGCATTGTAAACGTAAGCATTAACACGGTTAAAGCTTACTGTAAAACTTAGCCATAACGAAAATTTAACAGACTAATTCTTGCATGATCCATTTCAAAAAAGGGTACGAACGGTAACGCAACGTAATTACGTGAAGCATAACGAAACGAAATCCTTGGAGATTCGTTTTCATCCCAGTCGTGGTGGACGGTTTCTGTAGTTTAGGTCAGGGCGTGGATCAGTATAAACACTGTCCTTCCAGTTAGGAACGAGTTGCTCTTGGATCGCTCGCATGGCAAAGAAAAATGGCAGCGATCGTTCGGATAATACAGTCAAAGGAGATTTCAGAGGGACGTGGTAGACAGTTATCGGCTCCGCAGGGTCGTCGCCCGCTGTCAAAACATTCTGAATTGAGGGAGAGGAGACTATTCTCCACATAGGAATCAATGAACTAGCTTTAAGAATCGTTTGAGAAGAAGTTTCTTGTGAGAAAAAAGAAACACCGAACAACGCTGCAAAAATGCAAAAGGTCAGTAATTGCACAAACGCCATTTTGTGCTCCACCGTTACCATTACTAAGTCGTCAACCATGTGGAAAATCTACTGTTGTACTTACAAAACAAGTGCAGTTCTCGGTAGCAAAAGTCTCCTTGGTAGCAAAAGGTAGCAATAATCTTTTAAGCATATTTGATTAACTCGGACGTCTAATTTTCGGGTCACAAGCTGACCTTTTCCTGGTCAGGCTGTGGATGGGGAGCATCAGTGTATGATTGGCGGCTTAACTCTGACTGCAGCGTCAAATTGTAATTAACCATGCTTTAATAATTCATCTACTCAACAATAATCTTGTGTAAGACCCATCGTGACAGGATCCTCTACCAGAATTTTCTGCTGATTCCCATTTTTCAACGCCGGCCACTGCGCGGTGCAAATTGTGACGTTGTTGGTTGCGTACTTAAAGTTTTTCGGCTTGGTGAAACTCACCACTCAGCGGTGAGCGCACTTTTAATTAGCGCAAGTCGCCCTCTAATGAACTGAAGAACTTCAAATCTGTGCTGTTACTATGTAGTTTTAGATACCGGCATGGAGCAATAACAACAAAAACAACAGCAAGATACCGGCATGGAACAACAACAACGAAAACAACAGCACAAAGAATATATACTGCACTAATTACCAACAAAAATATTGATTTTTGGCTTGAAGCAATCGGACACTATCTGGAAAAACCTAAGCTTAGTCGCTTTCCAATAACAAGACGGCCCTAAGTTACGGATTTTCCATAAAACAGCTGGAGACTGCATATTCAGCCAACTCAATGGACGACATCCATCAAAGCAGTGCACGGCAGTAATTAGGTATAAAACCTAACATAGTCCTAACTGCAATAGGGATAGGCCGGCTTATTTTGCACTTTGGCCTTTGAAAGTACATGTTGCTCAGTCACCGTGCACTATCATTTAAGCAAGATAAGGCGTATTTTTAACGAAGATCATCAGTATTTAATCCGAATATTTCGTTTCGTTCTAGGTCTACGTAAAGAACAACATGCTGACTGCGCATATGCCTACATGAATCAAATCGTCACTGTAGGGGGGTGCCAAAAACCCATACAAGCGGAATAATAGGTTCATGCAGCCGAAAAATTCATATTGAACATAATAATATATCGCTTTCCCGTATACGAGTATCGTTTGGGTCAGTTAATCCCCATTCATATACATATGTGACGTCAGAAACGTTTCGCTTAGCTGGTTTTTGTCGGCATAATCACTTTAACCGAGTTTCAGGCTGTTATTTTACTGTACCCGAATAACATTACTACCAGAAAGCAGCTGAAATCATACAGCTTTAATGCTTAGCTTTTGTGCATAGACCCTGCGGAATATGAATTGTAGTGCACATGAAAAAAAAATAACTAGTTACGCTTTCTAGGAGGTTGTAATAGAGTATGAGCTCATATAGTTAATATTACTAGTATAATATCCTAATGGGCATAATTGTCTTGTAGGATAGCGTAATTGTCGAGCAGGATAATGTTCTTACTACGATTTTGTTGTTAATACTGGTATTACGAAAATGTTGTCTGTTGTTAAATCGACAACTCGATATACAGTATTGTGTCATTCTTGTGAAAAAAATATGAATTCTATCTGGGTAAACTGTCGTGTGTTTTTTTCTTGGGAATTATACCCAGTAATGGTAATGCGCATCCGACGCTGTGTAGGGCTTCTGGACTGATAAGTTCTTCGAAGTTTTACTGTATAAGAAAATTGATGTACCATGCAGCGTTCCTGAAAGATTAAACCGCGACCCGCATACGAACTAAAATAGGATACGAGAACAACAGTCTCGCTAAATTGACAAAGACTGACTGCGATAGGGGACGCCCACGAAGAGAAGTAATTTCATACAAGATTTTGAAAATGAGGAAATATACATAACTTCTCAGTTTTATTTCTTTCACCTCAACGTTCAATAACATTAAGATCTCACTATGGTTGGACAGTCAAATTCAAACCTTGAGAAGAAATATATATGGTATAAGCATAACATATAAAACAAACATAAACAGCACATAAAAAGGTAAAACCTAATAAATTGCAGCGACGGATATGCTATCGTGCTTCGTATGGACCGGTAGATAGTCCAGCTTCTAATAATTGTAGATTTTTCATATATCTTTTGGAAGCAGCAAACGTAACATTAGTAAACAATATATAATTTTTGGGTGAGCACTTCGAGCATCGTAAAACACTCGAAAGGTATGTAAATATGACGGGAAAAAAATATAGGAACAGTAGCGAGAATAAATAAATTACAAAACAACATGGCCAATGTCCCAGCTTCAGGTTTCTACCGATACACATGTAATTCCAGTCACGTTATCCGATTCTCGGTGGACGGCTCTGCCAGATGACCTCACGAGGCGGTTGACTAGATTTCCAGTTGGGCACCAACTGATTGTGTAAATTGTGCATGCCGATCGAAAACGAGATGGATCGGTCCCGTGGTGCCGATTGGGAAGGCAGCCGGTACAGCATGATGGATTCGGGTTGGTCAGCCAGCGCTGCTCGCTCCTCGGACGCTGCCAACATACTTTTGATAATCCGTGGCGCAACTATCCTCCACAATGGGACATAAGAGGCACTGCGAGCCGGACGGTTGTCGCAGGATACCGGTTGACCCAAGAGAAAAAAACTGCACACGGCGCATATACTAGCAAGCGAAAAAAAGGTCATGTTTCTGGAAATATCCACGATGTTACACATATATTGCATCGACATGTGATTTTGTGTATCCGGATATTCCTTTCGCAGGTTCATTTTATACCACCTACCTATGTTTCGTGTCGTTACCGGAAATTCTTCCGGCCGTATGTGCTTAAAATAATCTACGGTAATTGTGTAGAACGTCAGGTTGCCTTACCCCATGACGCCTTCGGTATTAATTTTTCCACGTTATCGATTGATCCTGGTCTTAATGCCGACGCAGAAGTGCGCATGTGGTAGACGGTTTATTCGAATTAAACCCACTGAATGTTGTGCATTTCTCATGGGAATCCTTTTTTAAATATGTCACGGAAGACTCCAGATTTGGCTACCATAAATCTGCTGATAAATTTTACTGGTCAAAGCAAAAAGCAATAAATCTTTTATTATCTATATAGATAGAGAAAAATATGGACGTAATGAAAATTTAACGTTTAAATTTTAAATTAGCGTCTTTCGGCACAGGCTGTTTGCTGACTGAACTAACTGTCTATTGCTAAATGAAATCATACTGTATACTATATAAAAATATTTTCATGTAAAAAATTTCTTGCACAGATGCTCTACAGTTACGACTATTTGGCATGATCACCTTAAACTGAGATTTCTCGTAATCGCCAGCCCAGTGTCATAACATGCCGCTGTATACTTGTTAATGGTGAAATATTCTACCGGAGATTTTGTGAGTACTGGTCCACTGGAAGTAGCGAATGCAGTCTCGTTTGCTCATACGACATACTTATGACGTATTTGATTATCTATAGTATGCTGTCACCTGTCAGCATGACCGCAACGCCGAACGTCGGCAAGCTAAAGCTGCAAAACCAGAGTTTTGATTACGGAAGGACTGCACGTGTAAAATCTGTTTTTGATTTTATCTGTACTGTTGACGACCAATAAAATTTAATGTGTAATAAATCACACAGTATACCTATAAATACGAGTACATTCGGCATATCCGACGCCTTGGGCGTGATGCGTGTGACTACAAACTTCCCTCTGTCATGGATGAAAAGGTGTACAAATTACGAAGTACAGCTAAAGCGCTTTCTCTGTATCGTACAATACGCTAGCCGGAAGAAAGTATCCAATTAAGTTTAATTAGCCCAAATTAACCCTTGTACGGCAGCTCGTGCGAGCACACAAGTTGGTGTGGCTAAATGAGCGGATAATAACGATCTCACCGAAGTACCTTTTAACGATTAATAAGCAGCCTTGTGTACTTGGAACGTTTGAACACTTTACGCCTAGAGCGTCCCCGCTTTAGCTGATGTGCACATGCTGTTTGATGTGATATTTTGACTTAGCTTAACATGCCGTATTATGTAAGTCGGACACTTTTCACCCTACTAGTTAACAGCACTTCACGATGGAAATCGTGCTCCGCTCGTTAATAATGATCTTGTCAGTGACAGTGATACTCGTACATACTCAATGTCCGACGCTGCACTCAGGATTGTGTTTTGTCGACTGTACCAACGCTTCCCTGTACAATATCGCGTGTGAGGATATTAAGGGGGCGGAGCTGTACGGCGATCTCAAGGTGTATGTCAACTCTGACCAGCCGATCAGTCTATCGGTGTGGGATTCTCCGTTAACGCGTATTGGCAATGCCATCTTGAATCCCGTTAGCAATCAAATGGTCCGGCTGAAACTGGACAATCTACTGGATCTCCAGTGGTTTCCCGAGTTGTGGAACCAGGCGAAATTGGTGGAGCTGGTGATTATGAACAGTCCGAAACTGGACGAAATGCCGCTGGAACTCTTGCCGGCAAAGTAAGTTGATTTCAAGTTTTCTGGAATTCGGCGCTTTTCAGGCGCTTCATCGTTGTGGTACATATATGCATAACCATAAGGTGTAGTTAAAATTATTCTTAGTAGAAAGCACAACTGGGAAAGCCGATTTGTAGAGCGTTGCATCTTGATAAAAGACATTAGGATGCTAAGCCTATGCAAAACCACATCCTACAAAGTACGACTTTTGTCACTTTTCCGTTGCAGTATTCAAAGCATTACGCTCTTCCGTGTCGGCATCACCGACTTCGTCAACGACTTTGACGAGACTCCCCAAATTCCCAGCATGGAAATCTTCATTATCGCCCAGAGCCGCATCAACTACATCCAGTCAGGATTCTTTGACTCCTTTCCCAATCTCATCGATCTGCGCATCATAGACGCCCAGCTCTTCGTCAACGAAGTTCTGATCAACGTGTTGCGGACAAAGAAACCACTGACCTCACTGCAGATTCGCGGGAACGCATTTATCACCGAACAGGCGTCCATCAAGCGTGAGTGGTTTCTCGAGGACATTATCAGCAATACACTCGTGGGCAACGGGGCGCTTGCCGATTTCGCGGACAACAGTTTGCCTATTGGGTTGGGTGTGTTGCTCAATTTGGAGAACCTGAAGAGGGTAAAAAAATTCAGTTTGAGAGGCAATACGTTCTCCTCGTTCGCTATGCTCAGCCAACGACTGACGGACTTCAGCCAATTAGAAGAGCTGGATCTTAGCGACACCGGGTTATTCGTGTAGGTATCTGCAGACATAATTTTCTCAAAACAAATATTTCTGATTTTATTTTTTCTTTAGCTACTGTATCCGTAATTGATTACATTGGGCAGACGATGCCTAAGTGCTGCCCAACTAAGCCTTTAAATTAGGGCAGACGTTTTAATCTTGAAACAAACTCGATGCTGCGCAGATTCCGAATCACAGACTTTTTCTGACGATAATTTCTGTAGTAATTTTCAAGACTTTCGAATTAGTACTATAATTACCTTTTATTCTGTAGTATTTTAACTTTATATTAATAGCTGCCTTATTTATACCTGCTAATTCAATTTTATACTAGTTCCCCTTGCCGCGGAACAGCAGTGATGGCTATATGGCCTATTACAGTATAATTTCATTTATAGTGTTATTATCCCAGAACGATTCCATTGTAGTAGCGTGTTTTTTTTACCGATTTTTATTGTTCAACAGCGGCTCCGGAATGTTCGCCGGTTTAAAGAACCTGAAAATCCTCCGTCTATCCGGCAATCATTTCCATGACCTAACCTTAGTAAATATCTTCAAGGGCTGTCAAGCGTCCAGTCTGCAGAAACTTGACCTTTCCGGCAATGATTTGGAGCTACTGCCTGCTGGCATGGAGACGTTAGCCAAGAGCCTCACCGATTTCAACCTCTCCCGTAACAAACTGCGCCTACAATTTATCTTCACCTACCAACATATACGCCGTATTACACCGTTGTTTATGTTCTCTAAGCTGCGATCCCTCGATGTATCCTACAACAATTTAAAGATCTTTATCGGTGCTTGGCTATCGGATTTGAAAGAGTTAACCGATCTCAACATTGCGTGTAATCGTTTCCAGGTCGTCACCAAGGAATATTTCCGGAATCTCCCGCGCTCACTGAAAACCCTGAATATGACCTTTTGTGCCGATGACTCCACACAGCGGCCGGAGTTCGGTGCCGATGTATTCTCGACGCTTCCATCCATCTCGCGCTTGATTCTGCAGAGAGGCATGCTAAAAGAGACCTTTCTGCAAAATCTAAAAACTCTCCGCATTCATGATTCCTTGAAGGAGCTGGATTTAAGCTACAATGTCATCGCTTTCTGGCCGGATAATACGACCATGTTGCACACACTCCATGAGTTACAGACCCTCAAACTCGGCTCCAACCAAATGCAGTCCATTGGTCCGCGGGCGTTCGCCGTCTTCGTCTTTCTCCAGGAACTTGACCTTTCGCACAACCGCCTCATCGCCATCGGGAAAGACGATTTCGCCGGGCTGCATAATCTGCGGACGTTAACCTTGGCTGACAACGACATAATCAACATCGACGCAGACGCGTTTACTCCGTTGAGACAGCTGCGGGCGTTGTATTTGGGCGGGAACAAGGACGTCGGGCTGACCAAAATGTTCCCGTTGGGTTCGAAAGCCGGGAAGAAACTGATACATCTGGGTCTGCAGCAGATGCCGGTGGAGTGTATTCCGGCGGATACGCTGCAGCAGTTGGAACGCCTCAAATGGCTGTATCTTAACCAATCGCAGTCGGTTAATATGGATTTTGGGTCCTTTCGGCGAATGCAAGAGGTCATGACGGTCAAATATCCTTTCAAACTGTTTGCGTTCCGGGAACCCACGCTGGCGGATATTGGGTGTGAATCGTATGAGAGATGGGATGTCGTTTACAATCGGTAAGGTACATTAATAAAAAGGTAGGAAAAATTAGTAATGACGGTATTTTTAAATAAGCTAAAAGTTATTTGTAGTTATTCCGCTTTGTAATGAGCGAGATTAGATGGCCAATTACAGCAGAAAATTATTCTGGAAAATATTTTGCGAAATAGCAAGATCTAAGATTTGTTTTACAATCTTTTTTTGCAGGTCAGCCAGATTCGTCGTGACCGATACGCACAATAATATTCCCCAACATATGACCATCAACATTCCCGACTGTCATATGGAGGGCAGGCGGCGCTTAAAGCAACGAACACAACATCTAGTTTGCTAATAAAACTGTTGTTAATTGATTAACAGTTTAGACTGTTGTTTTATTTTAAACTGTTGTTTTTTTTAGTTTGTGGTGCAAAGCTCACGGTTTACGCTGGCATTTAGTATTAATTTATTAATCATAATTTATAATTTTCAGCTAATCCAGAGTATTGATCTACCTTATTTGTATCCGGCAATGGCCCATTAAGTAATTACGGCTAATAAAAAAAAACAAAGCGGTTCTATTTGCCGAATTTTTTATGGCTAAAATGCTATAATTACGAATATATCTAAGTCAGTGCATTACCTAACGGCAGCTCACAACACCGCACTGCAGCAGATTCGTCTGCATTTGATGTTTCCCGATAAAGTTTTATAAAAGCCTTATATAAGTTAATATACGACTGAATGTCAATTACTTAACGGAAAATCACTTTTGTGATAGCAATCTGTAAACGCTAAAAAAGTTGTCAGGCTGGTTTTTCGGATGTTCTATGTCAAGAAGAATTAGCCTTGCGGCTGACCGCTGACTAATGGTACGTCGCAGACACTGTTACCAACTTACCGCTACGCAGTAAACAATCCACGGAGTTTACTTCGATTGCAGAAGTACTATTTTACGGCTTCTTAATAGCGTCCTTCCTTTCTGTCCATAGAAATATCGGTTGTTGCGGTTTGACAAACCCTCTCTTAACCGGGGAGCCGTGACTATGTATTCATACAGAAAAACGTTTACTGGTTGTGTAAAACCAGCGCTGCTGCACTGCTTTTTGACTGTTTTGTTAATGGCTCAGACTATTTCTTGTCAGTGTCCGACCATGAAATCAACAAAGTGCTTTGTCGATTGTACAAATCCTGATCTGTACCATATCGCATGCGAGGATATTCTGGGTCTCGAACTGTACAAAGATCTGCTTATCTACGAGAAAGCGTCGGAACCCATAATCGAGCTGTCGCTGTGGAGTTCCTCATTACATCAACTGACATCCACCATCATACATCCTGTAGCCAATCAGATGACGGGGTTGGAACTGGACAACTGGATCAATCTCAAAATATTCCCGAATTAAGGGACCAGTTTAAGCTCAAACGCCTGCGCATTATGAACAGTCCGAAACTGACAGATCTTCCATTAGAACTCTTACCGCCCAAGTAAACATATTCTACTGTATCTACCTTTCCCATAACAAAATGTTCTACCGTTGTAGCGTACATACTCGTATATGTAAGAGGAACTTAAATTTACTGTTTGCAGCATTGAAAGCCTGACCTTTTACCGTGTGGGCATAACCGCACTATTCAACGATTTCGAAGAGACACTTGCGTTGCAATACATCAATGAGTTTGTTTACGATGGCGGAATATTACATTACATCCAGCCAGCTTACTTTACTGTTTTCCCCAATTTAACCACTCTCAAAATTCGTGGAACAAACTTTACCATGGCTGAGCTGTCGCAAGATATGATGCGTACGGTGCGACCGTTGAAAAAACTGCATCTCACCGGCAATGATTTTCAGAACGTACCGTTCAGTAATCAGGAAAAGGTGCTGGAAGGTACCACTATCAACGCATACCTGGAGATTGGTGCCGACATGGATTTTTCCGGCAACAATCTTCCCGTGAGCCGAATGGCGGCGGTTAATTTTGGCGGCGTTCGCAACGCCCGATTCTTATCGTTACGGGATAACCGGTTTGATGATTACATATCAACCAGTAGATTGTTCCAGAACTTCTCCTATCTGGAGACCCTGGATCTCACGCACACTTATATATTAAAGTAAGTACTAAAGTGCGACAGTCGACAAGGGAGTACAGATGTACGCTTATAATTACTGCAGAATGTCGGATTATTCACTCAGAATGTCCGCCGGACGCTTTGACCCGAGAACCGCTCGGGACCGCTCAACCCTTCGCAGTAAATTTGACCATCCTATGTTTTGCGCATTCTCGAACAGGAAGCACAGGCCTGACAAAAATTTTGTGCCGGCGTTAAGAGGCACTCACACTGAACCACCGGTCACGAAATTTCGTTCGTTCTAATTTCGTTCGTTCGGTCATCATTAATTTTATAAATCAGGCCTGGGCTTGAGTGTTCGAAAATACAGAAAACAGTCGTGCCCACAAAATGAACTGCGGACGTTGTAGTCATTAGGAAACTGTGGATGGGTTACGGGTACAGTGGTACTTACTTCTACACAAGCTGTTTGTTTAGTTAATAATAAAACCGGTTTGGGTGGATAAGTTTGCCATCTGATATCTATACTTCTATAGCGCGCGAAAAAGATTTCTAAACTGGCATACTTTTAATAGATCCGTGGCCAGCTTTTCCGGATTACCAAGGCTGAAGAGTCTGCGAATTGCCGGCAATTTGTTCGAAGAGCTGACTGTTTCCAATATTTTCCAAAACTCCGAATCGATCAATCTAGACAACCTGGACGTATCGGACAATAATCTCCAGTATCTGCCCAAGGGAATGACGCCCATCGTTAACAGTTTGCGGGTCTTAAATTTAGCCGGCAACAAACTGGACTTAGAAGCGATCAGTAAGCAGGCCCAGAAGATCCAGCTGACACAGTTCTCCATTTTCTCCAAGCTCCAGTCACTGGACCTATCACGTAACAAACTAACATCCCTCAACGGTAGCCTGTTCAGCCACATTCCCACATTAAAAACTCTCCACATCGGATGTAATTATTTTCGCCGCATTCACAAAGGATTCTTCGAGGGGCTCCCGTCGTCCCTGAACGTCCTCAACCTGACCATGTGTTATAATAGCACGAAGATTGTCGCCAAGTTCGACGATGATGCGTTTAGCACATTGCCGGCGAACTTGAGGACGCTGATCCTGGCGCAAGGCGACTTCTCCAGCCGGGTGTTCTTTCTGTTTAAACATGCTTCTATTCCGAAGCTCCGCGAACTAGATCTCAGCTATAACTCCATCGTGCAGTTTCCGGGTGACAGCGGCCGCTTAGAACCGATAGCCACGGTGCGCATACTGAAACTGCGCGCCAATAAACTGCAGTCTTTGGGCGGTGGACGGCTAGCGGTATTGGCGTTTCTGCAGGAGCTGGATGTGTCCCGCAACGCAATCAGCGCTATCGGAAAAGATGATTTTAAGGGACTGAGCAATCTAAAAGTCCTCACGCTGGCCGGTAATCAGATTATCGATTTCGAAGAAGGTTCACTAAAACCGTTAGTCAGTCTGGAGGCCATGTACTACGGAGAGAATATGTTTACCGATTTTGACCGAATCTTTTCGGGTGGACCGAGCGTCGGACGCAACCTGAAGCATTTAGGCATACAGGAATTACCCGTTACCTGCATTCCGGGGATGCTCTTCATGCGACTGCCGAGTTTAAAGTGGATGTATCTGAATTCCTCGCGAGCGGTGAATTTGGACGCGGGGTCATTTCGGCGTATTCAAAGTGTATCCATTGGCGTGCCATTTAAGCTGTTTGCATTCCGTAAGCCGAATCTCTGGGATCTCGGTTGCACATCGTATGAACAGTTCGATGATGTATACAACAGGTAATTTCTGGTGTAAAACAAAGAATTCCTTGTCACAAACAGAGCGTTTTTGTTGTAGATCCTCCAAATTCATCGTTAATGATCGGTACAATCAGGTGCCTCAACATATGGTTATTCGCTTTCCATCGTGTCATATGGACGCCCCAAGAAGGTTAAAGTTTTACACAGACGAGGTTGTGTGTTAGCGGTGGCGGGCGTGCATATTTGAAGCAACGTGGGTGTCTGTTGATTGTTTGTTTTTGTATATGGTGATTTGCTCATGAGGTTTACCGTTTTCGTAAAAGCGAAAGCTGTAGAATTAAACAGTAATTCTCAAAAGCACCGCAAGAGTCTTGCGGTGCTTTTAAGACACAAACATTTCCAAATCAGCTGTTACACTGAAATAGACTGGGTTTTTTTTATTTTGGTCGCATGCAGACTCGACATGACCTTTGCTGCAGGAGCTGATTTCGTTATAACAGGGACCAGAGAGCGGAGTTGTATATTTGACTGGCATGCTATAGGACTTTGATGTCCCTTTTTAAACAAACCATAGAGCGATGACAAATAGTAGATAAGATAAGGATTACCGATAACGAACAGATCAAACACACCGTAAGCGTTTAGACAAAAATAAAGTATAAGCATAATGTAGAGTCGGCATTACAAATCATTATGCGTCTTATACCAGTCTACGTAAACAGCAAAATTTAATATGGAATCACCGACTAGTGCCCCGATCTATAGGATAAATGGCACAGAGTATCATCTTCAAACCATCATTGGTATGGGAGCTTTTGGTAAAGTGTACGTGGCCGAACAGAAAACAATTAGCGATCCAGTCTCATCCAGCGAGAATCTGGTAGCGATAAAAGTTTTGTCCTTTAAAGTGGATGAACCCTCTGGAGGTGCAGACCTTGTATCTGGTACTGAGCAGTTACGAGAAAAATTGTCTAAGAAATGGAATACAATTTTTCCGCTACGCCATGTCAATGTCGTGCGCTATATTGATGGGGATCTTCTGGAAACCGGAATCTTGCAAAAGCTGGACGCTGTTATCGTCTTAGAATACTGTGAACGTAAGCACAACTCACAAACGATATCGATGTGTCTTATATTGCAGCATTATCACATTTCTTTAAAATACTCCTCTAAATCATTTCGCTTAACGAATTTCGGGATAGTATATGTGTCACGTCAAATTCAAAGTTAGACGATCGAAAATTAATCCTTTTCTGACTTATGTACAGGCAGTCAGCAGACGGCTTTTTGTTATTATTCGTATATCTGCAGTGGGAACTCTGGGACGGTATGTTGCCAGTATGGAAACTCAAGTTCCACCGACGTATTTGTCGGCCGCCGCCGTAAAATACTGTGCCAGCGACATTCTTAACGGTTTGTCATTTCTCCATGCTGCCCGAATCATTCACACCGACATCAAACCGGACAACATTCTTCTGTCAAGAGCCGTATCGCACCGGATTACAGCGAAAATCTCCGACATCGACGACCATGTTCGCATCTACGGGAGCGTTACGAAGACGAAGGATATGACTCACTTTCAGGGAACAGTGCAGTTCATGTCGCCGGAAATGTTAAACCAACGCGATCTAAATGAGCTGAAGGACATTGGGCGAAAGACCGACATCTGGAGTTTTGGTTGTGTAATGATTCGGCTCGTTAAGCATGACCAGCCGTTTGTGCTGGCCAATGCAGATGGACAACGCTGTGTGGTGACACCAAAGCTGGTTGAAGTGAAAATTCGCGATTTTATCGTGCTGAAGAAATGTACACCGCACATACCGGAAGGCACGTCGGCGGATCTAAGCAATATGTTGAGCCAGTGTCTCCAGAGAAATCCCAAAGACAGACCCGGCGCGGCAGCTCTGCTTAATGATCCATACTTTCAAAGCGATGCCGAAATACTTGATCACGCCTACCGAGAACTAGGTGACCCGTGGTTCTAATGCGTACTTTATTTTTATATGCAAGAATCTAACGATTAGAGGAGCTGTGGTAGAGTTTGACTAGATCTAATGAAACATCACAGTCAGCATTTTCATGGACATACACAGTCAGTACTGACTAGTGACTAGCAAAAGCAACAGGCTGCTGCATCGCTACTTACTGTATACGTAATTCTGTTTCTGGCTTCGCTTGGTGCACTTCCCTAGTCTTTATGGTTGCTGAATCTGATACGTGATAATATGCTGATCTGCTAATGATAGCAGTCTTTACTCTTTAATGCTTTGATCTATCTGTAGTGTAAATCGGAGATGTTCATTTGGTATACTTCCTTGCCTACACGTGTATCATAAAATAGTTTCTCGAACATAATTTTGCAGAACGACTTGTCTGCATCACGCATATCCAGTGTTTGGCTTTCGCTGGGCAAATAATTCGACTTTTCGTGCATTCTTCCACCAGACGAGAGAGTAAAGTGTCACATTCCGCAATCAAGCATACCTGTAGCTAAGATTAGAGTGGTGTAAACTCTAACTGCAAACAGACTTGCACGATAAGAAATGCAATCAACAGACTGATAAGGAAAACAGCCGGAAGTAAATGTTAACAACTGAGGACAACCCATGGAAATGTTAGGCGCTGTATAACGACTATGTAGCGACTCACCTCATTGATAATTATTAGTCAAGCTAAGTGCGTCAGGTGTTATAAAACTGATATATTGCTAAACCAGCGTCCCTTACACACGCTCAACACTCAACTTTGTTCTTCTGAGCACGTCAGCACGCTTTAGTTGATCCATAACTTTGAAAAGCGGCTTCTTCATGACTGCTTAACGCGTGTGTACAGAGTACTTACTTTAGATGCTACTAAAAATTTATTTTTGCAATGCCCAACTGAATTAACCAGATCCCTATTTTTTAAGCAGCATCTGCAAAGGGCAAACAATGGAAGAGCTACGAGGCTCACCATCCCCTGGCTCCCGCTTTGAAAGCAGCAAGGCACAGGATACTCCTCAGTTGACTGGTCAGACCGAAAGCGGAATTGTGCCCGGCCGGCCACGGACAGAAATCCCCTTGCTAACGATGATTGGACAAGGCAGCGGTGGAGAAGTGTATCGCACATGTGTGGATCAGCAAGACGTGGCGATTAAAGTTATTTCATCTACGAAGACGGATAACTTGGAGCAAATCAGAACGGAAGTAATGGAAACGTCATCGAAGCATAAGTTCGAATATGTCCAACTGTACTCGCACGCTGAGATTGCACAAGCGGTTACAGGAGAACAACAACTTTCTATCCGAATGCCGTTCAGTGCTGGTAAGCCGAAGACACTTTAATTTAATAACTTTAATTAAAGCATAACTTTAATTTAATGCTATGTGTGTTTCTTACCGATACTACCGTTTGTATTTTTAACACCTTACCATAGGTTCAAAAGACGCAATTTAATCCAAAACCTACGTATATATAAGCCCATGTTCAAGCTAAATATAATTTTTAACGCCCAACGGGTGCGCTTCCTTCCAGGTGGGACGCTGCGAGAGTTTATCCGCAAATACAAAAACGAAATCCCATTACATTATCAGTATGAATACACGTATCAGCTGTTACTTGCCGTGGAGAATCTGCACGTAGATCGACGAAGAATTCACGGCGATATCAAATCGGAGAACATCATGGTGCATGACCTTTTCGGCGAAGCCGTCCGTCTTATCGATTGTGAAGGCGCGGTGCCTATTTCCAAAGGTTTCCACTACCAGACGGGAACGCTGCACACCATGTCGCCGGAAATGATTCTATTTGACCAGGATGACGAAGGCGTCGGAAAGGTAACCGAGAAGACGGATATCTGGAGTGCCGGGTGTGTGCTGCTGGAAATGGTTCTGGGTGAGTACCCGGTTTATGAACCGGAATGCGGAGACTTCCAAATAACCCATGAGGACAAAAACTTGGCGATTTGGTACGATTACTTCGCTGGTCGGTACGGAACACCGCTGCCACCCAAAATACCAACCGATATCCCGCTTATACTGTACAGTGTCATTGACCAGTGTCTGCAAATTAATCCGGATGACCGAGCGGATATTCTACAACTGACAGGACTATTTGAGTCTTACAAAAACGAGGTACGGTGCATATTTTATAATTTTTCTCTTGACAGCAATAACAGTTTTTTTAAATGTATCCCGAGTTATGTATTTGATCAATTTTTGGTGCTTGGTACGAAATACGTAGAAGAGTTGCAGCAAAATTATTTCCATCAGGTCACAACCAGTTCGTTAAAATGCGCTGTAATGCCAGCCCTTGGACGAAATCTGCAACTGGGTATGCTGTACGATCCATTTACCGACACGGCATACCCTTTGGAAGATGATCGTATCAACGTCTTGGAAAATAGCTTTTAGCTACAACTGCTAAGGACGCTCCATGTAAGTTGGCGGTAGCTTTATGCTATAACAGAGTTTACCCTTCTGTACGTTGATGATTTGGGTTCTTCTAACCGTGTGAGTACGTTGTGTGAAATTTTACACAGTATTTGCTTATATCCCCCGTAGTGAAACAGATGCCGGAACATTGCTCGCCAGGCGCCCCTTATACCCTCAACAAGCGCCATCGTCTCACCGGCGTGAGTCGGATACTTCGCAAAAACTTACTATCTGGCCGAATTTCGCCCAACATAAGCGGTGTAGGCTACTTCCTGTTGCCAGAAAATAGTGTGCCGTATGTCGGCACCACCGCCTACGAATCGTTTCTCTTCCGCTACGACATAATGGGACCAGAAGCCACGGCGGACTTGTTGCGCAACCTGACCACCGAGAATACCAATCAGGCCACGCACTACATCAGCCGGATTGATTACGGCTACGATGCACTATTTGTTCATCAATATGCGTCTGATATATCAAAAGATTTCCGGTTTACATCTGCCGCGATGGAGATTACGAATAAAAACCAGAGACTGACGGTGTTCTGCGGCGATCGACTACGGGAATGCGAAAGCTTCCGAAAATTTGTACACGAGAATATCGACGACTACGACTGGGCACTACGAGCGCTGGCGGGGGCGGAGCTAGAAGATCCAAGTGATCCGTGGCACAGTTACGTTCAACCGGTGCGGTACTATTTAACCGAATTGCCGGCGTTTGCTGCGGTGAAGAAGCAGCATCAGGCGCTCAACGATTGGACGGAGAAAATCATCCGCTGGATCGATCGCATTGATATAACCGTTTGCCAGACAAAACTTTTACCCACGGATTTCATCGTAACCCTAACGGAGCATATTAATATGGATACTGCGGAATTCCTCCAGCTGCTGATGGCCTTTCGCCAGCATTTGATTCAAAAACTGGATGTTCTTACCGTACAGAATTTGGAAAAGTTAGCAACAATTTTCTACGATAAAGGCAGCAAAAACTTTGCGGCAATCAGGAACTGGTTGAGGAAGACTCCACCTGAAAACTACAGTTGGTACAACCCTTCGAATTTCTTTGGAACAAAGCATAACATTATTCTAGATTCGACGGTGGTCAGTTGGCCGAAGTCTCGTACGGTTAGGATTATTTTACCGTTAAGTGAAAGCTTCCCGCAGTCGGTATATTTTCGCACTTTAGAGCCAGCTCGTGAACCACTGCACGAAAAATGGCAAACCGGTTTCGATGAAAATCTTGACCCGGCACAAAACTGCTTCGGCAACGACACCGCATCGGATATGCTCGTTGTACTTGAGGATGTGGAACATTTAATGAGCATGGATACGGGAAATCCGAAATCCGCAGTGGATACGGCGTATTTGTACGGCAAACATTTCCATCCGAAATGCATGGAAAATCTGATAAAAGACGCTATCGCTGCGGGAATACCGGTACTGTATGTCGTACAGGTCACTTCATCCGAACCGAGATTTCTTGAACACCCCGATAGATTCCGGCGCCGGACATCGCTAAAGATGGGCGGGAAAATGCATCGTTTGCCGACGTATTACGTTGACCTGGATCAGCCAATGGCCTACGATTATCCCGAGCTGTGTGGCGCAATTGGTTACGAAATATATAAAAGTCTAGCTGTTTATAAAGGTTGTGAGTGCCCGGACCTGTGCGCTAAAAATCAGAATCAAAAATGATATCACGCGTGATTGATTATCTGTATTTTACGAGTACGATGATGTCAAAATGCGCAATAAATACTAACCAAAAGACTGCACTATGTAAATGTATCTCAATCTTCGATACTAAATACAAATATCTTCGATAGAACCAGAAAAAGTGAAAAATTAACAATAATGAACGTTTGAACTCCGATCAGACATACGCGGTCGCATAACAACTGTTAGGGATAACTTTATATACTGTAGTATATTTTGTGGGAAGTTGAGAACCACAGCTAATATAACCATCTTTCACTTGGTGATTTTTTTGAAAAAGCCCATTGCTCAAAACCCATACAGTTGAGGGATGGATATGCCTTCCGATAAGTACATATAGATATATATACGTATTCACCAGCGTGAAATGAACGGTGGCCGAAATGATAGGGTGCCTACACCGGCACTCCACTAGAGGCTAAAGCTACGAATTGTCAGGCGGCGGCCGAAGTGTCGGGCAGCCGAAGTGTCAGGGAGCCAAAACTACGTATTGTATGCCAAATAGAGTACTTAGATAACTCTGGAACCAAATGTGGCGCTATAAGCACGATAGTTGCTAAGCGTATGCCTCCTTAATTTTATGTTTAAATCGATCATGCAAGGGAAGTGACCCGGTGCACAGTACCAAGTTCGGGTAAGTGCACGACAACGTTTGCTTTCGCTCACTCCCAAACAAGTTTTCACATCGCTTTACTGCATTCTGTAGCCCAATGATTTGTACGTAGGCAAAAACAATGATTTGCATAAACACGGTTTTAGTGCAAAAACCGTGTGCGCGCGCAACATCCGGTTGGGAAATTATGGGCTGTGAACTTCGTTTTAAAATTTGAAAAACCTGCATTCGTGTGAAAACTAATCTGCGCATATGCGCATTTTTGTGCAAATTTTCAAGGAAATCGGGCCGTAATGAGACTTTAGGTACATTTTTTTATTTTTTATTTTTATTTTCTTATTTTTAAACTTTTTGGAATTTTTTGTACCCATAACTTCCCAACCGGATATTGTGCGAAACGGTTTTCACACCAACGTAAACAAATCATATGGCTACAGGATGAAATAAAACGATGCAAAAACTGAAGTGTTCGGAAATACGCGAAAATGAAAGGTACGCAACTTTAGTGCCATGTATCGGCCCATTAAGATTACAAAGTCTACAATGTTATACCATGGCGTATTATTTGTCAGTTCCTCTTATATTTACCCATCCAAGGGTTATCCAAGGGTTATTAAAATTAAAATGGCTTTGTTGACTACAAAACCTACACTGTGCCCGCTGCTTTGCTTGTTCCTGATATTCCAGAATAATATCAGCCCATGTCCGGTACAGCAAGGATTTAGTGGTGAATTCAGTAAGTTTCGATGTGATTATACATGATTCTAAACTGGTCAGATTGGCTACCCGTACGGCCGTTCGAGTGACGTTCGTAAAAAACGGTGACTAATAATATCTCTGTAGGTGACTAATAATATCTCTGTAGACTAATAATATAAAAAAAACCCAGTATTTTATCCGTTCTATAACGAGCGGGTTCTTTTCAAAAACACAAGTCTCACAATCGCGTACAAATGCTTATGCATGTGATGCAGAGCATACAGTGCTGCACGACGGCTGGTGCGCAATGTACGATAATCATAGCCCATAGGTCACCATTTCGTTATCAGTTCTACCGTAATCTTTCCGCATCTGTACAGTTATCAAGATAACAAGCGGCAGTTCTTCAGGTAATCGAACACTTAGGCGCTTAACGCATGGCTCGGCGGCCCCCAAGTGACAAGTTACAAGAAGAATTGCCGTGAAGGTTCTCTGGTGTCAGGCCGTGCCATATGTTCTATTGTTATAGCGAACTATGTATATAGAGCATAACGGCACGACATGGCGCCTCTGCAAGAGTATTTCGGGACGGACTGCTAATCCCGGAAGTACCTGCACAATTGTACCTGGTAAAAATAACTTAACAATGTAGCTGTTATGACGTTTCATAACCATTTCGTGATTCTTATTCTAACTTACAAGTTAAGCCTAAACGTTTGCGCGGTTCCCACCATTTCATAAGAATGTGGCGCACTACACTGACAGCCTGAGCCGGGTATTTTGATTGTAATAGAAAGTTTATTTTATTAAGTTCAAATCGCGACATTACAGTCATAATTCCATTAACTACGGCCATCAGTGCACAGTTAAGAATTAAAAAACAACCAAAATCCGCATTATCAACCAGTTTGTTCTTTCCCGGTAAAGTTCCCAAGGCCGATCCACGGCTTTTTTTAAAGCAGCGTATTAGCCTCGCAATTATTAAAGGAAACGCCGCGGCTGTTTCGGGTATTTTGATTATTATTAACAAAAAGGTTGATCGTACTCGTACGGAATGCTGGGTATGGTACCGCATGATCATTTACTCGTCAGCAGTACATTATAAATTTTTCTTCCTTCTTCGACACTTGTAAATTTCCTAATTTGATGTTTTTCGTCGTTAGTTATACAACAGTTGAACGAAGGTATCCAAAACGGGCGAAACGGCATAATCCCGCTAAAATTACAGGAACCCTCCCAGACCATGAAAACATTAACGAAATCACTGTCAAGCGAAAACATAATAAGAGCGGCAGAAGGAGAAACAGTGCAGCTTCGCTGTAACGGCAGCAACACATCGACTCCCTGGAACGGTGAAGATTCTCCGTCGCAGTTATGGTTGAACGGCAGACCAATCAATTTTACTTTCGCTGATATAGTTCGACCATTCGGAAGCAAACTCGCTCGATGCAGCTGTCATGGCAATGTCAGTGATTCTACCATTCTCGTTTCTAGTGAAGTTGTATTAAGCGATATGAATCCGCTTACGAGATCCTTGACAGTTGACCTGATTGAGCTCACTCATATGCATGCCGGAAAGTATGAATGTGTCCAGCATAATGGCAGCCAGTTTGTGGTCACCCAGACGTTTTTAGTCAGTCCGCAACTAATTCCTTCGCAGGTTTTTAAGCCGCCAATGCGCAACGTCACCGCGAAAGTTGGTGACGTTGTGCAGCTAGCCTGTGTCGTCCAGTTCCGAGCACTTGTGGGACGCTTAGGAAAACGCTTTATTTGGAGAAGCGAAGACCACGTCATATATGCCCCAGGAATCACTCAGGCCCGGTTTATCCCTGAAGGTTAAATCAAAGGTGTCTGTGTGGACAGAAACTGATGGGATTTGCGACTGTAATTCGACTTTGACCATCTATGACGTCAGAACATATCATTCCGGCAGTTATCAGTGTGTTGGTTCAAGATCGATGACATTTTGCAAGAGTGGATCATGCAAGAGGCGTATCTCACCGTGATTCGTTAAAGTGATGCTGCGTTTACAGCACAGTGATAATGCCAGCAGCACACGGTACATGATATTAAGTTTTCATAAATTTTGCGTTGAAGTGAAATTGTTGAAGAAAATAATTCTGTGTCACTGTGCAACCTGCTATGTGCTGTTTCATGACGGAAATGTGTTCTTAGAATATTTTGGTTTCGCAATGCTGTGATGAAGTTTATGCATGGAGCACTCTAGTTTCATGTTGCTCTGCTGGGTTTTAAAATTGTTATCAAGTAGGGGCACTCATACGTTTAGCAAATAAATATTCCTATTCAGTGAATAACTGAAGACACGCACCAGGTTGTTTATCTCACCGTTTTTCTACTGGTTTAAAAAAAATATATCGCAGTTGTCGCGAAGTTTTCACTGCTGTTACTAATAAGAACGTTTTGCCAGGTTTTCAAAGTTTTCCAAATTTGCGAAGCCAGCTTTTGTGTAAAATTCGGGCGAAAGGTCATCAAAAGCTGGATAAACTCTAAGTCCGGTAAAACATACACATAATCATAGATCTGGCCAGACTGTACTGCAGGTTGCCGTTCCTTATCGTTAGATTTATATAATTACCGCATCTCAAGAACACAAAATCAAGTACAAGTTCTGAACTATCAAGGTAAAGATCTATATTACAACGGAAAACCCCGTACGATCTGGTCAGAACAAACCAAAAAATTAATCGAAAAACTGCTAACGCCATTCGATTCAGCATGTCTGGAAACTGTGTCACATGCATTTGTTTTGGTAATTATCCGCTCCGGCTTCCGTGCAGAGACACCGGTGCCGGTAGAGCTGAAAGCTCAAGGTGACCTTGAAAACAATTTCAAAGTCCTGTTGCATGGAGCACGAAACCAGTAAATTTAAACTGATACCCTTTTTAGATCAACAAATTATAAAGGTTATTCTCCTACAAAACTAGAAAAGCCAAATAGCAGTAACACAAACGATGCTGCTAGTGAATGACTCTGTTTCAATAAATCGTTAACAATTTAAAGCGCTCAAAAACATGACTTAAGGGAAGTGGGCCGGTACATGGTACCAACATCCGGTTCGGGAGTTATGGCTGTAAGAAAATTCCAAAAAGTTTAAATGCATTCAGGTGTACCAAAAGTCTCATTATCGACCGATCTCCCTCAAATTTTGCACGTAAATGCACATAACCGCGAAGAACGTTTTTACACCGATGATCCGATCCATTGTTCTAGCAATTTTTTCAAATTTTAAAATGAGTTTCAAAAAGTTTAAAATTCATTGTAAAATTTGAAAAAAAATCATGGAAGCCTGGATCGATGTAAAAACAAGCTTCCTGGACATGCGCATTTACTTGCAAAATTAAATTTAAATGCATTCAGGTGTACCAAAAGACTCATTATCGACCGATCTCCCTCAAATTTTGAACGTAAATGCACATAACCACGAAGAACGTTTTTACACCGATGATCCGATCCATTGTTCTAGCAATTTTTTCAAATTTTAAAAAATGAGTTTCAAAAAGTTTAAAATTCATTTTAAAATTCGAGAGATCGGTCCATAATGAGACTTTTGGTACACCTGAATGCATTTAAACTTTTTGGAATTTTCTAAAAGCCATAACTCCCGAACCGGATGTTGCGCGCACAAACGGTTTTCACGCCAGTGTATACAAATCTTCGGGCTACAGAAAGTCATAAACCGAGTCAAAAATGTGTTTGGGAGTGCGCGAAAGTGTAAGGTTTCGTGTATGTACACGAATTTGGTACCATGTACCGGCCCACTTCCCTTAAGAATAAGAACTCTCGTTTAAAGCCATTTGAAGGCAGCTGCAAACCAAACTGACCATAGTAATCGTTTAAACGGGCTAACCTTTCACTGCAGTCCGAGCAAAACTAAGGACAGGGATTAATTATCAGCATATACAGTCCTTAAATTATTCCGTATAATACGGAATAATACGGTAGTCTACATTCTAGATCTTTACCACAAAAAATAAAAAGGGATACACGAACCCAGCTTTCCCGTATAGAATCAGCAAAAACCATTTCCGTAATCTGAGTGCTCATATTCCAACAGCAAAAACCATTTCCGTAATCTGAGTGCTCATATTCCAAATCCCGGCCAGACGGTCTTAGTTTCACAGAGCCCCCGCTGTGACCGAACTACCACTACTGTCCAGAGCACACAGCCCGCTAGGTGAACGAGTGACCGAAGTACCACTACTGTCCAGAGCACACAGCCCGCTAGGTGAACGAGTGACCGAAGTACCACTACTGTCCAGAACACACAGCCCGCTAGGTGAACGAGTGACCGAAGTACCACTACTGTCCAGAACACAGCCTGCTAAGTGAACGAGTGACCCAAATACCTCTGCTGTCCAGAGCACCCAGTCCGCTAAGTAAACGAGTGAACTACCGCTGCTGTACAGAGCATGGATCCCCGCAGGGTGAGCAAGTGACCGAACTTCCATTGCTGTCCAGAAGCCCGCTAAGAAAATGAGTGACCGAGCTACCACCAGAATCTATTGCAAGCATTCTTTCGGTGGAAATTTCAAATTTAGTACCTGGTAGACTTAAGGTCTGGAGGGAGAAGTTTACAAAATTCCTTCTGTGTGATAGTGAATGCGTCTAACCATAAGTGCACAAAAGCCATAAATTCACTTTTTATCCTATCTGCATTTTAGCTTAGTTTCGCTGAAGGAATAAGAATTATAAAATGTTAACTAAATAGGTGATCGAAATCATTTGACTAAACCGGCCATAGACTGGGTACCGCAAGAAACGCGGAGGCGAAGCCGAGGCTGTTTCTTGTAAACACATAATTCATTAGAACCACGGGTCGTCTCGTTCTCGATTGACATGGTAAAGGAATTCAGCATCGCCTAGAAAGTATGGATCAGCAGGGCTGCTGCAGCGGTTTATCATCCAAATTCCTTTGAAGACATTGGCTCAGCATACCTTCGAGATCTGCCGATGCGCCTTCCGGTATTTGCGACATAAATTTCTTCAGCAAGATGAAATCAGGAATGTTCATGGCAATCAACTTTGGTGTCACCATACAACTTCGTCCGCATTGACCAGCAGAAACGGCTGGCCGTCCTTAACGAAGTAAAAAATTCATTGCGCAAACGAAACTTCATATGTCAGTCTTCCGTCCGGTGTCCTGCAGCTCCGTAAGATCGCTTCCGTGTAACGTTTCTGGAGATATGACCGCGATTGTTTAACGTTTAGCCACACATGCATACGATGGCGCGAAATATTCTGGCTTGAGATAGGAACTCCTAGTGAGAGATACCTCGCGCGTAACAGAGATCATATCACGGGAGGAATATATGCGTCGAGATAACGACTAAATTTACCGCCTGCAGTTCTAGTATCCACCTTTCAAGAGGAAACTGAAAACGTCAACCGGTGCTGCCAAGCTATTCACAGTAAGGCAGAAGCCATGTCCGTAAAAACACCGGTACGGATGTACTGTATTAGAAGGCGGGATCGCTCATGCCGATCAATTATGCTTGTTTTCTAACACAGTACTATGCGGTAGCCGGTGCTCCAGTAAACAGCTGTGGAAATTACGCGAATTGACGCTATTTTAGACTGGCTGGTTCTCTGCAAGGTCTTCTATCAAAGATTCACCATGATCAGATTAGTGATCCTTTGCCGGCTTTTTGTAATTCTTTTGCAAACTGCTTCTGAGGGTCAACCACACGCAGACTGCGTTACTGAGCATGTACTCGGTAACACAGCTCGCGTACGGTTGACACTCTGAATACCAGTGAACCCCATTGATCATCTATATGACCGAATCCGGGGATATTACGTAATACCCCCTTCCAAGGCTACCCCGGAAGTAGTGGAGACGGTGTATATACAGAGTGTTCTGCCTTCACTATTTCCATGGTAGCCATGGAGGCCATCGAAGCCGGCCCAAATATATCCGGAAAATCGTGGAAAAATGCCACGGGCTGAGAAAAGAAGAGAAGTCAGCGGATGGATCGGATAGAGGCCGGGAAGGGAAACACACATGATCGCTCGTTCACAGATTTGCGGATATTTGGCATGGTTGCTGGGACGATGATTTGTTTGGTCATTGCCGTTTGGAGAGGCTGAAATTTTAAGAAAATAAACTCAACTTATGTTGTGTCTAATGTTTAATGACCAAAGAAGATTCATTCTCGCTCTGTTCTAATTTTTTGAAATTCTTTTTCTATAGTATTTTGCCGTTTAGTGAAGAATATAATTCTCCTTGAGAATAAGCTTTTTCACCGAGCGGCAAAGTACCATTTCTCATCATCAAGGAGCACCGTGCCCCCACTGAAAGGGATTGAGGTTAAGTGGGGGAAAATATGGCAAGGTCTGCCTGATTTTACAAGAATTTTATGCAAATTTTGTTAAAAAAAAGACAAACAAGAACGGGATATACTCTGATTTTTATGACAAAGTGCTGTACTCTACCCTGTATTTGCATGTAATGTACATGTAACAGATATGTACCTCGTAAATAATATGAATAGAACGCCTTTTAAGTACCTACTCGTAATTATTGTGTCAGTCGATACTGCGTGCGTCGAGCACGCCTACGCGCATTCGGTGAATTAGAAATCGCGAGAAATGTACAGTAAAATTAATAAATCCCTTTAATGCTACACGAGTAAAGGTGTAAGTACAATTGTATATGATTTTCGAAAGCTGACTTAACGGAAACTGAATCAACACAGCACAGCTGAATTATTGTTAACGGATATAATGATGATACTGCATGCACCAACTAACACGTAAATATAATTATTGGCTTTTGTCAAACTTCATTTAGTATAAAAATGACGTATGTCTCCTAGATTTCTGTTTTGTATTTTGTGCCAACCAGACTGGTTGAGAAAGAAAGTCACCCGAAAATTACAGTTGGTACAACATCTTGAATTTCTTGGGGAAAGCATAACATGACACTCCAGGTAATTGTTGTTAACTGGCCAGAATTGTTTTACCGCTAAGCGGAAACTTTCCGCATTATGTATAGACAAAATTATAAAATGTATTTAACCGAGTATATATTCGCATAGACGGTACAGATAAAAGCTGCTATCGCTGCGGGAACACCGGTGCTGTATGCTCACTAAGTTGTACAGGTGACCTCGTCCGAGCCGGGATTTCTCGAACATCCCTACAGATTACGCCACCGCACCTCGTGAGAAAATACTTACATACCTACATATCTGTACACCGCTTGCCAACGTATTATGCTGACCTGGATCTGCCAGTACCTTACGATTACTTATCCTAACCATAAGCTGTGTACAATGTGGAGCGATTGGCTTTGAGATATCATGCGTGATTGATTACTTCATCTGTTTATTTCGATTCATAATTATCACAGTATTAACCATACACGACTTATTTTACGAGTAGAAACATTAGACATATCAAACTTATTGCGAAAATTAATAAACTAATGCAGCGAAAACGCAGGTGTTATCACTGCGTAGGATTTATTAATACGCAGTGAATATCATCAAAAAGATTGAGCACTACTACAAACAGCTACGTATTTAATTTATTTAGACAGTTTACGATCCATTTTATATAAAACTGGGCTGATTATTTTCCGCACAGAAAATTAGTGGCAAAATACACACTTTACACCACCAAAAAGGCTTTCGTTCGCATTCTTTAAATTATTCTGTAAGACGCATGGACGTGGTCTGTTTATGATAATCACACTAATGGCAAAAATCTTCAAGATAATTTATTTGTACTAAACAATTCCCATTCTTTTTAAACTTCTACTATTGAAATCAAATTTCACTGCGACGTATTAGAAGTCAGACAACTTTAAAGTCCAACGATCGAGGCAAAACCGTAATATCGACAAACATCCAATGTCAACGCCATAAAATTAACCGGGAAACCAGGCACATCACTTGAGCATCAGCTTGGCGTTGGGCCGCGGCGGCAGATAGCCAAAGGGCCGGTCATCGTAAAACGTCAGCATCTCCTGATGTCGGCGGCGATTCTCTCCCATAACCGTCGCGTACAGCTCCTCCACCGCGTCCACAATCAGTCCCACGGTGGGCGGGCGTCGCTGGGCGAAATGGCCGCCCTTCTGGAAGACCAGACAGCGGATGTACTGCTCCCGGTCGCCGTGCTCGTGGCGCTGCCTAAAGACACCTCCCTCCGCGTCGTGGATGGTCAGTTCTTCCGGGCGGAGATTCAGAAACCGGGTGAACTCGTAGGAGACGGCCGATTCCACGTACTCGTCGTCTTCACTGAATGTCACGAGAAGGGGCAGTTTGCTAAAGAGCAGTTCCCCCACGAAGGTTTGGTACTAAAAATGCAACACCAGCCGTCTTGGAATTTTTCGTACAGCGATTCCTACAGTGTGGCGTATTGTTAAACTGGAGCAAAAAACGCGTTTTTGCACTACTACACATTTCTTGTCATTTGTGCGTTGTTGTTGCATGACTTGCATCTATGATACGTCAATGGTAAAAAAATCTGTACTTGTCAGTAACACATTAAAATATTAAAACACCTTTCGTTTAAATTACAAATCACGGCTCAACCGTTTGTAAAAAAATTTTATAATTACAAAAAGAATCAAAGTAAAACTTCAAGAATTCAGTAATTACAGGTAATAAGGAGACTTACAACGGCAAAATCAACGCCATAGCCGGTCTGTCCCATGACGTACATCTGGTCAACAGTCAAGCGACGCCCACGACCAAATAAACCAAATCCCAAAAATGCCACCGGGGCCAATAATTGTCGGACAAATTTCCATGCCATCAGATTAATGAAAAACTTTTTTATCCGATACGGCTCTAGACCTCTACAAAATAAAAAAGATAAAAAATTACACACTTTAAAGAACGACCTCTGAAGTCCGAAACAAACTAACCAAACAAGTATAAAAAAATTGAAAAAACTTTATCTAAACATCAGTCAGAAACACAAACAAGAATATTTTTTCAAAAAAATAAATACATAAATCATAAAACAGGGTTGGAAAACTGCAAAACGAAGCTTAAACCCAAATTTTTCTAATTACACGGCTGCTTACTTATAAACCCGATGTCCCGGAATCTGCAGGAGTGCCACGCCGCGGACATCGAATACCTGCCGACTAGCCAGCGGCACCGCTGCATGGCATCCGGCGCTGAATGCGACAACTAAATCCAGTTTGGTGACACCCAGTTCACGCAGAAAGTCCACTAGAAAATGGACGTTTTCCTCCAGAGTGTGCGTATACATCTCCGTGGCGTCCATGGCCGTTGGTCCATTGAACCCTGCTCCCCAAAAACAGGTAAAACAATCAGTTGCATGTATCGTGCTGAATACTGAATAAAATTTACCGTAAAAATTAGTTCAGTATATGACACAGGATGTTTAAAATAAAAAGCCTCATTATTTTAACAGCCAAGAAAGCGGACAAAAAACGCGGGTTCAGTTCTTTAGCTAGAGTGGTTCAAGACTAAAATTATGAAGTACTGTACAGTTTATTCGCAATCCGATCAGACTGAGTTACTAGACAAATACCGGGGAAAACGGGAGCCAGCACGCGTGCTCCTCGGGCTGCCAGGGCTTTGATGACGGCTGCGTGGTCCTTGTGGTTTCCACCGGCGCCATGCACGCATAATACTGTCGGGTTGATCGTCCGCCTCCCGTTCTCATCGACGTTCGGATCGAATTCGCCTGAAATTAAAGCATGAAATTAGCCCGAACTGACTCAAAGGAATACCAACTCGCCTTTCTTCGTTCTACGTGTTTTGTATAACCATCTACTACATCGGATTAAATTTCTTAATAATTTTTCTTAAGAAATCAACCTGCACGATATGTTTTATATACCGCACTTTTATAAAAAAAACGAAATGCAATATAATAATATATGCAAAACCACTTAGGAGCAAATCATGTACGAGTACTGTAATTACTGTACTGTATTCGATTTTAAAATTCTGCAAAATTTTGCAAATTTTTTTACTATATCCGGGAACAGAAGCATTATGCGCTGGTGAAATCTGGCACATTATATTTCTGTCGGAAAATAAAAACAGTGCTCTTGGCCGAAAGCGAATCCCCATACTCACGCTGGCGAATAATCAATCAATCACCTCGATCAGCAGGGAATCCCGTGTCCACATAGGCGATGTTGAACACCAGCCCCAGGGGCGGCGTCTTCCCGCCCCCCTCCGCCATCTCCTGCTGGAACAGCCCCTCCATGGTGCGCACCTTAATGTACTTGAGGGGGTAAGGGAATTCTTCGCGCGGAGGTTTAACAGGCGCTTCACCGCCGATGCATCGACGCTGGGTTCGCCACACACCCCGTCTCCGTCCATCGCGCTTTCCATGATCGGATAACACAGGGGACGACTCAGATCGATACAGTATGGAAGAAGACAATGAATGGATTGATGAGCTTTGAGTACAAACTGGAAGAGATGTTAATACGGAAGCACAACCCTTGGAATGACTACGAAAGATACTGCTGACAACATTGCGCAAGAACACTGGCATTGCTGGCTGACGCGAAAGAGACGCGTTTGGCAGCTATGCAAACCGGGAAAGTGCAACCTGCTGGTTAACAAATGTTTTCTGGTTATAACATCGAGCAGCCGGAAACTTGCGAATTTAAAAAATTTGAAAACAATAAAATACTTATCTTATTTTAAGATATCCCGTTCCGACTAACAATTTATCACGCTGCAACTTTTGCTTACTGCGCAGTACGCAAAGTAAGGTGCGGAAAACGCTACCTGCCAGGTGTGGCGGTTACATGGCACTGACCGTATTTGTTGCGTCAGTCCATCGTTTGTGAAGCAAGCGAGTGAAAAGTGTAAAGCAGTCTGATTGGTTTCTGAACAGTTTTTTCTGTCTAGCTCTCGCCTGCTTTCTCACGTATGTGACACTTTTCGTTGCTAATAAATCCTTACTAACCAAATTTTTTTACGAGTATTTCCTTTTCTGGATGTTATGCGAGAAGTCGACAGTCTCGATCCCATGGCCGTCCCGAAGCCGCCCACCTACAAGAGCAGCAAGGTGCTGCCGCTGAAGCTCTGCTACAAAATCCCCACGGATCAGTTTGTCCCGGCCGGCCGGACGTACGACACCTGCTCCAACTATGTGGCGGAGATCCGTGTGGAGGAAGAGCCCGGCTATCCGGAAATCCAGGCCTGCACCTGGATTGTCCGCCTGGCCGTGGTGGACGGCGGTGGCAGCGTGCGGGGCATGGTGTATCCGAAAGGCGACAACCAGGCCATCAAGAGCTGCACGACCGTCATGGTGGAGTGGAGCGCGCGGTATGTCGGAAGCGGTGTAAACCCTACGGGTATTCGTAGGTTGCTACGTCATACGCAAACAATTTGGGAGTATATTTCTGCAAATGCGTCACGTACTGCGCAGGGATATTGCGATTCTGGGTCTCTGAGTCGGGAAATTTTTTGGTCAAGCGGCGTGAATTTGGGTGATGTCATATGATGACTCACCGATTTGCTTACATTGTTTTTCGGCTTGTGCCCGCTTTTATGCTTTTACCAAATTAATTAGTAGCTAGACATAGACAGTATGACCGAAATGCTCCTTCTTTGCGTGTCCATTCATAATCCATTATAAATTTAGAGTAAACGATTAAATAACAAATTACGTATGTAGTAGAAGTATGTATTTTATTTTAACATTCAGCAACAGGTAGTAAATACCGATTCTGTATACACAAAAGTGTAATATTGGTATTACTATATTAATCTGGATTACCGCATTTTCGTTATGAGTATTTATGCATTATTATGAGTTTATTAATCTGGATTATCGCGTTTTCGCAGGGCCTTTGATGATATATGTGACATCCGCATCGGTCCAACGGGATGGTGCCAGTCGTTGGCCCAGTACAATTCACTGTGCACGTTAGCGTATGTCGCGCCCTGCTTCTGCGGCCAGACCCACTACCAACTGCGCAAGGACGGCTTCGTCTTCGTCACCCTGACGTTCGACATCCCCAGCCCGGCGGGGTCCACCTCTCGACAGCGACTGGATTTGCAGTATCTGTGGGATTCACAGCTGCTGGCCGATTGCCGACTCCTCTGCCAGGGACGCGAGTTTCCCGTGCACCGGGCGATTCTGGCAGCACAGTCGCCGGTGTTTGCCGCCATGTTCCAGAGTGACATGGCCGAGAAGGCGACGGGTGTGTGCCGGATTGAGGATACCAGTGCGGAGGTATTTATAGATTTAATTTAAATTTTTATTGAACTTTTCTGTATTGATCGTAGTCATTTTGAACCATTTTTTGGATAATTTTGTAAGCGTAATTTTGTAAACTAAGGATACCAGTATTTATATATTTTATTTCAATTTTTATTGAATTTTCCTGTGTTAATCGTCGCCATTTTGAGCCATTTTTGGTTAATTCTGTAAACTTATTTTCTGGTTAATTTCTTTCAGCTTTATGTTATTGTGGTTGTGGAATTTAAAATGCTATCTGTATGCGTTACAGATCAAAGAGAATCAGCGATAATTATATTAATTATGTAATTACAAACTTGCAACATTAATTCATTCTTTGAATAGGTGTTAGACATACTACTGAGCTTTGCCTATACCCGAGTCGCATTCGAAGCCGGTGATGAGACCCTGATGCAACTATGGCACGCGGCGGATAAGTACGATATGAAGGAATTGGGCGCGGAGTGCGAGCGCGTGATGATGGGAGCGCTGACGGCGGAGAATGCCTATCTCTTCCTCGGTTTCGCCCGGGAACATTCCTTGGTGAAGCTGAAGTCGGTCGCGGCGAAATTTATCGGGCAGCATCCAACGGACATTTGACTGCGTTAGGCGAATGCTTGTTTTTTTCGGAATACGAGATATATTTTCAAGTCCGTAGAAACTTCTCCGGCTGTTTTTTTTGCGTTTAAAGGTTTTTTTCGCTGATGACGAATTTGTGGTTGCGGTTGAGAATTGTTGAGTGTATATTGTTGGTTGCCGCTTTTGCCGGCGTATTTGCGGATGACTGTCCACTTCCGGTGGAAATTTTTGTATATTCTGTTAGCTTTTTAACGATTTTGTTGTCTGCAGCAAACTGTTTTTTTTTCTTAAGAAAGATTGCTGGCTTTCAGTTTCTTGTGGTCAACTTAAATCTTACATACTACCGTACTAGCTGTACAACGCTTCATATTTAGTATTATTTACTATATAAATCATAAATTCACAAATCAAGCCCGAAGTACAACAACAGGATACTACGGCCACCATTGCACAGTTAAGAATTAAAAAAACAACCAAAATCAGCATTATCAACCAGTTTGTTCTTTCCCGGTAAATCGTAAATGTAATTATCATAAATGCAATTATCGGCATCTAACCTAGGGAACTATCAATTATGGATGTCCAGATACTTCGAAGTACACTTAAAATGTTTGAAATCCACTTCTCAAGCGATTCTTCTTTCCCTACGGCGCACGTAGAAATATACAGTTAGCATTTTTTTCCAGAACCCTGTGTTTCCAGCTTACATAATTCTCCGGTTTCACATTTTACTACAAATGAATCGATTTCCGATTTGCACGAAATGAAAGGATTCAAACTGAAGAAAGACTGATTACAACACAGTGATCTTTAAAATCCACACATGCAGAATAACGTGTGCGACAACTAAAACAAACTAAATCTTTAACAAACAACCGGAAACAAACACTGAAGCACCCATATGCCAACAACTTCCAATAAATAAAACCTTAAAACTCGACATTAAAATCACCACACGACCGACTGTCACGCTTCTCGCTCAGCCCTGACCGTCATAATCCCCTCGCGCTCCTTCCGCCTCTGAATATGCCGATAGATGTCCACCACGGCGTCCTCGATGACGGCCGCGAAGGGCTGGCGGGTCTGTGCAAAGTGTCCGCCCTTCTGGAAGACCATCCCGCGCACATACTGGGTGTCGTTCACCACCGGGCGGCCGCGGTGGACGATCTGTCCCTCGCGGTTGTACACGGTCAGGTGGTCGCGCGGCACTCCCACCACCTCGGCGTAGTCGTAGGCGATGGAGGCGTCGATGAATTTGTCGTCTTCGCTGAAGGTTAGGAGCAGAGGAAGCTGGCTGAACGGCAGTTCAGCAGAGACTTTCTCGTACTGGAAAACACATCGCTCTACTAAATAATGAGGATTATTCCAATTCATTTAGCTTATTTTAAGAAAAGCTCATATTACTAAGAATTATTTTATTAAATAGTAAAATCATTTTAATAATTATTTTGATGTGGTTTTACAATATGCCGACAAAAGTCCAGATAAAGGGGGAAAAAGAAATATTATTTTAGAACAATGTATTCACTTATAATGTTATATCACACCGTTTACAGACAAGACAGTGAAGACACACCTTTTATCTTAAGTCCCCTTGCACTACAAAACTACTCGTGTTTTACAAGCTTATGTAACACCGTCACTAACACGTACTTTAAGACAATAAGCATGACATCCAAAAAATACTGGACACATTTAAACCACTGTGCTGATTGTCAACAAAGCGACGCTTAAATTTATGTGCGGTAATAGAATTTTAGTACTTTACTTATCAGTCGCTCCTCTTCGTAGTGCTTGTAATGTAGAACTCAATAATTGCATTCACCAGGGAACATAGGGAGGCTCCCCCTTCAGAAAAATCTGAGTTTTTGTAGAAAGGTAGTATACCTACGTAGTGTTATTAAAAAAAATAATTTCAGCTGCTGTAATCAAGATGGGCGTGGTCAAGCGCAAATTAAGGAGTGACTACAGTCATACTGAATCAGCTTCGAGATAAACTATATTTAAACTTTTAGTGTCAACGATCTGATCATGCACGACGCCTTACGGTTAGAAATACTATTTCTTAACAGACTTTCTCCAGGGATTTGGAGTTGATTCGTCAACTTCCGGTTACATTGCAAATTTTGGGCCATTAACTTCCGGTATGATTTACGCATAACCTTTTCCAGAATGTCTTGCGCTTCAGATACGCGCTATGTGCCAGCATTATAGATTGCCAACATTTTACAATAACTTACGTTATCAAAAGGAACACCAATCCCGGTCAAACCCATGATATAGGTGTGCTCAATGGATTGTATGGCTTTCCATCCGTCATTCCGCATCACCAGCTGATTGATCGGCGTTAAAAGACGGCGCACCCATTTGCGCGTCATGGCTCTGATCAGCGCCTTCTTCAACCAGAATGGTCGCATCACTCTGCATTCAAACAAACAAACAGCAGGCATTAAAAATGTTCAAAAGATACACCACGAATTTATATTCGCTATCTGTTGATCAGGACTATTACTATGTACTTCCACTGAAATCGAAATAGAATGATCTCAAACTTCAGTCAAACTTTTTCTTAACCTTCACCACGCAAAAGTTTCAACAAGCAAAATAAGCAATCTACGTAAAAAACAGGCTGGCTCAAATCGTGCAGGACTGTAATATATGCTAATAATTAAAATATATCTCAAGATTTCATTTAACACGCACCTGCCAACACGATGACCCGGCAGTTGGATTAGCGCCAGTCCGCCGACCGGATACTCGGATTTGATGGCCAGCGGGACCGCGGGATATCCGCCAGCACTGAACGCCACGATTAAATCCACTTTCATCACCCCCAATTTCACCAGGAAATCCAGGAGAAAATTACAGTTTTCAATGAGAGAATGGGAGTAGGCCATATCCTCATCCATCGGCGTCGGGCCGTAACCTGACACGAAAAACCATTAAAATAATAATTTTTACAGCAGTAAAGTCTGTAAAGATGTGCTAGTATCAGTTGTACTCTGTATGTGAGCTGTATTTTAGTACACTCCAGATTTTCATTACACTGCCACATTTTCTTAAAAAAACAACCCACCGGGAAAATTCGGACAGAGAACCCGGGCTCCGTCGCATGCCAGCGCCTGAATAATCCCGCCCATCTCCCGGTGCGTTCCGCCGGCGCCATGCAGGACCAAGACGGTGGGACAATCGCCGGAAGCGGCGCTGGCTTGGGCTCCACCACCTGACAAGTAGTCCAGAAATCTTTCTTAAAGCTAAAAAAAACTGATGCCAATGCATAATTTAAATCTACGTATACCTATTAGCTACTAACAGCAACACTGCAGTCGCGTGCATGCTGATTGCTAGCACCTGCTCCAGTCATGCCACTTCACTACGATAATGCTCGAACAGTGTTCTTCGCCGGGAATTATGGTTCTGAAAATTAATTTGACTCGTTTTCTCCGAACCCAGTACTTCGTATTACTATAACCACAAACAAAAATGCTGAAGACTTATAAAACATGGAATATAAAAATGGAAGAGTTGAAAACTAACTAACTTTTAATGTCTGCATTCAAAACTCAAGACGAAAACAGTAAAAATATGAGAAACAAAACTGAAAGCACAACACTGTCGACGATCATTTACGGCATAAGCGAAACAAATTTTTAGCGGCGTTCGGCTGAATTTCACGCTCGGTGTTTGAATAGTAATCGATAATTCTTCTCACCTGCATCGTTGCGCCGCGGATCGCCCGTATCAATGTATCCCACATCCAGGAGGATGCCTTGCGGAGGCACCTTCAGCTGGTAGTGATGAACAAAATGCATGTACAGCTGACGCAGCGCGACGAGCTGGAGCCGCTGCACGGGATATGGGAAATCATCCTGTCCAGGCGCAGATCGAGACGGGGATACTGCGGATTTTGGCGTCGTTAGTGCGGAGTCCGCGGATCGTCTCCACGGACTTGTAGTGTGGATGCAGCGTGCACTGTGGGTTATGCATGGTGCAGCGTATGAGGGGGAGAATGCTGATGAAAAGTATTTGAAGATCCCGGTGGCAGGACGACCAGATAACGTGGAAGAAGACGAAGAATTCAGATGTAGTAAGACGCGGGCGCAACCGCGCGCAGTAACTGCAGTGTTCCGCATTACAGCGCAGACTGCTAGCAGCTAATGTAGCTCACTGCTTAGAACACGGATCTGCGGATAAAATTACAAATCACAGATTCACAATCAGTCTGGTTATTACGGCTATGACGCCATAAAGGGAAAACTTAATCTGAAAACCTGTGCTGAAACAGTGGAAAGTGTTGCTAGAAGTAGACTCGCTACAAAACTGTACTGCCTAAAAAGTAAAAACCAAAAAGAATGCCAAAGCTGGATTGCGTCGGACCGGAAATAACCACGGATTTTTTCGGGGCGTGACGAGCTGAAGTACTCTAGCAATAAGTTGTGTATACTTTATGGGCATTTGGCAAATGGTACACTTACAGTACTTACTGTGTTGAAGTGAAGTTGAAACTGGCTGTGAAGTGTTGGGACATCAGGTTTAATACAGACTTTTTACTTTTAGAATTAGTAAAAGCCTTTTACAGTACTAATTATTTTCGAAACAGTCTTTGATGCGACTTACTTCCTTCACTTGGACCAGCTAAAATTTCTTGACTTTCTCCTTATTCTGCTTTCGTTACGAATTACCGTAATACCTTAAAGTCCCCGATCATGCCCGTGTTGCCCGTTGGCGAATCTCCCGCTCTGGTTTTGTTGTACAAAATTCCCACGGAACAGTTTGTCCAGACTCCGCCAAGCAACGCACCCACACCAGGTGAATCGACCTACGCTGTTGATATTGCTGTTGAAGGACAGCCGAATTACCCCGACATTCTTCCATCGGTGTGGACCGTGAAATTGACGATCTCGGAGAAAGATGGCGCAGCTACAACTAGTGCAACCGTTAGCCCTAAAGAAGCCAAAAGTAGCAGCACGATGATGGTAGAGTACGCTGTCCGGTACGTACTGGTAATTAAAATTATTAGGGTACTAGTAGCTTTTTATCATGTTACGTATTACTTATCAAGAAAAGCTTCGTAAACCAGTAAACCTGCATAGATCGTTGGTGAACTGGCTGCGGTTTCAGGAGTCATGGATCGTGCGATTTTAAGGTGGAATTGGAGCAATGTGTGGCGACGGGTTACAGCACACGCAGTACGATGGGATGCCTGACCGTCCCTGTAAATTTTTTTGCCGGATTTGGACAGCCACATCATCGTCTGAAACAAAACGCCCATGTGTTTGTCAGCCTGATCTTTTATCCGGAGAAGCCGACCAAGGAAGGCAGCAAAGACCGTCTGGATTTGAAGCGCTTGTGGGAATCCCAAACGCTGTCCGACTGCACACTGGTCTGCGCTGGTCAAGAGTTCCCTGTGCACCGCGCCATCTTGGCTGCCCAGTCGCCGGTCTTCGCCGCCATGTTCCAGAACGATATGTTGGAGAAGTCGTCGGGAGTCTGCAAGATTGACGACATTGGTGCGGATGTACTGGAGATGATGCTTAATTTCGTTTACACGAGGGCACCTGTCGAAGCGGATAATTTGACGGACTTGTGGCGTGCCGCAGACAAGTACGACATGGAGGATCTGCGCGCGGAATGTGTTCATCGGATGACCAACTCTATCACGGCACACAACGCTCTGCAGTATTTCACTTTGGCTTGTGAACGCGGCTTGACCAAGCTGAAAATGGCTGCTGGAAAGTTCATTGGTCAAGATCCCCTCAGCATCACTTGAGCACGGTCCGGAAGGGCGAGGATGTTTTTTAGGCCCATTTGTTTGTGTGTGCGTAGCGTAGGCCACTAATTCTTGTGTGGCATTGGTACAAGCGATGTATTTCAGTGCGTGCAGTCACTTCCGTTGGAATTTCTTTTTCGTGGCAGTGCGCTTCTGGCAGTTTTTAACATCTCGCTTGCCTCCCGGTTTCTAATTATTTTGCGTTGAAGAAATCTCGTTTGTGATTTTATAGTCTTTTTTATAATGTGATCATTGCACAATGTTTCCGTATTAATATTAAAATTGCTTGAATGACAAGCCGTAATGCAAGGTGTATTGTAGAGCTTAAAAGAATAAAATAAAGTATTTCTGATAATTATAAAGAACCTACAATTGTTTTATCGATTATTTCGTTTATTCGCGCATTACTTACGGGCGGTGACTGACAAGTGTACCACGAAACAGAATTGGTCCTTTATTGGTCAAACCACATACAAAAAACCCAGTGTAAAAGCATAGAAAAAAGCTGAACGACATGCAAGACGGGTATGTAATGTAATACGGTACATGTAAACCCACAATGAAGGATGATCGCCACAAAGTAAAATAAAAGCCACCATCAAAGACCATCAGTACATCCATCCCCGCAACACCACGCATATACATGCACTACAACAGAAGCCTAAAGTGCTCCGCATAAAAACGCATTATACACATATAAAAAACCATTGCAAAAGAAAACAAGAACTAAACGTCATGGCCTCCCGCATCCACATAGCTGCACAGATTCTCCTCCTAACTGGCCGGCACCGCTTCCGTGTGCACTTCCCCCACGATCCCGTTCTCCTTACGGTACATCTCCTGCTGGACTGTCTCCACGTGATCGCCAGCACTGCTGTCGCTGGTGGTCGTCACCGTGATGGTGGTGGTTTTGGCCTCGAAGACCGCGTCCGGATTGGCCGTGGTGATGACGGCGGACTGCACCAGCGGCTCGTTAATGATCTCCTCGTGGTGGCCGTTGACCGTGCCGTTCCCGTTCATCACCGCTACGGTCTCGTTGGTCGTGACGCTCTTGGAGTGGCCGGCTTTCTTGTGCTCTTTCTCCGGTTTGATCGCCACCGCGCACACTGCGTCCCAGTTCTCCCAGAATTCCGCTTTCATGCGATCGCAATATTCCACAATATTCGGGTATTTGTCTGCAAGAAAACGGTTAAAATCAGCAACGGTTTACATGTTTATGTCACATAACAGAAATAACCCGAAAAAACAGCAATCAATCTACCCAAAATCAATACACCGCTAACCTGCAGCTAACAGTATTGCAACATACAAAATTTTTTCAAAATTCGCTGGAAAATGCCAAAAATATTTCAGAAAACACATATCCGGAATACCAAAAAACTGCAATCACGGTGACACTATTTCATAACGAAGACATTAAACAGATATTAAAAAAACCTCAGGCAATATAACAATATTGTTTTCCCAACTGAACTATTCTACAGGTATCAATAAGCAATTAAAACGCTGATTAAACAGACTACATTTTTTCATTAGCTAAATTTCGGCACTGTACAAAGCCAAAAGTTAAGTGTTACATCAATCAAGGATTTGTGCAAATGATTTTTATTTCGATTTCGGGATGACACCCGTGTCTAATCCCCTGGGATCCGCTGCCAAATGACTGGGCCATTGATCATCCGGCCCACTCATTGTGATACACAGTACCGTGCCGATTCGGCCAAGTGTCGACTCACCCTTGATAAAGCCGGTCAATGGGCAAGTAGTGCTGGCATAGAGAAACTGCGCCAACAATCCAAACAGGCTGCAATCGATATCCGTCGGCAAGTCACCCATGAAATATTTCTTGTTGCCTGCAATCCACAACAGCACAAAATATTACTTTTCCAATACGACCCAGAGATTTGCGCCATGTATATACTAAATCTTTCGGCACACAACACTAGTTTCCCTGGAAAATGGCATTCTTCCAAATTGATTGGCGCCATGTGAAGAGAAATGCCTGCGATTATGGCGATAAAATATTTCCATCAACTGTAACTTCCATTTTGCACATGACCGCTTTTCATGCAATTTATAAACAAAATTATGAATGGTTGCTGACTCTTGTAACTCTTGTTGACTGACGCCCTAAATTTACTCCGGAGAATTTTAATCCATTTTGAAATCAATTCCATCAAGTTAATACCTTTGCAATTTGTATTAAGCAAAACATAAACAACAATTTCATCCGATAATCAAGTACCAGAATAATTCAATCAAATTTATAAAGCTGGATAATAATATGGTGAAAATAATTAGCAGAATAATGAGACTATTCAACCAAATTTTTCTTGTATAAAGCTGAACAATATTATTGTGCTAAAAAATTGATTTAAAATCACTCCTAGATTCTTATAAATAAAACCGATTACTATAAATAAAACCCAAAAATTAACAAACCGGAAATAATTCGCTGAAAATTGATACAACGTGAAAAATGCTGCGATTACCACCCTCTATAAAACCCTTTCACAAAAACTTCAATTAGTCGCATAACAAGAGTGAAAAGATTACTCAACATCCATCTGGCCGCTCAAGCACAACCTAGTAATTTTATTCGAAATCGTGAATCAGCGGAAAAACGAAGCCTTTTCGCGCATGACTGCCCGGTTTCCATTAGCATCCCTCATCGTTTAATCGCTGCATCCACTCCCCCCAATTCACTTACCCAGATACTCGCCAATGGCCGTCACATCATCCTCGCCCATCTTCATCACTTCCGGGGCCGTGAAGCGTCCAATTCCATGGGCATGCGCCTGCGCCTTCAACCGGCTGCGGATGATCTTGGGCAGGATCAGGCCCTTCAGTTTGCTGAACGGGAACTGCTTGACCACGGTCTCTTCCTTGTCGTAGCTCCAGCGCCATAACACCAGCACCCTAAATGAATCACCAAAAAATTACGCTGTGAAGTTCTGAAACTAGAACGTTACAATCTATCGCGCTAAATATTCGAATGACGTCACAATAAGCGAGAAATGCATCATGTGAGAATGTAGTGAAAGAGAATAGCGCCATTTCACTACATGTTTCACAACAAACGAAGCCGGAAAAGCAAACCTTACACAGTATATCTATATGCGATACTTTATATGTACGCTTGATAAATGATGATACAATTTCCTACAAATGATAATGCACATAATAAGCTAATTTCACTGTCTTTATCCTAAAAGCAAGTAGTAATCCATCGGATACACTTATAAATTATAAACATTACTTTAATTCAATTTAAAGAATTACAGATTATAACAAAATTTAAAGCATATTCGTGTGATTTATTCGAGTTACACAACAGGCAATAGTATTTATGAAGGAATTCCATGATCCTTAATTCCCTCATTTTTTGTTAATTCAGTAGAGCGATGACAACAAAAACCATAACAAAATTTACGTTAATTTATTCGAGTTTTTTTGTTGAAGCACGGCCGATGCATCATGCAACGCTGCACGAATTGCTTTAATCATTCAATATGCCCGCCTCGAACGTCTCTAAATTCTCGAGATTGCTCATTGCGGCAAATCGAGAATGTCAAGGTTAGTGCGAACATCGTCGAACAAAATTTCATGGCTGACTTTTGGCTTACATTTGTGGGGGTTATCAAGACAAACAGCGCTGATGTGTAAACGTACGTCTGGCAGAATGTGATATGTTATTAGTTAGCGCAGCGTAATCGGCCCGGGCAAACTGACCTCTGGCCTGAGCTCGCTTGCAACATGCTGATAACGGAGCATTTTTTAGCGCTGACAGACAAGTGTGCAAACGTTGTCACAAGGTAAACATCCATCAAAATGTTGCCCTAATGCAAGCGATATGAAAAATGATACAACAGAGCACTAGTGCACCAAAGATATCTGGCGACGCGCAGCTGCTTTTCTAGGGCGTCGTGATCATCACAAGCAGCCCAAGAATGCAGCCAGATGCCAAACGCGAGAAAGCAAAAAAACGTAACATTCGCGCCAGATAGCAGACGGTGTCGCGACTCGAACTACCACAAAAAAACTACGATTATTTACATTTTATTCAGAAGCGAAAAAGAAATCATTAAACAGATCATTCATGTTTCTCAAAAGTATGTTCAAAAGAAAACGCGCAAATGCAATTTAATGAGAATCTAATGCAAAGAGTGCGGAATGGTATAAAAATAAAAACTTTCGTTTTAACCTAAATAAACCACTTTCAAATTATCGTTCATAAAATTTATTTAAAAAATTTATACTTTTAATTTTGTAGCGCATTTTGATATCCATGTCATGGAAGGATGACTGACACGACTCTGCAATTTCCCAACAGAGAACAGCATAGAGTCGCCGACTTTTGACTGAACTGTTTATGCAAGGAGATTTATTCGCTTTTCAAGTGACCGGCCTGTGATCAATCACAACATGGACAACGGATAAATCCAATTATAAAAACACGCACGATTTAATTTCACGCTCCTCTCTACCGTTTCATCATCTGAACCATTTACTAACATCACGACCGATTTACAATTTTACAGTCGGAATTGCCAATTTTTCTATTATCATCCAATTTAGTCGATCAAACATGATATTTGACCGGGATCGCGTTTCTAATTTAAAACGCGTGAAAATGGAAATGCACTGGCATAGTAAAAGCACTAGAACACCGTACAGACAGAAGTCCAAAACTTCACAGAACATTCAAGAACAAATCAACCCGGCAATAGCTATGCGAAGATTTTACGCCTACAAAATGTAGGTTACAAATTAAACCTGAGGCGCTCATAAATAAATTGCGTCGTTTTGATACTCCATTATCTACTTATTTACTGCCCGTTTATTATTACTTTTTCAGCTCAATTAAACAATAATCAACACGCAGATGAACTTAATTAAAATGCATTTAATATTTCGGGACAACAAATTTCCAAAAACACTTTTAGCACTGCATTTTTTTCATGTTTGGCTTCTTACACCGACTAATCTCAATAATTTCGACGTATAAAAATAATTTTTTATAGATATTCAAAGTACGAAATTGATTATTTTAACTTAGATTGTATGTAAATAATTTTCCTGTTACTGCGTAGTGCGTACTAATTAAACCACTGAATTTTTCAACCTGATAACCTAACCCAAACGCCACTCGGGTGTTTTGCGGATATGCGTAAGCGGTCAAACATTTTCTCCACCGAGCACCTTATCAGTCTTAACGCTAGACATAACGAGAAAAATTCCATTACACAAGGACAACACGAGTGATGCACACGGAAACAGGATGAAAGAGACCTATTTAAATAGGGCGCATTACAAAAGATTTTCCGCATACGGGGCTTGCCCGGCATATTTTGTCAGTGACACACAAGCGCATCATGCGGCTGATGATTGCGCGGCAATTTATCGGAGCACAAATCGTAAACTGCCATAAAACGTGATGTTTTAAACTGCTGGATACAACAGAGTGCACGCTAAACGCGCTTTATAGACAATTAAACCCATCAAAACTCAACACCGTTAACCGCAAAAACGATTTAATCACTTGTCCCATTACAGCAATCACAGATACTACAAACTGTACGATCGGCATAAAAATCCATTTGATTTTAGCGTTTCGCATTACGCGACGTATACTTACTTGTCAAGCGTGCTATATATTTTAACGTTTTTCAGTACTGTCGATACAAATTAATTTCAATGAGTAAAAACGTTAAAAAAAGTTCTAAAAATTCTAGAGTCGACAAAACATTATCACAAGTACTGTAAAACATTATCACAAGCAAAACAAAAAATTATCACATGTCATACAGAAAGTATTACTGATTTTCCAGCTAAATAAATCCCAAAAATAATTATTGTCGCACTTAAGCGATGAAGAGATTAGGATAAGAAAGCGGCATGATAAAGTCAAATATTTTATATGGAAATTTCGATAGAATTTCACTATAAAAAGAAATTCAGACGATGGTCCTAAGTCGATGATGCATCCCTACCACAAAAGGAACATGTTTTTAGTGAAAAAGAGCGAATTACGGAGGCCTAGTTTTGATTGGGTGTAATTAGAGTTACAATTTGTTCAATGGATTTTCCATTGATTGCCGAAGCAAAGTGCCAGGCAATGAAGAGTAAAATAGGTTAGAAATTCAATAATGGGAAAGATAATTACGGGAGCTACTGCCCGTGTGTGTGGACAGCGGCGCAGATGTAAATTGAGTGTGACTAACCAGTAGAGTTCCTCTTCCACCAGCTTCTGGAAGGCCCGACTAATTCCCTTTTCGCTCGGCGTCAGCGTACTGTTCAGATCCAGTCCGGTCTTCAGTTTCAAAAAGTCAATGCACATGGATGAATCGCTCACATCCTGTCCGGCGTACGTCAGCCACGGCGCTTTGCCCGTCTTGCTCGACTGCGGCTTCGCGAAATCGTTCTGAAAATCAGAAACACGCAAATTTACTTCTATTGTCGCAGACAAAAATTGCACAATTTACGCAAAATGCAAAATTATACTGTATACGATAAACACAGATTATATCCTCGTACCGCATACAACGTACGTACAAATTTTTCGAATTTGTTTTATCCGTGCAAAACGTTAAATCTAAATTAATTCAATCAAAAAGCACCATTTCATGATTTTTATTCTCGAATTAACTATTCATTTTTTTTATTTCTGGGAATACTTTTCATACAAATTATTATGCGCACACCATTTATTTATTTCATGTTTTGGGAGAGTAATCACTAATTTTCAAAATCTTTATGGATATACCGATACCGGCGCAGTTTGCGGAGAACCTGATATTGCTTCACCGATTTCGCTAATGCATGTGAACATGATTCCCGCTAATCGTTGGTAATTAATGGTTAAAAGCCCGTTTTGTGGAGATAAGCAATAAAAGCGAAGACGAGCAACTAATGCAGCGATGAGCGAGCAGAGGGAGCCTGTGCACGTGGGCGCCGGTCTGTCCAGACTGGTCACGTCTGGACATTACCGATACGCCAGCTTTCGATAATTCATCAAGACATCCAAAGGGATTCGCTTACAAAAATCGATTTCCCCACCAATAACATTTATCCTATCAATTCTCCCTTTTTAAATACTCCATGACATCTACGGTTTCCCGAATATACGAATATCCGATTCCGGGTCAAACCCACAAAATCATAGAATACCAATTATCGCGATTCGCGGATGCTGCATCCGTTATTGACATTTTTCTAATTTAATTTCGGACTAATTTTCCCATTTTTATTTCCAAATTAAATGCAATTATTCTTACTGCAAAAACTAATTTAGTACAAGTTTATTACGTACGGTTCATATCAGTTATATTTTACGGTTTATACAAGAACTTATGAATTTCATTTCTTTTTAAATCACCAACAATTTTACAGATTACAAAAACCATAAAAGCTGGATTAGCTGCTCGTGGCTGCGCAAGTTCAATTACAAATTCAGTCAATAATCTCGTGACAGAATGCAAATTTTTGGCATGAGCATTGAAATCTGAACTGATGATTCAAATGCCGGATGGGAAAGCGGCATGATTCACAACATGAGACTTCCTGCTATGCTCTGCCAAAGTGATGCCGCGCCATATTACCCCTCATTATAAAATTTCCCCCCATTGTTTCATAAAAATAAAAAATCCCAATCAAACTAAAAATTGTTCAAAATCTGAATTCACTGCAGTTATCGTTAACGCTGTTTATTATCGCTAACTGTTTACTATTATTGAATATTGATGTTTAATTAATTTCCTGTATTACATACTCTGTAATTCCCGCTTGCGATTTATCACTTCAAAAATTAATATTTGTCCATTAAGAATTCTAAAAAAAATTCTAAGAAACCCGATAAGCTAGAAAAATTCTCATTATTTTTTGAATTCTTCTGTAAAAATCAAGATAAGGTAATGAAGCCCTCTTCTTACTTCAAAATTGACTTTGGTCATGCGCAGATAGGTCTCCAATTTGAGTCCGAACGGCGACACGTCGGGCACCACCGCCGTGCGTCCGAAATGATGAAGAACCACGTCCGGCGTCGTCTTGGGTGCCTCCGTTGTGGTGGTGTCCACCGTTGTGGTGGCCGTCTCCGTTACCACGCTGCTGTCCATTACCGGCGTATCGGCAGCCATGTTTGAAGGAGATTTGTTGAAATAATGTCAAGAAGGTCCTTGTCGCTGCTTGAACAGATCGTGTGCACACAACAGTACAATGAAATTCGACCTCTTTCACACTGATCGGCTGCGGCTCAGAATTTAAATTTCCACACAACTTGTAACCGATTTGATGAAAGAATCAAACGAGAGGAAAATGTCAGACGCTTTTCGATGATGTGGCGCGCGGGATGCGAGTCAAGAGCGCAGAGACAGAGAAACTAGAAAATAGCTATAGCGTATGCGCTCGAAAGAGAGAACGGAGAGATTTTTCAGTCAATGCATTCGCGAAAATTCCTAGCACTGCACACAAGCGCTGCTGTCTGTTGACCGAAGAAATCTGGACAATGGGCAGAGCAACGAGCCGTACAGCCAATCACCGGTGCGAAGGGGTGGGCGTAGGTGCAGCAGTCCGCACGCTGATTCGTCCGGCCAGAAGAATGGGGATTATAGGCTGAGATAGGCGGTTTTGTCTGGACTGTTTATAGAGAAAGCCTCTTTATCATGCCATCCGATCAGGTTATTTTTCAGCCACATGCTGGATCAAAATTCCGCGAGAATAATGGACCATATTAAATCAACAATTTTCGGGGCTTTTCGCTGAAAAGAGGGCACAGCATGGTGATGGCGATGAGTTACATGGAATTAAAGCGTATGAGCGGTATGACTGTTGCTAAAGCGATAGCCGGCCGAAAAGTGCATATTGCGCATGGTACTAAATTATGAAAATCGACTAGGCCGATTTTGCATTAAAGCATGACTCATCCAGCCTGTTGTTGTCGTCATAATCGATCGCAGGCGGTCATTAACCCAGTACGCTATGGGCAATTATGGATGTAAGGGGTTAATGTAATTGAGGCCAAACTGTGCAGTGGGGGGATTATGCATGGGAGCGGGGACAGTTTGATTATGCAGCGGCGCATCATCCGCACGCAAACAGGCACTCGATATGTGTATATCATAATATATGCCTCGTGTAAACAGGGAGTCCGCGCGGTCCGGCCGGCTGCAGCTCCAAAATGTCAGGGCTGATTACATCGCGATCGGACGGCGGTTTCGTGATGCGTATACTTTGGGAATGACCTGGGAAGACCATTGACATGGCCCCGCATCGGCCGCAACGGACGGCGTTTGCGCCGATGGTGACGGATGTGATGCGGGCATCAAAGCGGGGGATTTACGACGGCGAACCGGCAAGTGACCGGAAGTTATCGACAGATATTATGGCTGGGTGATGACGGTGCCCGTTTTATCGGCGATAACTCATATTTGGTCGTTGCCACAAGACAAAAAAAAATCCACAAAAAATAAAAAGAAATTTAAACAGAACCAACTGTTTTCTGTACTATTTAATTTGTAACCGTTAAATTTTGCATCTAATCAGTACGATTGCTGCACTCTTGTAACATTTGTTGCACAATATTAAAATTTACTCTATGGATCTAAATTCTGTTCATAAATTATTGCCGTACTCGTATGTAATTGCGGTACAAATAAGGCGATTAACTGTATTTTCTGGAATTCTCTGTATAAGTTTTGAAAAATGCTGTAGAAGTTTCAAGTATGCAACGGGTTAATGCGGATCATTGCTGTGTCCAGTGTTATCTCTGGATAATGGATTTAAAAACTTTTAACGTTACGTTTGATAGCCTATCTGTACATGATACATACCCATACAATTTGTACAGCAGCCAGAACTTGCAGAATGTTAACACGGTACTAAGTGCGATGTGCAATACATAATTAATTTTTGCAGTATGTAGTAAACTCATGAAGGAGCGGAGCGCATTTATACCGTGTACCGATGTACGTAAAGTAGAACAAGCCCAGCACGGATGAATAATGTCTTAAGATTTTGTAAGAGGAGAATCCTCTTTACACACAGCAGCCGCCCATCCGCCGCCTACCTGGTTGGCTCAAGCTCAAGCACAAATATCTTGATCTTCGCCAACAGCGGCGATGGCACAGTGGCTGTGCTACGTGGATCTCACTCGGTAGCCAGCGGTTCGATTCCGCTCCATCGCCATTTTTCGGAATTTCCTCAACAGACAGGATCTTCATCTGACCGCCCTCCCTCGCTGAGATCATCACGGACAGCCGACTTATGGCTGCCTCTGTTATAATTTCGAGCATGTAAAAAGGTTAATTGCATATGTAATAAATAATGGCACGATGTTTATTACATTAAGGAGGCACGAACAAAATAAACAGGCATGAGCAGAATCTGTTATTTTGCTTATTCGCGGTTCGCTAATTTCAATGACAATTCGATGTAATAATAATAATTGTAATATAATCTGGGGATTCACAAACAGCCCATGTTAAGCTAATGGCCACCATGGTAACAAGCTTTTGAGTGACCACTGGACTGTGGGGATTGGGCTTTCCAGAAAATTGATGATGCAGGAACACTCTCGACACTGAGAGGATTCTGTAGCACTTTAGAGCGTGCAGATTGGATGTGTAGAACGGGAGAACATTGAGCAACGGCAAAGTGTCGAGGACCCTTGTTACTTAGTTAGTATTCATATAACAAAGAAGATTACAGTAGTGTCAACTGTCAAGAAGCATTTTATTCCATTCTTCATAAAATAAGATCACCAGCTGGCAACTGATAAAGGAATAAAAAGCGCGCCGATTAAAATTAACAGTATTTAACACTAAATTCGAGACCAGAAGTGACGTCATCGCGGTCGCCTGATTGTTGTCATCATTGCAGAAGCTTCCGCTGGCCTGTACTGAAAGAGCGCGTACAAAGAACTTATAAACTGCGCCTCTGAAGTTTTCATATTGGTGGCAACGGCTTTAAAATTTTCGCAATCTGATGACTTTTGTGGTACAAACTACACGGTAGTAGTGCCGGTACACAACTGTTGAATTTTTTACTGCGTGTGTTCAGTTTTTTATTTCAGGTTTTCAGTTCTGTATTTTTTTTGCGTTGCTCTTCGGTGCTTTTCCATTTCCCCTGGCATCGCTCCTTGTTCAGTGGTATTCAGAGAGTTTTTTCTTTTTATTAAGACCCCCTCCGCGCGTGTTGGATAAATAGAGAATGTCCCGCGTGGAAATCAAGAGCACAGCGGAATTTGATGAGTTCTTGAAGAACCATGGCGAGTAAGCTACAGCTGATCATGATGGGTTTTTGCTGCTCTTCTGCACTGAACTGATGCTTTATGGCTCATCATTATGAACGCTTACACAGTGGTATGTTTTAGGAATTTATCTGTGGTGTACTTTTGGGCATCGTGGGCCGTACAGTGCCAGCAGATGAGCGACATCGTCGACGAACTGGCCAAAGACTCCCGACTCTTCACCGTCAAATTCCTCGCCGTGGAAGCGGAGAAGCTGCCCGTCCTCTGTCAGAAATACTCCATTGACTCCGTGCCCGCGTTTATCTTCATACGGGTGAGTCGTACTTGTATCGTGTTGGCAGGTTTATCGTGTTGGCTGAGCAAATTTGTAGCATTCATGAAACTTTCAAACTCTCGTTCTTCGCATTTTCAAAAGCTGACGCATTGCGTTTACATCTAGAACGGCAAGGAAATCGACAGGTTATCGGGCGCCAATGGTCCGGAACTGAATCGGAAAATACGCTATTTGGTGGATAATTATGTTCCTGATGCATCTATTGCCAAAAAGGTACCATGACTTTCTCAAATCTCACAAATCAGTATTGAATATTCACTATTAAGTTGCATTATAACACATACCTAATAGTCATCATAAATTTATTATACTCGCAGCACATAGCTTGTAGATAAGTTAATATTTGATACTAAGTTCCGACTGTTGGGGAAATTATTAACAGGAGGCTTTTATGATACATTTGATACGGAAAAAATTGTTATGTTATCAGTTATGAAGTTTTTTTCTTTGAATTGTTTAATTCTTGCTATGTATGTGTCGCATTTCATCCTGGAGGAAGCTATTATTGACTCACTGCACTACGATTTCTGTGATGGTAAATGTGCTGCATATTGCAGGATTTGGACAGTCGACTTCGGGATTTGATCAGTTACGATAAAGTGATGCTGTTTATGAAGGGAACACCTGCCGAGCCCCGCTGCGGTAAGTTTTTCATCTCCTTCGAGATGGAAATTTTGTTTACGCCACATTGCCTGAGAACAGTGAAATTTTGCAGATATGATTTATTAAATTAAAAATTTTGCGCTCTTTCTTGGCTTCAGTTTACTGCTGTTTACTATATTATTTTTTATGTACAATTTCTCAACTTTTTGTGTTTACAATCGAACAACTTCCGTCTGTTAATATCAAGTCTGTTGCTGTTGACGGTTTCTGAATGGATTGGTGATTCTTACGTTGTATGTACTGTACTTCTAAAGAAAATTCACAGCTGAAATTTATTCCGATTTCGCGGGAGTAGAATGGTTTGTACATTGATTTTGTCGATCAATAGCTGTGTAAAAGATGTTACAATTCTTTACGTGTAAAATACAGTTATATGTGTAAGAACGGTAGATTACTAAATTGTACGTCATAATTGCAACGTTAACTTTTTACGGTCTCTCCAGGTTTCAGCCGACAGATCGTTGCCATTCTCAATGAGCATTCTGCTAAATACGGCACATTCGATATCCTGTCGGATACTGATGTTCGCGAGGGATTGAAAAAGTTATCAAATTGGCCAACCTATCCGCAGTTGTATATTAATGGCGAACTGGTCGGTGGCCTGGATATCGTGAAGGAACTACAGGCTTCCGGTGAACTGGATCAGATGCTGGTCAAGACCGAGAGCTTGGAAGACAGGTGCGCGTAAAATGTTTCATGGTTTATATATCGATTATTGCTTCGTAGATAGCTTTTTCCGGTTCTCTACGAACAACCGTTAGAAAGTTTTTTTGGATGATTGAGCATGTTTAATTTGCGAGCTCCTTTAGAGTATCGCACACATCGTATTCATTCGTAGATAACGAGGGTCTGTATTCCGATTTCGCAGATCTCAGAAAATTGGCCATAATTTGGTTGTCCTATTGAATTTGTGCATAATGATTGGTTTTGCATTCATTCTATGATATTATCATTATCCAAGATAAATTCATTTTGACAACTTGCAAAAAACTCGATGAAAACTAAAATGCTAAACTATTTTTCAATACCAAAACGGCCAGATTTAACAGCCCATGAATCTTTCTACGAGCATTTAAATTTTAACACAGGCGCCTATGGAGTTTAAGTAAGTAACAGCTCGCGCAGGGTACACCAACGGCTCCGTAAGCTTTGCATGCTAAATTCACATGGCTGCAGGATAGTTCGTTTTCAGATAAACTGCACTCGCTTGGTATCAAAAAATTTCTTAGAATTTTATTTATCTTATAATATCCTTTTATGATGAATCAAAAACAATTAAAATCTACCAGAACAATTTTAAAGTTGCATGATTTGGCAGCTGCACAGTGCACACGTTGTGCTTCATGCCACTGCCACTGAGGGTGGTTGCTATATCGCAGATGTCGACGGTAGGCATTACGATATCTCAGCCTTCTACCGTCAATCCTACCGTCAAACGGTCCGGTAAGGGTACGCCGTAATGACGTAGAAGAGCCTACCGTATGTCGTACCGTCTATCGTAGGTCCATTTTGTGTTGCGATAAGAATCTAATGTGCGGTATCTTCGGTCACTGTTCGGGGTAATCATATTGCATTTTGATCGTAGTTATAATTTTGACGTAACTTTATTTTTATTATATTTTAGCTCTCAGCCGAATTTTCTTTACAGGCTGCGCCAGTTGACGCATAAGCAACCTGTGATGCTGTTCATGAAGGGCAATCCGGATGTACCCAAGTGTGGATTTTCACGACAGATTATTCAGATTCTCAATGATACCAAGTAGCAACACTGATTTTTATTTGTGACATTTCATAATAGTAATGACTGCGTGTGTTAAATGGTGCAGGGTGCATTATGGGACGTTCGATATCCTGGAAGATCAGGATGTACGGGAGGGATTGAAGAAGTTCTCCAACTGGCCCACGTATCCGCAGCTGTACGTTAAGGGACAGCTGATCGGGGGTTTGGATATTGTTAAGGTGGGTACAAATCATAGTAGCAAAAATGCCCCATTAATTGCTAATTGGACGCGGTGAAGGATTTTACTTCCTATCACTTGCACCGCGATTGTTATTATACTTGTAATTGGTTTTGTAGTGCACAGGCTTTATATGAAAGCCACTAAAGGAATGTCCCGTTTATGATGCCTTTGTAAAACATATTGCAGGAAGGGTGTTAATTATACTGCACGTGGTTTTAAAGTTTTAGCGCGTTTCTTTTTGCGATATTTCAACGCTCAGCGAAATTTCTATTTGCAGGAACTGGTGAATTCGGGCGAACTGGAGTCGACTTTGAAAGCCGCATGAGAGTTGATCGATCAATGCGCTGATTGGGTTTCTTATCAGATTTCCTCACACTGTCTTTGCTTGGAACGTGTGTTAAGTATTCGACTAGTTCTTGTGTACTACGACGTTATGATTTAAATTTGAGTCGCAGATATTCGAGGGATTTTTTACTAAATTTTTAAACGCGATTGGATATGTTTGCCTTTCTTAAACGATTTGCTAATCCAGTGTCGACGATAATGTTTTACAAAAATGCAATAAATTGTAAACGGAAACGGATGTTTTTAATGGTATAGAATACCAGTTTGTTTGGTATCCTGTTTGGTATTTATTGTGCGGGATTTTTTTCCCGAATACACGAACAAAAAGTCAAAACTACCGTTACATAAATAAGTTAACTAGCACATGCCGAAACCAGCGGCAAAATCCGGCGCAACCAGCGCCGGGTGAGATTACTGTACAAAGCAGACGACCGTGCCTGTGCACACCCACAAAAGGTCACGGTCAAGCATTCAGCTGCACCCAGCTTCCGTATAACCGGAAGACCAACAGGAGATATGTCAAAATATCTACAAAAGTTTATACGGCAAAGAATCACTCAGTGTACACATTCCCAAAGTCTTTGCCATGTTGTGCTTCATGTACAGTTGCCTCGTTGATGCATTCTTGCGTTTCCGGTCATTGTCATCCCAATCGGATCAGGTCACGGTCAATGCCGCACCCAGCTTCCGTATAACCGGAAGACCAACAGGAGATATGTCAAAATATCTACAAAAGTTTATACGGCAAAGAATCACTCAGTGTACACATTCCCAAAGTCTTTGCCATGTTGTGCTTCATGTGCAGTTAATTGTCTCGTTGATGCATTCTTGCGTTTCCGGTCATTGTCATCCCAATCGGATCAGGATGGGTCCGATGATCTGGTCGCGTTCTTTGATACGCGCGTTGTTCTTGCTTTTCCCATCCTCCATTTCGTCTCGTAGTAAGAAGCGGAAAATGCTTTGTAAGGGCGCCGGCGGCGCGTACCGTTTTGCTAAAAGAAACAATAAGCTCTTAGTTTATTGATCATTCAGTTAACGGCAGTATTACACAGCAGATTATTGTAATTAATACTGATTTGCTTTGCATAATTTATCACAGCCGCCTTGTGCATGATCAGTCAATTCCCAGTTAAGTGCAGGAGGAGCAGATCAAATATAATAATATTACAGTAGTCACTGAGCAGTGTATTTTACGTACCGTAATTGATAATCTGACATTGTTTATTTACTTATATGTGCTTTACTTTATTAAATTCGTGGGCAGGAAAATCAGCAAAATTCAAGTCAGGCAACATAAAGTAAACGGAACCGTAAATCTAAAGAACAGTCTAAATGCAGAACTGCTGTACTGCATGCTTAAATATGCCGTAAAAAAACAGCCGTAGCTGTTGGAGAAATTCTATAGTGAAGTGGCTTTGTCGACCTGGGGTAATCGGTTCCGCATTTGCATTTTGAATTAAGAAAAAAGCGCGAAATATAACACAAACTGCGTTTAATTTTTTGATAAATTTCATCGTAATGCAGTATACAGTGTCATGATCTGTCATCCAACAACTTCCCAGACGTTTCATTCGATTTCCTGCTTCATGTTTTGCACATGTAAACCGACAAATCCGATCGATTGCACACTTTTAATTATACGATATGGCTAATGAATAATTTTCCTTACTCTGGTTTCGTTAACAGCTATCACTACAAAAAGCCGGTAAAATTGTTATTTGGCACTTAATAAATTTACCTCTCATCAGCAGATGCCGCTTATCGTTGTTTTCCTTCTCAGTCGGCTGCACAGAGCCTTCTTCCCCGCTGCCACTATGTAGAAGTGACGTGGTTTCCGGTTGGCGATTGTCTTCCACAATGTTATCACTTGTTGATTCCAAGGCCAGCAGGATTGATTTACCGTGTATACTGTGCGCCAGCATGAGAACAGCCGATGCCAATGTCACAAATAAGCCGTTCGAAAATTTCATTTTCCAATGAAACTGTCAAAATAATTAACCCGGCAATGGTGACCTTTATCCAAAACCAAATTGCATCAATAACGGAGTAGGTTCAACTGTTGATCCAAATTTGTAAATTGTCGAGTTTGAAGCTGTAGAGCGCTGAACATGTGTTGCACGGATTGAGAATAATCACGTATGCAAGTAAATTAGCGGAATGAAATCATAATGCGGTTGACATGCGGTTATATACGGGGCTACCACTGCGCTGCTTATCACGCTGGTATACCGGTAGTGATATCATTAATACTGCTAGTTCTATGCCGTTTTGTGCTGGCACTTATCAGGTGATAAGCCACCGGCGTAGTTCAACAACTCAGGAAAAGATTTGGGTAACTGTTATGTATTATCCGCGCCTCTATGTGCTTTTGTCGGATTAAAACAAAAGGGAATGTTTGCAAACATTTCCATAACACCACTAACTAATGAGGTGACGGTAAAAGAGAAACCTTTCTTTAATGTAGGTTGCGTGCGTTGTGATTATTTTGTAAAATTAGGCCAGGAAAGTAATTACTAACAAATGAAGCTATTTATTTTAAAGGCGTGCTTGTGCATATAAGGTTACATAATTATAGTACAGCAAAACGAAGATAAAATTAAGATGACGATTAATTACATAATATGTTATAATATGTGAATTGAACCGTAGATTTGCATATGCCATGAAATCATATGCAAATATGTACTGAAATTTACGCACTCTACTTTTAATACGTCTTAAATTTAAACCGTACTAAGGTTTAAAACACCAACGTACAAATTGCCTTAGATATTGAGTTAGTCAGTTAACGATGGCAACAGTACTAATCCTATCTGATTTTCTTTGCCACTAACTTTCCAGTCGAATAAATCGACGTACCGGCCTGGATCCCAGTTTTCTTGACATAATTACAGTTATGCCAGAAAAGAAAATTAATTACGTAGATAAACTTGTGCCCACTTGGCGAAATGTTTATCACGCCATTTCGCACATGAAAGACATACCGCTTGTCAAAGGTCACCTTCCAGTTTCGCAGCACCTAATTTCCCCATGCACACGAAACGGTGCTCAGCTTGACGCTCTTTAATCAGTTATTGGTTTTTCTCGGAAAGACATTATATGTTTAATTGTTAATAGATAAGAAGCTTTTGAAAAGTACTCGTCGAGGTGTTTATACAGCATGTTCGTGGCACAAGTGGTAATACTTGTAAGTGCGACAACCACGATGCCCGCTGATGGGTGCTCTGGATGTTTGCTTTACCAAAGGTCGCTCAAATAATTTTGGTAATTCAGCAAATACGATGCCGGCAAAGTATGGCCATGCACCATATTAAGCGATTTGTATGGCATTATCAGTTACCGGCTGATGAAACTTATTTACTGATTTGTATCTGTACATCGCTTGCATGCATAAAAATAATTGTACAAGTACGTTTGAAAAAGACCCATATGCATGAACAGAACTGTAGATTATTTATTGAATATTAAAATAAAAAAATATTAATAAATGTACGCTGTTAAACAAAGGCTTCTGCCACAATTAAAGTTTAAACTAGTTACAAAAATGTGCCTAATAATGATGAATCTTAATCGTCTGTTAATCTGTTAAATAAACAAACTGTCACTAGTATGCACAGTTTTATTCATCGAATTATTTGTCTAATTTTTGATTTTTCCATGTCAGAATGAATTGCTAAAAACGTCGTATAATTTGCAGGGTGTGGTTACAAAGTCCACCAAACTTCGAAAATTCCGCTGAACTATAGCACATGGTCCGCCACTGTGTATAAAAATATGTTTACATTATGAGATCACAAAATCTGAATAAAAATAGCGGCATTGTGAAAATGCAAACTATTGTCACATTAATCGCCATGCTGCTAGTTCATCTTTTCTGGGATTGTTATTGTATCGAAGTACACGAATCAGGAGAGCGATAACGGTGGAATGCATTTAACCCCCGCCAACCCAGTGAATTACTGACAGCGGGTATAATTAATATACCACAATATTTCCATGAAATATTCTTACGATGACTGAAATGTTTCTCCAGTGGCGATGAACGCGGCGATTGTTCTCTCATTATAATTAGGAATTTCTGGCATACTTGGCACATTGCGATTTTGCCGGTAGCGTACGATAAAGTGGGTACACAGCGATAAAAACGCAAAAGCGGTGCTTAATAAATTTAACCTATAATTGTCAATTCAATGGGGATCTACAATATCAATTCTATTCACTTATCGATTAACATGCTGTCATTACGCTAGCACTTCCGGTGGATTTCTCCGGCTATCACACCGTGATTTATGCATACAGGTATATCACTGCATATATGTTGCCGGTTATGTGCTAAACCGTGTTAAAACTACGAGGAAATACATATGTCTGCCGGAAATGCTGCGTTTATTTATGATAACGTAACGGTGCTTCTGTGCTTCGGTGCTGCGTGACGTCATTTCCGTCCATTTTCTATATTCTGACAACACCACGATTAATGGAGTAGTAATTAAATTTTCAGCCATTAACGATTTATCCAGGGTAGTATTGACTGATCAAAGAGGTTATGTTTAACGAAGATAAGCAATTAATTGGTTAAATGGTGTTAATCATGGCAAACTGAAAAAGTGGTTGTGTAAAATATTTGTGACGAAATTACATCGTCCCGCTACCGAGAAATTACTGGCCGTGTGGCCTCGGAAGACATGTGCTTAGACATAAGATATTTTATGCAGCGTGATAAAAATTCAAATGCAATGAATGGAGCAATCGTGCAGTGGGAACGCTGCGATAAAATCTATTTTTCTCTATTGTCCGCGGTGACATTACGGTGGATCTTCGTTAGACAGAAGCGCCTGGACTTCCACATGTGCTGCAAAATTTTTCTATTGTACATTAAAAATGAGTTGTCATGCACCGAACGACCTCTTGTCTGCCGGTGCCTGCCGACCACGATCGAATACGCAGTAAAATTATTCGCTCCTTAGGTGCCTTTACTTTTATAAGGATTGCAAAATAATTATACAATAAAAGTATCACTATTAATTGATGGACATATGGAAAAGTTCTCTATTAGCAATTATAAAGCGGTAACAAATAAAAAACGAGTTCGGGTAAAAGTGTATCAAGTTGGTGAATATTCGCGTACGTAATATTTTTATGATTAACTTAACCAAAAGTACACCATGTTGAATTGCTGAATAGCTACGAATATTTTGCGGAGAGATTGTACAGTTAGTAGTACTGTAGCAATTATTGTAGCAAGTACTGTAGCAATTACTATTTGCAATTAGGAGTACTGTAGCTTTCTTTAAATAAAGTTACGCAGTAAAGCAGCGGATCAGAATTCACACAGAGGAAGTTGCATGATATATTGCTCAATCTCAATAGCACATTATTCAATTGTGTGTCAATATCGCAGAGATATTGTACGGCCACGCATGCAGATATAACAGGCTCATCTAACTTCCGGTCAGTTAAGGAAGTAGGTCTACGATTTCTACGGCATCGTCGCCACTTCGATGACGTTCGATATAGCGATATGGCGCGATGACGTAGCCGTGTGATTACAGTAATATTACAATTGTTACAGATATGTACCCACTACTTACCGCACTCTAGCTGACGCTATCCTGCAGAATGTCGCTTGATGAGCAACTACGTCATTTTTACAATAAAATCGATAAAAAAAATTCAGTAATTCTTCCTCTAGCGAAAATCGCAGTCGTAACATTTCCAATCGTAAACGGCTGAGCGAATGCGGCATGACTCCATAAGTCCATAGAGAACTGGATTTTGTTAGTAATCTTGCATACAACTGACCTGAATCAGTTATACACTAAAGTAGAAAAACGGTTCAGGATTTGGTAGTACATGCTGTAAAACCACAAGAGATGGAACAACACAAAGTTACAAATAACAACGTTAAGTGATGTTAATATTAGATGGAGGTTGTGTGCTCCCGCTTTTCCCCTTTTCGCCGTGTTCGTGTGTAGCCAGTTGCTTGTGTTGGTGGCGATGCGATTCGCTGTGGCCGCTTAGAACAATGCGGCCGCCGGCACTCACGCGCTTGCTGTTTGCGCTCGGCACTGTTTCTGTGCCCGCGTTGGGTTCTGCATGTCTGGCCGATGTTCTTGGCATTTCTTGTTCGTGTGATTTATACTTTACCATCCGCCACACCCTACGGTTTTCTTCTGCTGTTAATTCGCACTTACTCAGTAAAGGAGCCTGTGTTTGCGCAGGGCACTGTTTACTCACTTCCGCCGACCCCCGGTCGGCCGGCTTCTCGCTGACCCACGGTCACCGCTTACAGCCGATCACGAGAGCACCAGCCGCCCAGCAGCCGGGGTTCCAGCGTCCACAGTGGACACTGAAAACGGTAACATTAAGTAACAGTTTTGCTGGATTAGTGCAGCCGGAATTCAAGAGACAAATGGTGTTTTGTAAAACTCGCATCTGCTGAATATAGATAGTAATTATTATTATAAGAACAGATAAGTACAGTAGTAGATTATACGAATCATACGATGGCATGCACTGCCGTACTGGTAGCCTATGTCGTTTGCGTTGAAATGCTTTTGCAAAACGAGAATAAGCCGAATTATTGTGCCCAACTCCAATGTATTTTATCGATAAAACGTTGCCGCGCATGGGGGGTGGATTTTATTAATAAAATCCGTGGTGGACGAATTTGTCCACCGGAAACGAACAAACAACTGCACTGTAACCAACAACTGCATAGCGCAAACGACAAACGAACGCCTGCACAGGGCAGGTACGCCTCCAAACCCCCAAATCACTCCCGCGATCCGACTGCTGCCATACATTGCGCGAATTCCTCTCGTCTGCGATTATCCAAAATGACATATTTCTTATAACATCTGCTGCCCCAATTGCCTTGCGCTTTAATTACCGCTGCCGATGCTCCGAATTTGGCTGCTGCTGTGGCGCCTCCTCGCCGAAACGAATGCGTGGATAACTTACTGCCGTCGATTCCGGCATCTGCCAGCGTTTGCTTTAAACAACGGTTGAACAAATGAGACGTCATGGCCACCATCTGCCCGGCTGACCGGTACGATAGAAGCGGGTCGTTTCCTTTCGCTTTCGTTGTCGCTAATAATACGTACTTCCACTGCGGTTGCTGGACACAGTACACTGTTGCTGCTCAGTTTTGGAACAACTACATGTACTTCCGCGCCCGCGTAGCGGTTGCTTTTTAGCGCTGGCGCTGATATTTGCAGCCCCATCTCGATGCGCTGCACATTCAAAACTTTAACATGCGTACTGCCCTTTTTGAACGAACAAAACAAATTGGATGCCCGCAATAAAGAAAAGAATGTCAATAAGCCAGCGGCCCAGAAGGCCTTCCTGCGTGCTGCCTGCACTGCATGCAAATGCTTGTGGATAGTTAACAACAGGTCCACATCTACTGCTGCTCGCTTGTTCGGCAACTCCTCGCGGAGGCGCTGAACACGTGCTAATGCTTCCTTTACTGCAAAATGCGTTAGATCTGGCGCCGCCATGCTGTGCTCATGGTGAAGAGAAATTAAACTGCTGACATAATTCTGATTTGTTGTATGCTGCAAACTGCGTGCAAGCTCTGCTATAACTACAGGGTTCCAAGCTGGATGACCATAGCGGACCCTTTTGCGAAGCCATTGCCTCTGTACTGACGCTGGGATTACAAGGCAAGGTACCCGCTGACATACGGCCGATATTCTTTGGAGGTCGACTACTGGCGTTGCGCAAGAAAGACGGCGGACTGCGCCCCATAGCGGTAGGACTGTCGTTGCGTCGTCTACTAGCCAAAATCATCTGTAGCAGAATAGCGGACCGGGCTACCGCTTTGCTTACTCCTCATCAGTCTGGCTTCAACGTTCGGGGGGGAGCCGAGGCCATCGTCCACGCAACTAGACATTTCCTACAGTCGAAACCTGAGAGCATTAAAGCACTGCTAAAGGTTGACTTTCGCAATGCCTTCAACACTGTATCCCGTGAAGTGGTTTTAGATGTTGTGCATACACACTTTCCTGAATACGATGAATTCTTTTGGTCGGCGTATGGGCATCATTCTTCTTTGTTCATTGATCAGACAGTGCTGTCGTCTGAGTCAGGGGTACAACAAGGCGACCCGTTGGGCCCGCTGCTATTTTGCCTGGCCTTGCTTCGTGTAATTGCCACGCTGAACACAGAATTTAACGCCTGGTACCTTGACGACGGAACCCTGGGCGGTACGCCGGCGTCAGTAGCGGAAAACTTCAGACGGGTTATCGAAGGCGCGCATGCTATCGGCCTGGACATAAACGAGTCTAAATGTGAACTATTTGTATCAGGAGGAACCGAGGATGAGCGGCAGGAAGTTGTTGACGATTTCGTTTTGCACCACCCACAACTTCGTGTTATGTCCAGCTCAACTTTAACCCTGCTAGGCGCCCCGGTCCTGGACGACGCGATTGGTGATACCCTCGCTGAGAAATCAAGCGCCATAAATACAGCCTGTGAAAGGCTACAACTCCTTCCCCGCCACCATGCTCTGTATCTTCTCAGATACTGTTTAGGCGCCCCGAAGATAATTTATGTGCTCAGATGTTGCAATGCCTGGAAACATCCTAAACTGCTTTATCAAATCGATGAGTCACTGCGTACATGTTTTCAAGAACTTAGTAACGTTCGGGTAAACCATGACGACTACCCTGGCTGGCGACAAGCGACTCTTCCGGTCAGTCGAGGAGGTGTCGGCATACGTCGTGCGGAGGAATTAGCACTCTCAGCCTATTTGGCTTCGATTCACTCCGTATCTGATTTGCTATTGTCGATACTGCCTCACCTTCCGGCAGTGAACGCCTCGGAAGCAGTGGAGTTGTGGAAAACCAAATCCCATTTAGCAGAAGTCCCTGAAGCTGGCATGCGTAAGCTCCAAAAGACATGGGATTTACCGCTTTGTAATGTGTCGGTCTCTATTTTATTGGATTTGTTTCGCGGTGACATCGTAAATACAGCCCGCTTTCTTGCGCAGTCCCGTCCCGAAGCCGGTATTTGGTAGAATGCGCTTCCTACCGCCCACATCGGCAACCTCCTTGACGACGAGACTATTAAAATTTCGATCGGCCTGCGTCTTGGAGCGGATATTTGCGAACCGCATAACTGCACCAAATGTCAGAAGCACGTTGATAAGTTAGGACACCATGGTTTATCATGCACCTACTCGGCCGGTAGACACGCGCGCCATGGAGGATTAAACAACATTATATGCCGGGCTTGTGTTTCAGCCGGCGTTCCCGCTAAGCTTGAACCACGCGGTACATCCTCCACTACGGACCAACGCCCTGATGGTTGTACAACGTTTGCTTGGAAAAGAGGAATGTGTTTGGCGTGGGATGTGACGTGTGTCGACACAATGGCCCTTTCTCACATACCGTCAACTTCGGTTGCGGCCGGAGCTGCTGCAGCGCAAGCAGAAGACAGAAAGTCCAGACTGTACGAGTATCTGGTGGGACGCTACATCTTTTCCCCGATCGCATTTGAGACGATGGGACCTTGGGGGCCGGCGGCTATCGCTATTGTAAAAGAATTGGGAAAGAGATTGCAACAGCACACAGGAGAGCGTCGCACGCATGAATTTCTGCGTCAACGACTATCGCTGGAGATTCAGCGCGGAAACGCGGCATCCATCCTGGGCACGATGGAGGGAGTGGATAGTTTAAATGAAGTTTTGCTGTTGTAAAGAATATTGCATGTTTCTTTTCTGTACCAGAACTATGTGTTAGTATACACTTGCGACTGATGCATGTCCTTCCATATTTGTACATTAATTATTCAACCACCGGTAAATAAAGGTCACTACAGACTGACGGTATGTACCGACGCCGGTAATGCTTCCAGCTTATACGCCGCGCAGAATTTCATGTACCTGCTCCATTGTGCCTTTCTTGTTTCCTGCGATGAACTGGCTGTGGCAGACTGCCGCAAACTTTTCAGTCGTTTCTCCAGATCCATCAAGCGGGTATGCTTGTCCTGCCATTGCCGGTAACGGCGCTCCGGGAAAACTACGAAATACAGACCTGAATTTTTCCGCGTTAGTGAAATCCACCTTGTTAAACGGCTCAAGGCATCGGCCGCTACGTTTGTTACTCCCGGAAGATGAACTGCGGTTACGTAAAGGTCATAGCGTAACTGCTTGCTGCTGCTGCATGCAACTGGAAGTTGCCGGTATGCCGCGCTCTTTATATATGCGCCACCGATGACTGGTGGCCGGCTGAGAGGAGGAGTGGCTATCCGTGTAGGCCAGTAATTAAACAGATTCTCCACAGAGAGAATCTTACTCATTTTGGACGCATCACCATTGTCGTACAGAACACATGTAGAAAAATCGTATGTAAAATCGTATGTCGTATGTAGAAAAATCAATACATTGTAGTTTGCGTGTACACAAAGGAGTAGTGCAAGGACCCTTTATGTGCCATTAATATGACTACTTACTGTCATTATTGTAAATACGAGTATTATTGTTATTAATATTATATTATTAATTATCACTACATCGTACAGAAACCGAAGCTGCATGCTTATGCTCGACTCCAGAAAAGCTACAGCGGATCACTTCGAAATTTGATACTGAAAGTACAGAGAGTTTTCTGCAACTGAACTTTACAGTCATAGGTGATTGTACAAATTACGGGAAATAATTTACCTGGATTCTTGTAATTATATTCATTTGCTCAGCTAAATTCTCCACTATCATAACGATTCAAGCTTTATTAGAAACTCATACCGTTAAAACCTGCGCTGACATACAGTAATGTTTATACCGCATACATTTTTTGTTTAATTCTGCGACCTTAATTTTGTCATAAAGGATATAATACAAAGTAAGAGGTAACAGTCGTTCATTTATGACAAGCTTACTGTCAGAGTTGTCAGAACTTCTATGGCTGACAGTAGTGAGTGTCACAAATGAGCGCATATGGATGTATTGTACTGTACTTGTACAATTGCGCTCATCCTGACATTTAAAATGCTGCAAATAACAGGAAGATCACGCCATTGAATAACAGGAAGATCCTACATTCAACACACGTCTACGATTACTGTACCGGTACGGTATTTGTAGATACGTTTCAAAAGAAACAGCTCTTCCTCCCTGGTAGCGATTAACCTGCTACGCTGGAAGATGTCCTAATTATTAGTCATCCTAAATTGTTCAACTTTTCACTACCCTATACAAAATATGCACATATTATATGTAGATGTTACGAGGTACATACGTAGTGCTAATAGGAGGTATCTTATTTTCGCTAGATTTTACTGCAACCTGAGTCTAACTAACCCAGTAAAACTGAAAATACATAAAGTTCTCAAAATCGCGATCGGATTTCCTTAAAATACTGCTAGACTAAAGTTTTAAACAGGTGAGTCGGAAGCTGGTCAATCATTTAGGCATGTTACTGCAGTCGTCACAGGACAATTTCACGCGAAAGAATTTCCCCCGGCGAACAAGATATAAATATAAATATGTTACTATATGTTACGGCTCTACGAGATACCATGTATGTTACTTTCCTTTAGACCCACAGACGATACGCGCGCTATGCGTGTAATCGATACCCGGTCAGCGAAGACTAAGGGATACAGTTTCTCAGTTCTACCTTTTACCTGGATAGAAATGTCCAGGGAACCAGTGTATGCTACGAGATAACTGCGGTACGAATGATGCGTTAAGCACAACATGTCTGCATCAAACACAAAGTTACAGCAGAGTAAACAGGAATAAAAACAGCCAGCTAATACAAGATCAAAATGTAATCATGAAAAATATATAAAATTAAAAATTTATCTGTGGTTTCCATGCTGTTTAAATAAACGGAAAAGAAACTTTGGCAATCGATTGCGCGAAAATTAACAAATCACGAAAGGTTGCAAAATAAAAAAAACAGGAACATGAAGAAAACCAAAAAGCGAAAGCGCAAGATAATCTGAGCAAGATTCGGAGGTCAAGCGCGCTTTACGTGCATGTCTCGAACTAAGGCTCAAATTATTTTCGTCCAGGAAATGGTATCGTGTAAAGCACGGTCTATGCCTCACAAAGCGAATATTTCGTTGATTCCGTAAATGGCCAGTTTACTAAGAGTCGACACATTAAGCAGCCGCAAATCCATCTTCCACCAATATCGTGGGCTGCCGTCTGCATGGAAACCGCTGAACCTACAAAGCAAGGGTAAAATGAAGTTCAAGAGACGGAAGTTTGGACTACCGCAACATGGAATGCATTGGCACTAGTCAAGTCTGCTTACACTAAAAGATACATGCGAATGGTCTGCCATTCATCCGGATACTCCAGATTGCGCACCCAACGAGCATGCACAGCAGTGACCTTTGCTAGCATATCCGGGGTGACCGGCGGGAAGTTCTCGTTGACAGCGCACATGAAGCGGCTAGTCATGCGCATTCTGCCCTCGCTGCATTTGAGAACTAGCCGCGGAATGCTGATCTGCAGCTTGTCAATGTCCAGTGCATGCGACTCCATTTTGAGGGGTTTCATCAAATTCTGCTCGTGCTCTGGCAGGAGACGCATACTGTTATCGTATCTAATCTGTACACCCTGAAACAGTTGGGACGCTGTGAACCCGAACAGGTCGGCCACTTTCCAGTTGTACAGCACGACGGATTCGCAGTAGTGCTTGTAAGACGTCGGCTCCCAAGCTGCAGCGTGCTTCAGCCGATGCTCGTTTTGTCCCACAATGAGGCTGGGTTCGGAGACAATCTGGTCTTTAAAGACTACCAACGGCAGCCGGATCCCCATTGCTGTTAGCAACATTTCTATATAAGACGATGGATAAAGGAAAAAGGCGTTGAGGAAGGTGAGGCATTTGGTGGTGGAACTAATGGAGCGGCTCACCAGCTTCAGCAGTTTGTAGCAGTTGCCACTGTCTACCAGTACCTTCGGATGCAGCCAATTGTCCACATGAATAATGATGTGCTCCGTCATGCGCGGACTGCTTAACAGGAGCGACCATAGCGCGCATACCCTGTGGAGCAGCGACGTTGTTATATAACTGCCCCAGTAAAAACCACTACTGCAGCCGCCCGATCAAGCTGCCCTTGCCTTCCCTGTGTTGAACATCGAGCAGCGTGTGTAACGTTGTCCCATAAACCAGACTCTGGATGCAACCTGATCGGGAGGCTGCTAGTACGGTCCGACACTACCACGCCACAGTTCCAGCTTTCTCTCATACTTGCGCCACTCCTCGGATTTTGTCGTCCGGCCAAGTTACACTCTGCAGTTTTTCCCAAGAGCAGACTGCCGATGACCTTTGCCTCGCCACATTCGGTCAGCTCATGACGAGCCTCATTGAGAGTTGGCTCGCTATAGAGCTACGTGAGGGCGCGAGTACCACTTACCGTTTGGCCGTCATTTGTGAGTACAGATCCAAATGGGCCAGGATGAAGTCAACGAGCCACGGCGTCAGCTGACCTATGTGGGCACCGACAGCTTGGTGCAGTGCGTCACTTTCCCAGCCTGCGGACAGATGTGTCATGTCAGCTGAATTACTAAATTCAAAATACGCTATAAAGATTGCGTTACATAGTTGCAATTTTTAAGAAGAGGTTAGGCAATTTGCCGCATTCTGTAGTACGCCCTGCAAAATTCCAGGCATTTTCGACAGTGAGCAATTTTCTTGCCATATGAAACTACGAGTAAGTGCATACAGTAAAAGCAGGCAAGATGACAGGCAAACTTTAAAAAAACATTTGCTAATTTATGGACATCCGCAATGACGCAATCCCCTTGCATGTTACGATATTATTTGTACATTCAAATTTAATAGAGAAGTGTTGATTGTGTTGCGATATTCTGTTGGCCGACATAATCTGAAGAGCGGTCATCAAATTAATGCATATAATACTGTAAAACACCGTCGCACTGATATCGGTGAAAGATCCTACACTGTTACTCCATCTTTACACCTGACCATGATATGACGTTGACCTCGGACCGAGGTCCTCGTTACAGAAGTTGTGAATTCTTCAGTATTTTGTGAAGGACTCACAACTTCATTACTGAAGTCAATAAATCTATACAGGTAATCGGGACAGCCGTTCATACTGCTCGGCTTGCCTTGTTAATACTCGTAATAATGTATTATGACTACAAGCTACATGTATAAAGTGTAAAACTAACCGGTGTCGCCAAGGATAACTGCTCTTGCGGGACCTAGTGCAAAGGCAATGGCCGGCAAATCAATCCGGCTGGCCAGATGTTTGTCCAGCACTTGCGCCAACATCGTCGCCATCCACTGTGCTGTCTCCGCGTTGGCAGTATTTATCGTAATAAACATGCACCCATCCCGCTCGATGCGCATATGAAAACGACAGCAGTTTCTCCTCGGATAAAAGAATTCCCTTTCCTGCTCAAAAGCATCGCGAAGGTGCTTGATGATGCGGAATTTGTCGGAGGCATCGCTCAGAACACTCTGCGCCCGGGTAAAGGGAATGAAATGTTTGGTGTAGAGAAAGGCGCTGCGGCGCTCCAACAACGGTGGACCACTGGGCGGCAACTGCGCGGCCACTTGCCCGGCTGCCACCAGTTCAGCAGGAGCGGCGCATGCCAGGCCGTTGGGGTAGGGCTCCGCAGATTTCAAATAGAACATTCCACAACTTTCAGTTGAACAACCATGCAACGCATCCAACAGGACGGCAGGTCGGAAGCGCAAGGGGCCGTTGTTTTCACTACGCAATGCAACGTACACCGCGCAACCTCGGGGTTGACCGTGTACAAGGTCTTCACAGTAGAACGGCAGCAGCCAGATGCTTGCCATGTGGATCCACCGAGCGGTGACCTTTGCCGAGTCAAAGTGGATGAGTGCGTGGTCGCCGTCCATGTCTTGAATGTATCCCAGCCACCAGGAGTCGTCAGTGTTGCGAACGGCGACCGTGTTCTGGTAGCTCATTTGGTTGATATCTACCAGCAGCGGCCGGTATTGCACCATCGCTCCCCAAGGCGAATCCATAACGACCGATGAGACCATCAACCTATAAAATGCACCAATGTCTAAGTCTCACTTATGCTTACAATTGTTAGTTATTATGCGTATCGAAGAAAACTACCAACCTATATTTTAAACACCGCGTCCGATCCACTTCGGTGTCTGTTGCGTCACACTTACGTGTCTCCGAAATGACATGTGTTTTTCCCGGACAGTTTTTGGAATTTGTCTCAGTCTTCCCGCCAACTTTTCGTCAAGTTCCAAATGCCATTATTCTCTTCCCTTATCACAGTGTCCAATATAAAACGATTTAATCGTACAGCTTTTCTAGCGAAATCGGGAATGTCGACTACTATGTGCAAAAAGCAAAGCAGCGAATCAGCATCTATGTACACCAAGCAGTTTTCATGTCTGCCATTTTCATAACCGCAATTTTCCTCAAAAACATTGTTACTGTCAGGGAAATTCGAAGTTTCTCGGTATCTTAAACACGCTTGACTTGCCATGAATAGTTCGTTTTACTGATGCAAAATATTGAATTCACAAAACTCAAAAGCAAGAAAACTGAAAACGGAAATGTTGGTGTCATGTAAAAAAAAAATTGCTCTTCTTAAATTGTAAACTTTTGAACTTATACAATGTAACGCAATCTTATCATCAGTCTTATCATTTATGAGTATTTTCTGGCTCCACCACCGATAACATCCTAACACGGATAACCCGTTCAGCTCTACGTGCTTCAAAGGCCCTAATACTCACAGGCGCTGTATCACACTTCAAAGTCTTCACAATAGTTATAAAGAAACGGTCCAATTTCCAGTTCAAACAATTTAGCGTGGCTCAGTTGCGCATTGACGGTCCCGTAGCTCAAAAATTATTCTGTCGTCGATTCGGCAGACATTTTTGGGGTAGTGTACACTCTCTCTGTACACTGAAAAATTTATTAGGAGCCAAGGATATTCTGGAACAAATGTGCGCAGTGTTAAGCTAAAATAACACGAACTCCTTAAAAAACCACAGAAAATGCTGTTTGGTTATTTAATTCTGATCATAGCGTGGGATCATGATCAAGGAACCATGCTGCACCTAAATACTAGTACCTCTCTGATGTCGGGCAAACGCAAACGCACTGAGGAGTGTGGTAAAAGCCTGAGAAAGGTAAAAATATTGCATATACCGACCACTGAGCACTGAACGACTTAGTAACCGCGGTGTCAAAGTTATCCTGTGCAGCGTTCAATAGGGAGACAGTGGGACGCGCACACGTGCATAGCAGCGTCGCACTAATGCCGGTTCATGGATGGCACCTAGAGACTAGAAGCCGGTAATATACTTACGTAATTTAACTTTTTTGAGCGATTTCACATGAGCCGGTTATTGCGCGCACATTTTGAGTTTAAATCGGTTTAGCTCAATGTTCTGAGCGCTGAAAGCAGTAACGTACACTATGGAACTGTTTACGAGCCCGTCATGGCTTTTTTTCTAGCAAAAGGGGTGCAAACCAGTAGTAACTCCGCTTAATTCGAATTTAAAATGATGATTATTTATTAATAACTTTCTTTTGGTTTCGGAACAGATGTAAACAGTACGTTTCCCAAAAATTTACCGTTATGATTAATTAATAATACTACACAATTTTGGTTCAACTATACGCTAAAAATGATTTAAAAAATGTTGACAATTTTAACGTTCACTATTGTGCCCAAGAGTACCTTATATTCGGTTAAGAGAACTTCCACTGTATCTAAATAGTTTTAAATATTCTGATGTTTGCCTAATTAAACACTGCATTAAAACAACGACCCGAGACCGGAAGAGGACAAACAGTAAGGGTTTTTTCCAACAGCAGTCCCAGAACCTCAATACACCGCCACCGATTTGCAAATAAAGAACGAAAACCGACGTAATTAATCCCAGTCTAGAGACAGATCTCGTTGTTTTTGGTAAAAAATTAATTTTCATCAAAGGTATATGTCAAAATGCACTACTACAAGTCTACAACGTTAGAATTACAAGAAAGACGCCCAAGGAAAAACAATTGCTCATCTTTCTGAGAAAGAAGCTTAAAACACAAACTGCTGTTAACTGACAAATGGCCGTGGCGTACTACAAAGTAACAGTCTAACATTGAACCTTAAGGTAGGAAAAGCGTTAAGCATTCGCGAAGGCTGGGTCATCTTTCACGCCGATATTCACGAAATTTCCCAACTCCTTATTGTTTTTCCAATAATTCCTAAAATCGATCAGAAATTCACAGCAATATTTGGGCGAACGCTAATGCTACAACATTTCACCAAGTACAAAACGCCACAGTCCACCACAAAAAATAACTAACACACTACAAAGCATCTTGCTGTCGATACTACATTTTAGGGAAATTACTGGCCACTGGACGAACCAAATTCCGCTAATTACATATTATAAATTATGTGATCAGAATATTTCACATGAAAATGAAAAATACTACTGCAGAAAAGTTTTCACACGCGGCAGTAACACTTACCGAAAACGGTTCTTCGCCAGTTGACGTTTGTTAAACATCCCTTTAAAGACGATCCGGTTGACCCGAACCGGTGGATCCTGCTGTGTAGTCATCTCGATTCGCACCGGAACGGTCTTATCGTAGCAGTTTTCAAATGCCTCTTCACCATTCAGGGCATCCGGCCCCATAACTTCTACTGGATTCGGATTCAGATTACCCAGCTTCTCGGCCAATTTCTTGAATCTCCCATAGTTATCCGGTTCTATAAAAAAAAACAAATGCAAATTTGAAAAAAACCGAACCAATCTAATACTTTTAATTTATTTTCCTTTAGCCCATTTTTGGCTAGGATCTAGCATGGGGTCTACAAAATAATTTCAGGTGTCGTAACACAACACTTAACAGAGTTTTATAAAACAGCGCACCGAGATGCAGATGAATCACAAACCAAGCACCTGGTGAAACTTAATTGATTAACCCTGAAACTACAATCGGGAAGATGGCACCCGCTACTCAATCTAAGCGACACGTGCAGTACAAAATCCTAAGCGCTGCCGCATGCACTCCTTCGTCTCACTGAACCCTTTGAACGTGCCGCCCTGGCCCTGCACCACCGCCTGATCGGAATTAAAATGCACCGCCGCCGCGTCCGGAGCCCAGACTATCATCATACTTATTTCCATACAAATCGACGGTAATTTAAACATTACTACTGCGACCGGAAGCAGCTGTGCAGCAGACTGCTGGCGATCACCAGCACCACCGCCCTCATCACCATCAAGGCCAAACTGTTCCCCCAACCATTCTCACAACCAAAGTCGGGTCATGAGAGTGGAGGCGAGCGTCGGAGAAAGCGGGAAAATGGCGCGCCCGGGCTGGCGCTAGAAAATGCGACTGGCCCGAGCGCCGGAACCGCTCCACTTCCCTGTACTCGGCCATGGTCCTGCAAGAGGGTCTCCTCGGGGAAAAAGAGGTTTTTGGGCGTCAGATTGAGAAGCACAATGGAGGAAGTTTTCGGGATAATGACATCACACTGCTAAGGACTGCGGAGCTAACGGACTTCAGGGCGGTGCCGTGGAGGCCGCGAGGGAGGTGGTCAGTGGTGTATACGGGGATTGGCAAATGGATGGAAGAGGCGGGGGTGGTGCGGAGGATGGAATCCGGAGATTCTTCGGTGCACGTGCGCTGAATCCAGTTTAAGGCCGGCAATCATACAGGTACAATACCAGAAAATGTCGGAGAAAACGCAGTCTTTCTTTCCACCGAATCGTCTGCAAGACAAACAAAAAGGCATATCGGTAAATATGAATCGCAGCATTTTAACTGCAGCTCAAGAAACGTAGTAAATGTACTGTAGATTTGTAGGCAATGGACATTAGTGATCGAAATCAATGCTAGAAAAGCAATGCTGCAATATCAACCCCATTTTTTTCTTATCGGAAATCTCAAAACCAAAGCACGTTTGTACTATCCTGCTCTAGTCTAGAGAGAAACAAATCAATATTTTTCTTATCTTAGTTTTTATCTTCCGTTTCTAACAGGTCGCCAGTGAATTATATAATCGTTAAATTAAGGAAATTTAAAAAATGACAGCAAAGCATCATTCAATAAAAAATTTGAAAAGAGGACTGTGATGGCCGTTATTAATCAAATGATTACGGCACTTAGCCAGATCAGTAATTATGTCCCGGCCCCTCTTTATAACAAATAACTACGGCAATGCCGCTTAATGACCGCCGTCCACTTCCGGCCAGTATGTACGCTCCGCGGTGGACGTAAAGCGCACTATTAAAAAATAATTTAATTTTCAAATTCTCGTTTCTCCCGTTCCAAGACCCGCCAGCTAAAGTGTTGATTCTTCTCCAAAAATCCAAATCTAATTAATCGTCGAATTACAAGTGGGAAATTTCTGTGGCAAGATGTGATGTTCTACTTCTGACCAAGTGGCAATTTCTACCAGTGATGAGAGAAAATCAAGCACGACAACGCATTAGAAATTCGCGATTCCGAAAAAATAGTAGGGAATTCCGTGCAATATCTCTTACGGATACAATGCAAAAATAGTGTTAAAAAAAGGGAAAGACGCTGTCACGTCGTGAAGCACCAGATTTACTGCGCTTCTTGCCGGCGAGATCCTGGCTAACTAAATGATAATACACAAACTACAAAGAATACCGCATAAGGTTAGGTCAACCAAAAAAAGCCATGCAAATATTTTAATGTTGCTGCGCGCAACAACTTTATTGCGCGTAGCCACTACAGTACAGTCACGCTAGTGGTTTATTAGTGCGAAATCCATATAGCTGGTAATAACAACGTAAACCGGAAGTCGCAAAATGAAGCAGAGTTATACGAAACGAGTTATCTACGAGAATTATCGGTACCTAAACCGCAGTCGTTATTACAGAATGATCCAAAGGGTCAAAACAGAAAAATATAAACACTAATTAAACTTACATATTAATTTAAACTATTGTTCAACAGAAATTAAACAATAATTACGAGTAAAGTCAAGATGTAATAAAGACATTCAAAAACTATTTAAATAATTATTTTTAATTCTATTACAGCAACCTTCAATTTCCCTTTGAAACAAAAAAAAATTTTTTGGCACATAAACCGTAACTCGAACATGATCGATCACGCTGTTCACATGTACTAATGTTTTTTCTTAATTTTCAACAAAATAAATATTTTCGGCAATTAGCAACCAGTAATTCAACAATACTGTTTTTAATGTCCATTCTATATTCGAAATTCATTATTTTAGAACTCCTTGAAAATGCTGCAAGAGTTTTCCTACCTTCATTCGATCCAAGCGACATTACTCTTCTCGGCGCGCGCTTCATCCATGCCCCGCTGCCCCACGTCCGCAGAGCACTTTCCCACGTTAATCTATCACAAGCCTCCGTCAGCAACCCACAGTCCGTAAAGAATCCCGCGGCGCAGGATCTCCGTTATCCGGCCATACCTGCAGCAATTCGCACAAGCGCACGCACACCCCCGGCTCCGCCCACAGGACGACGCATCACCGCGCTCCGCCTACATACACTCCCCGCGGGCAGCACACCCAGTACAAAATCCTCCCCCTTCCATGGGCGGCAACGCCTGCTCAGCACTGATCTCTCGCCACGCAGCGCCCCAACTTCCACTGCGCTCTGATTCCACATGAGAATGACCAGCAGGCACACACTGCCCAGTATGCGGGAAACCAAACATTTTCGGAAAACAGAATAAAATTAACGCAAAAATTCTTAAAAATAAATTTAACTTAAAAAAAATTTAAAGAATAATTCTGGTTTTTTTGATAACTTTGCGAACTGGTAGCGTTAAGCATGTATTTTCTAAAGCCAATAACAACCTGCTCCTGCTGTACTGTAGTCTGTACCACATAATTATGTACTACCGTCTTACGCAGCACGCTTCATTGAATGACAGCAAAGTACTTATTTTGATCAGAATAAACTGCAGTAAACCTTTTGCAGTGTTTAAGTATTGCCGGATACACAAAATAAAAATTAAGAGTAGAACCGTAACCGTAAGTAGCAGCGTTTATTCTACTTACTGATATCGAAATACAATAGAAAGTGCGGCGATTCCGGCTTGCGTCGTTTCGGTGGCGACGAAGATCCGGAGCGTGGTTTCTCGGCAGACCCAGGAGTTTCTGAGTAGAAACGTTTTAAATTTGTATTAGTTTTTAAAAGATGCCTACATCAATATTAAGAATATTTTAACCGTTAAAGCGCTCGTTCAAAAAACATGTAAACTTTCGGCAAGTGCAGGATAACAGTACTTGTACATAAATAAAACTGCTGCATTTTAAGAAATCTGAAAGTGAAAAAGAGATAAGAAAGAAGCGAAATAGTACAATATTAAATATAGTCGATTTAAACTTTAAATTACTGTGATCATCATAATTTACTCATTGCCTACTATAGAGATGGCAGCGGCTGGCTGAAAGCCGGCTGAGCACATTTGGGAGCCGTAGCCCACGACAGGCCGGCTAAGGATTCCAGCCGGCTGAAGCTTAGCCGGCGGCCACTTCGGCTTAGCGGCTTTTGCGGCTGCATTGTCAAGCGATTGGCGAGTATTATTGTGGCTTTGCAAATTAAGCGATAGTAATTTCGATAAATCGCAAAATATTCGAGTTTGTGGCCGCAGTTTTAAGTTTTTTTATCAGTGCCATAAACGACTATAACTATGCCATTCGGAGGCATCACGTTAGTGCAAGAAATGGCAACAGATGCAGCACGGTATGATTATCAAACCGCGGACAATGAAGATGATGTCCTGCCACCAGCGACCCCAGGGGGCCGAATCTAGGCCTAGACTCCAACTCTGACTCTGACTCTGATTCTTACCACTCAAACTCTGACTCTGACTACTCAAAGTCTGACTCTGACCGCTCAAAGTCTGACTCTGACTCTGAAGGTTTCTTAGGTTTCTTGATAGTTTTTTTAGGTTTCTGAGGTTTCTTAGGTTTCTTAGTTTTCTTGGGTTTCTTAGGTTTCTTAAGTTATTCTTAGGTTATTCAGTCAGAGTCAGAGTCAGAGTTTGGACAGTCAGAGTCAGACTTTGAGTAGTCAGAGTCAGAGTTTGAGCGGTCAGAGTCTGAGTCAGAGTCAGAGCTTGAGCGTGGGCCAGGAATCTACGATCCAAGCGTTTCTTCTGCACCGGTCGCCGACACAGGAATTCCAGCTAGAACATTATTATTAATTGTTATACGGTAAATGGCTTAAACGGCTTAGCCGGCGATAGCCGGTATCGCCGGCTGGAAAAATTGGTCAGCCGCCTTAGCCGGCTGGGACTTCCAGCCGCGTTCAGTTAGCCGGCTAAGGATTTCAGCAGGCCGTCAGCCGAAAGGTCAGCCGTTTAGCCGGCCGTTGCCATCTCTAGCCTACTAAACCTCACTATACTGTAACTATAAGAAGAATAGAAGATCAATCATATTCAATAATATTACAGTAGCGAAAAGAAAATAAAGTTAGAAAATACCGGTATAAAAATAGTAACTATCGCTAAATTTCAGTAAATTATGCAAAATTATTAATTGAGAAATAAATTGAGCATATCCGAATTCAACGTAATTTTTCAGCTGCAGGACAGCGGAGAGCGTCGCCTGAGATACGACGACATCGACAAAATCAGATAAAAACAATCCTAATTCGCGCGTGATGGAACAGTAGTTAGAATCAACTGCACGTTATCTTGATTTACATAAATTAATTTGAGCAAACATATTGCCACAGAGCAACAAAACTTCAGCAAAGAAATTAGGGTGAAAGCTCTGAAATTGCCAACTTACCGCTCTTTCCGCCAATAATGCGTGTAGTAGCAAAGAGATCAAACTGTGACGAGGCCAACTTAATGCCGATATTGTTGGCGGTCTGCATGGCCTTCAAAGCCGAGTCATGATTTTCGAATACGATCAGCCCGCTGCGCGATGAAGCCATGTTCTTAGAAATGATCAAGTCCTTAACGCTGCCTAGGTTCTGGAAGGTGGCTCGCATCTGTTCCGCGGTGACATGCGCGGCAATTCCAAGAAAGCACAACGGGTAGCCGGCGAGTTTTTCGTCACGGGCGATCACAAACGGCACGCCGCTGCCAGACGGCAGACTTCCGTCAGAATGGTCCATGATCGGTATGCTGTTTGGATAAGCAGCTATCTGCAAGCTAAGAGAAAACGATATCAGCAAAGTAATTTATTCACAGAAAGCTGTTCACAAAACAAGTGCCCAGCTGCGCTTGTTCTGAAGAGAAAAAATAAATGTTATAAGGAACATCAGAAGTACTCGTATCAATTATCAGGTGCGGTAGCCACAATGTCCCGTAGATAAATCGCAAGCTGATAAGTGATAACCAACAAAATTTCTTAAATCCGGACATTTTAATTCATCTTTTGCGACGAGGCAGCTTGAAACCAAAACAACCAGCTAGATTCTTCCAATTTTTTTTAAATATAACGCATTCTAATGTTTACACTAAACGGCAGACAGAGCGGCAAAGTGCGTTAGTATGCACTGAATCGAAGAACTCTAGAGGCAACGCTGAACAGTGAAAAGTCAATACAAACTATCAATCAGACTGAAACAGAAACAGTCAGCGTCCCATTTAGTAAAGGATATTTTGTAACTCTGAATATTTAAAATGCTGATACTACTTGTAAAAATAAACTGTTACTGCTTGTATTAAAAGTGAAATGCTTCAACTACTCCAGTAAAAATCCAATTTTTCTCGCAGGACCCACATGGATCACCACGTCGATCTGCTCTCATGGTCAGAGAAACTTGCACACAATACGGCTAGAAGCAGGTACAGTAGCAGACAAGACGGTTATTACGTACCTGCGATGGATATAAGGAAATGCTATCAGAGAGCAGAAATAAGCTATCAGAAAGTAGTCCGCTATGGAAACAGCAAAGGAATGCACAGGAAGAAAGCAGAAATAAGGGAAAAACCCCGAAAACGAAACGAAAAAACTCTCCTGCGTGATGTGGCAGAATCGTGACGAGGTGCGAACGGATCAGCAACTCATGGTCAGCTGAGCGGCCTAAGCCGCAGACGGGCGCAGAGCATGGCAAGGCTTCTGGCTTCTGGTCTCGGGCGGTCGGGCCCTCACAAAAGCAGCAGCAGTGCAGCGATAAAAAAGCACAGCAGAGCAAAGGCGCCGGTGATGTGGCTGCCATATGCGTGCGGGCACCAAACCGAGTGCCGTTACGTGGTCATTGCGAACGCCTTCCTCATTAATCCCGGCTTTCCGGCATTCCTCCTTGAGCTCCGGAACCTTCAGCTTCTTAAGTGCAGATTTGGAAGACATTATGTAACGTGAGATAAACGGCCGTAAAAAGGCAACAAGCAATCAAAACGTTACGTATTAACAAAAATTTCAAACCAAAGCAAAAATTTTTGGTCAAAAATACTGCAACCAAAGTGTCAAAAGACCGTTTGGCTATGGCAGTTATACTAAAAGAGGAACTGTAGGAAAATTCACTCCAGCAGCGGTATTTATACGGTCTTCCCGTGGGCCGGGCATAGTGCCGATTACACACCGCTGACCAATGGCTAACACCATGGGCTCCACGAGACCCCTGACGACCTCGGGACATTTTTTAGAGCAAATCTGACCTCGGGATAATTTTCAGCGAATTTTTCTGATATAGAAACCATTTTTCAAAATTTTTTTCGGAATAAAAAATTTCTGACTGCCGGGGCCCCATACGCCCCTCAAATATCTTGGGCGGTTGCAATGGCGCCACGAAACAATCTCTTGTTTTCGGGTTTTGAACACTTGTTCTAGGTAAATCGATATCGCTGATTCTGAATATGCTATCAGAAAAATAGTTCAATTCGAAGAAAATAATTTTTTTTCGATAAAAACAAAATTTTGCAACATCTATTCAAAAATTTTAAAACTTAAAATTCTTCCTTCGAATAACTAACACAAATTTTCTGACAAAATATTCAGAATCAGCGATATCGATTTATCTAGAAAAAGTGTTCAAAACCCCAAAACAAGAGATTGTTTTGTGGCGCCATTGCAACCGCCCATGGTATTTGAGGGGCGTATGGGGCCCCGACAGTCAGAAATTTTTTCTTCCGAAAAAAAATTTGAAAAATGGTTTCTATATCAGAAAAATGCGCTGAAAATTATCCCGAGGTCAGACTTGCTCTAAAAAAATTTCCCGAGGTCGTCAGGGGTCTCGTGGAGCCCCTGGCTAATACGCTGCCAATAATAGGGCAGGTTACGCAATAACTTTTGGCCATATTCAGTTGAAATGTTGAATACCGAAACAGCCGTTCAAGCTGCAAAATGAACATGGTCTTCTGAAAGCGAAAAAAGGCTGCGCAGCCGCGGATAATCATACTCGTACGTCGTACATACGTATCAATATCAGCAATCTTTATAATAATAATATTATCAGCCACTACAGTACTGGCGTGTTTTCGTTTTGCATGTACTGTACGAGGAGGGAACAAGCATCTTCGGTAGCGCATTCGAATAGTCAAGGCACTTTGAACACTCATGTGGCTGCAAATCTGTCTTAACCGTCAACCGCGGAAGGCTGACAATCCACGTTTAACTTGGCCACTGTCAGTCAGGGCACCCATCCACGGTTGACGGTGAGGTGCACGCAGATGGGCAACATTCCACGGTTGGCTGTTAAGTGAATCATGCTGTTACACACTTGACGCACAGTGTTCAAACAAAGAGTCTTGACTATTCGAACGCGCTACCGAAGATGATTATTCCCTCGTACTAATAGTTACAGAACTTACAGTAAAGTATCCTTAGTCACTATCCTGTGCAACTATTTGGTCAGGTTGAAAATCCCACGCTGAAATTAAAATAACATCCTACTCCCAGTTTAAAATCGACAACCTAGTCGGATGTGGGTCACGTGCTCTGCTACGAAATGAAAACTACATACTTACATCTAAAAAATACATAAATGCACAAATAAATGTACGTACTTTTAGCCTTTACATACTGGTCGTGATATTAAGGCCGGTGCTATGATGCAATAAGTACTTTAATTAAAGGATCCAGTTGTGTCGAAAATGCGACGAGAAAAAGTCGAATTTCAATGGTGCATCGGTAGCATATTAATATTTTGCTTTCACTGCATTTCCGCGATAACTGTCGAATGTCGAACTCTTATATATATACACACAGCGGGATTTAATTCCTTGAATGCTTTTTCGCATTATCATCCTTCCGGTTGCATGCTGCTCTCACGGTGATCATTAGCTGCCTTCCACAATTTTGCTTGCAAATGATGCAAGAAAATATCACTAAACGCAACTGTGCGCTCTTTCCGGCCCACTTTAAGGACGTGGTAAATTCCCATTTGTCTCACATATTTGGCCTCCTTCTAGTCGTTCACACCGCCAACAACGGGATGAAGAACAGGCTGACTGGCCATAAGGATATCCGCTGCGCGAAAGATGTTCTCCGGCTGCTCGGGGAGCACCTCCCGTGGATGCGCTCATGCGCATACAGAAGACCGCTAACTCCCGCGCCCCGCTCACCACTGCCGGACGCCAGCCTTCTAGTTCTTTCACGAATATCTTTTCTTTATGCAGGAATTTCAGATTTCCGACACGGATGACCGGGGCTCCGCGGGGTAGAGTGGGGCAGCGTTCTTTGTAATGGTGAATCGCCATTAACGCTGATGCCTCCAAAAATCCAATCTACACACACAAATGGTTTACATGATAATTGCAAGTTCGGGTACAACGTAAATTAATGTTGGGATAATAAGTGCAACAGCCATAAACGTGCAGCCATAAATGTGGATTGCGACCTTAAGCTGCTTGAAATAAATCAAATTTAAAACTTACGAAGACATCCGACATTCACATTTAGAACTCACAGGGTTTCTTGGTACCACATCAACCACGCTTCCTCAAATTTATTAATTCCATTCGCAAATTTTGCATGCCAAAAGCTACCAACCTTTATTAAGGTTTTACCGACTTACGTCTGCCGGCAAGTCAGCGACGTGCGCGATTGTCAGGAGTCATGACTGGGAAACGGATCAGGTAAAACATTTCTCCCAGAATACCACACCGGTTAATATGGGAAGGCTCCCAGTTGCTCCGAATGCGGGCAGCGAGGGCCCATCTGCAAAAATAACCGAATCAGCAGCTGCGGTAACGCCTAAGAGCACCAAGCTGCCCTGGGCTTGGCAACTGCAGATAAGTGACAGTTTGTCCATAAGCTTATAACAATGCAGAATGCAGGATCCAGAGCACTAAATCTACAGTATCTGCCACGGGCGGAGCGAAAGCACCACCAGCTTTCCGGTCACTGCCGTTATCTTTATCAGTTCTAAAATGTCACAGTTGCGCACCCTACGCAATAACACGCCAGGTTCAATACGTTTTGCACATCTTTGCATAACGGGACTGGGAAGTACAGGATGTGTACTAGAACTCACTGGCTCCTTCCAGTTTTCCAGAAAACCCAGAACGGCGTTGTTTTGGTAAGAAAGGATGGAGAGTCACCCGGGCCGGGCAAATAGGAATTCTACAAGAACAAAACTACAACTTGAGAAAACATTCCACATAAAGCCTAAAAAACTTCAAAAGCAGCTAAAGGCAAAGCTAGTATTATGTTCTGAAAAGAAGATAAAAAATTTGAAAAGATAAACTCAACAAAGTTTAGTGTGCAACCCCGATATATTTTCTTCCGTACCTGTGCATAGCCAGCCCAAGCCAGGCAAATGATGCTCTCGTCGACAAACAGCGTAACGCGTTCCAGAATGCGGCGCAACGTAGTGGGCTGCAATTCAGTGAATCGTTGCGGCTTTAGGATTCGCTTGCAGTGGACGCCCATGAAGTGCAGACAGGTTTCCACGACACTTCCGTAACCAACAGCCATGCCAGCGCCAACACAAAACAACCGGTTAAACCATTACCAGCGGGACTGTGAAGTTGTGAACAGACGGCCAGATGTACGTTTTCCAGATGCCGTAAGAAGTGGTCACGTGGATCAACACTGCCGTTGCACGCGGCGAGATCTTTCCCGAGAAAACCGAAGCAGAAGTCGGCCAGCAGCGGCAAATCGTACTTGTGAAGCGCGCATCATCGTCAGGAAAACGTCTTTGGCCGATAAATTTCGCGCATCGGTACACACATACCTGTACTAACATGCCACAAATCGATCAAACTGCAACGAAGGTCGCAACATCTGCTTACTTCAGCATATTGTGGAAGGCTTCAGGAAGGATATCTGGTATGTCCATGGTACCGTCGCCCTTCACCGGCAGACCTCCCGTGGAATATGGTGTAGAAGACATCGCTGGCGCTGCTGAGCACGAATCTGGTGTAAAAGGACCGATCATTAGAAAGCAATTTAGGACAAGCCGTAGGGATAACGTCAACCCACTTGTGCGCTGTGAAAATCTTCACTGGTCCAAAAAAGCGTCCAACGGAACTAAATAACCGGATCCAAAAAAGCAACCTACGTTCGGATTTAAGGAAGACACCAATGCAGGCAGGTATTCATCGAATCGCCCGATCGGATAAAATCATAAAAGTACCAATGCACTATTACATGCATTTGCGAACCCTGCGTTCCGGTCAGCTGTTTTCGTTGTTTCGACTATTCTGGCATTCTTGTTTCTGGAAGTAAGTTGCTGCGCTGTATTGAGTTTCGTTAGTGGAAACGGTGGTAAAAACCAACCTGAACGGTCATGGGATTTAATGCAATGTTGCTCTAACACAACCGTGAGGCATGAACGTTCGTTAGTATAGACATACTTGACAGTTAACTGATCCGGATTCTGCTGTCAGGAGCGCTATTGCATGGCTGACGAGATTAAAAAACTTTTCTTACCTGGTCAGCCGTGCAGTTCTGGAGCGGGGTTATGTTCTTAAAAAGCCAACCAGTTTTGGAATGTGATTAACAGAACCAGCAGTATACCACGCAGTACCTCACGGTCAGTTTCGT